CCAAGGAAATATTTTTGTGTCTCTTGGGCATATCTAAGAGTACAATCACCGGGTCACATAGTAACTCTAACCAGTTGGAAGGACTGTTAGGCTGTTTTTCCCAGTTGCTATATGATTTTATATTACCACCATTGATAAGTTGATGGTTCTGGTTTTTCTGTCTTGCTAGGACTTACTGTTATCTGAGTTTTTTCATTGTGGCCCTCTTGGTGAACAGGAAGTGGAATCTCATTTTGGTTTTTGTTTGCATTTTACTGTTTCATTTCTTAAAGCACAGGTCCTCACGGGGCAGGGAGGTGTATCCCTGCTTATATTTTTAAAAGAAATAACTTTAGCAACGTTAACATTTTTCAAATAGTTGCTTATAGGAGGAATAAGAGAGTAAGGTGAAAAGGACAGGGTAAGAATCAGGTCTTTAAATATGCTACGTTTATCTTTTTGGAGCCATTAAATATTTTATGTAATTGTGAAACAAAATTAAATTTAAAAACCAATTCCCAAAAACAAACAATAAAATCAAAGAAATGAACCTCAACACATAGCAAGCTGCGAGCATAGTCACATAGTGACAATTTCAAAGAAATCTAAAATCACAGAGATGCGTCCATACCCAGTGAGGTATATCCTGCAGACAAAGACTTAAAAATTTCAGACCACTTTTTACTAAGCTTGTCAGCTACATGGTTGATGTTGTTAATTTGAGGCTATTATGAATACAGTGTGGAGTAAAGTCTGAAAATTTACTCTTGTCATTGAGCTAGAAATTTTTAGACAGGTGAAAAGGGAAGAAATTAACTACAAACCCCTCTGTTATGCATTGACTTGATGGAATCAGAAGAGTCATGTTATAGTGTTTTTAACACTTCTTGCCTGTACATCAAAAATGTGTACAGTGACCCACTCAGGAGCAAGGAGCACCCTAGTGTCTAACTGTGGATCTATCATCTGCTCACAGAAAGAAACCAGACTCCATCAGAGAAACAGCAGAGCTAAGATCTGCACTGAGAATATGTCAGATAAACCTGAAATGATTTGGGCTTGACGACCTGATAAGAAAACTATTAATGACTATTAAACTATGTCAAAAGGACTAAAGAATCTGCTTAATAAGTCCCCAATTTCCAAAAATTGAGCAATCAAGCATCAATAAGCATAACTATTGATCTAAAAGGAAGTGCATCAAATACATTCAAACCCACAAATTTGTAACGATGTTAAAAATTATTGTGACCTCTGAAGAAAGTATCAGTGCTCATTCACTGCTCAGAAAACTGCAAATAAAATATTTTTCCTGTCCTTCCTTTACAAACTGTGCTACAAGTCAGCCAAATTTTTGATAAGGAAAGCTTCTCTTTATATGCAGCTAATAAATGGAGGATAAATGATAAAGCTGAAGTGTTTCCCTTTTGCAAACTCCTACAAAAATGTGAGGTTAGGGAGCCAGGGCATAAGTGCCTGCTTGGCAAACGCAAGGTCGTGAGTTCGATCCTCAGCACCCCACCACCACCACCAAAACAATGTGAGTTCAGGCAGCATGCGGCAGAGAGCCAGCCCTGACATCTTGTAGGGATGGCCAGCCCTTGCATGTCTCCTATCAAGTATACAATATTGCCTATGATTTGCAAAACAACTCAGTTCTCCATTTGCTCTTAACTCTAAATCAAACTACCCATTTTCAGGAAATTCAAAAGAAAGGGGATTGTGCTTAATGATCCCACAAGTAAGCAATGAACAAAATCCAGAATGTGGGAAATTCTACAGAGTAAATTGCCCGGTTTGTTCCACAAATAAATTGTAAGAAAGAAAAAGAGCAGAAAACTATAGAATGAAAGAGAACTGAGAGACTTGTGGAATAAATACAATGTGGAGACTTTGGGTCCTGATTTGAGTAACTGTAAAAAAATATACAAGAGATTTCAGTTATTCTAGCTCCATTTGGCTAGTATAGGGAGACATCTGGTGGCCATTCTGGTTTTTTAAACTTTTTATTATGAAAATTTCGTATTTACAGAAAGTAAACAGAATAGTGTAACTCTCCCATCCTCATAATTTACCTTCCCAGTTACTAACATTTTGTGATTCTATTTCATTTATACCCCCACTGCCTCTCCATCCCCTCTGATTTACACATCACTTAATGCACAAAATTTTAACAATGCGTCTTGATGAATGGATACATTCATGTTAACTCACAGGCCTATCAACATATAGAGCATTTCCATCACTTCAAAAATACCCTTTTCCTGAAAACCCCCAGCCAGGCCACAATGGTTCTGATTTTTCACTGTAGATTAGCTTTGCTTGTCCTCAAATGTTAAATAAATGGAATCGCACAGTTTGCACCCTTTTGTGTCTGGGTTCTTTCACTTGGCACAATGTCTGTGGAGTCATCCATGCTATTACATGTATCCGTTAGTCCTCTTTCATTGCTGGTCTCCTTCTATTGTACAGATGTGCCACATCCATCCTCCAATTGATGGATATTTGGATTGTTTCCAGTTTGGAGCCACTATGAACAAAGTCAAGCTTGAGTGGAACATCACAAGCAATCTTTTTGTGAACAGATGTTTACATTTCTCTTGTGTAAATACTCAAGAGTAGAGTTGCTGGATCAAAGGATAGAGCCATGGTTAATTTCACTAGGAAGCATCAGAACTTCTCCTACAATGGTTGGTTCCCTTTACATTCCTGACAGCAATAAACATGGAGTTCATTCTGCTCCACATCCTTACCAATATTTTGTATTGTCAGGCTTTTCAATTTTAACTCTTCTGGTGATACATCACTATGGTTTCAATTTGCATGTCCCCAATGATTAATATCATGTAAAACAGTTGAACACTTTTCTAGGTGTTTATTGATCATTTATCTGTCTTCCTTTGTGAAGTACCCATGAAAGTCTTTTGTCCAGGTTTATTGGGTTTGTCTTTTTATTATTGACCTGTAAATATCTTTTATTCCAGACTCCAATCTTTTGCGGCTTTATATCTGTGAGTATTTTTTGCCCGGCTGTGGTTTGCCTTAGGGCTGCCTATTCGTTTGCTTAACAGTGTATCTGGATGAAAAGTTTGATGAGGTGTAATTTCTTTTTTCTTTAATCATTATTCCTTTGTGTGTGCTGGCCAATAAGCTTGTGCCTTCCTCTGGTTGCTAAGCTCCCCTGGTTTTCTTCTAGCAGCTTTACAGATTTTACCTTTACACTTAGGTCTAAGATAAATCTTAAATTTATGTTTTTTCCCTGTATACCTCCCATATGTATTTTATGTATGTCATATATATGTATGCACGCATATAGTGTAAGGTAGGGACTGAAATATTTGCTTATGGTTATCTGTCTGCACTGCTGGTTGAAAACATCTCCAGCCCTGTTTCATTTTTTAGTTAGTGAGTCCTTTAGCTTAGTTTTTCAAGGTCATTTTAACTATTCTAGGATCTTTACCTGTTCATTGATGTCATTGTCAATTTATTGCTTCAGATCCCCAAATTCGCCCTTCATACTTGTTCTGTGATCATGAATGAAAGTCCAGCATTTCTTCTCAAAGACAGAAGGATGTCACTTTCGTAACATTGGAGAGACATTGCAAAGGCAGGAAGTTTATATTCTGGGTTCCCTTTGACCTTTGTGGAATATTCAAAAATCTAGAAAGCAATTTCTTTCAAGCTGTCTGGGTTCACATTCCAACTCCGTCTTTTGGCAGGTCTTGGACATGATTTATAATATCCCCATGCCTCAGTTTCCTAGACTGTAGAATGGGTATAATTACAGTACTTACTTCATAGCCAGATGGGATTAAATAAAATAATATAAGCCAAGTCTTTGGAATATGTAATGCCTGCCCAGGTAATTTCTGGCTTTCTATTAACTGCTATTACTGTTGTCTTATACACACATGCACATGGTTATGTATCACTTGGCACTTGGGGATATGGTCTAAGAAATGCATCACTAGTCAATTTTAGCTTTGTGTAAACATCATAAACCTAGATGGTAGAGCTTACAATACCCCTGGATTATATACGGTACAGCCGATCGCTCCCAAGCTACATATTTGAGTGGCATGTTACTGTAACTGTGGTGAACTGATAACTGGTGGTCGGCTTGTAAGACCAGCTGAACTGAATCAGTGTGGTGCTGAACGTGGGTGGCCCACCTGAAGGTTGTTGCAAATATCCACGGAGACCTGGAGAGGGAGAGATTGCTGTGGTTGCTACTGTTTGGCGCTGTTGCTTCTCCGTTGCCGTGGGCTCTCCTGCAGGAGCTTGCTGAGCTCCTCTCTGATATGAACTTGGCTGTTCTCATCATCAAAGGCGCTCAGGACCTCGTTGCTGAGGATGGCCACAGTTCACTTTAGGGGAGCTCTGATCATTACTTTGAGCACCGCTTCCTGGCTCCAGTGCAGAACCTCAGCCTACTGGCACAGTTCCTTCACTGGCACCGACTTTCTGGCTTCCACCACTGACCTTTGGGCCTTCCCAGCACAGATCCATGAAGTAGACTTGCATGAGTCATTGTTGTGGGCTCTAATCCGCCAGTTGGAGCGATGGGAAGCACTGTCATGGGCTCTAAGGGTTCAGCTGAATTCACACAGGTTATTACCATGGGATTCAGGTCCTCGGCTGGATTCTCTAGGTCTTTCGTGTGTGGACTGATCTCCTGCACTTTCTCTGTATTTGATTCCTTGGGTAACCATTATAAATATACTATAAATTATGTGTCCTGTGTTGTCTCATTCTCCTTGCAAACCCCTGACTACAACAATAACAAACATGCTACTCAATAGTAACACAAGTATTTATGTGCCTAAACATATCTAAACATGGAAAAGGTCCAGTAAAAATGCTAATAAAAATATACAACAGGAAATCTTTTAGTTGCACTATAAGCTCGGTTTTCTACTATCGTGGGGCGTGGTGTCTGGTTATTCCCACTCACTAGACATGTACTAGAAACTTGGGGATAAATGAGCTGCTTCTGAATGTTCTGTGTCCTGTAGAAAGAAGAGGTGAGGAGGAGGCACATTCGTCTGCACATGGAAGGGACGCTGACTGCCCGGGACAGGGTCGGCGTGCAGGACTTTGTGCTGCTGGATGCGTACACCAGCGAGTCTGCCTTTGTGGACAATCTTCGCAAGCGTTTCAGCGAGAACCTCATATATGTAACGTAACACATTTCTCAGCTCGTTTCCTTATATTGTTTGTTCCTTCCTGCCTTTATCAGCCTTGGCGACTGTGAAAGATGTTACTCTCTTGGGTTAGCCATGAAGTGGAGGTGTCTAGAGGTACAATCAAAGGTGCTTTGGCCATTCATGGTAAGGTTTTTACAGTAGCAGGTGAGAGAGACTCAATTTAAACTAGCCTAAGCCATAAAAGGAAACTATAACTTTGGGGTGCAGGAACAGATCGAGGGTTTCTGACAATGCTCTGAGGACCCTCTCCATCTCTCTGGTTCGCTTACTTTTGCATTGGGTTCCTTCTTGGGCAGCCTCTCTTTCCTTTGTAGTGAGACAGTAGCCAGCAGTTCCAGGCTGATGTTTTAACAGCTAGTGTTGCTATGGAGAAGAAGCAACTTCTGGGAAACAGTTCTGTTTGAGATTGTCCTGAAAATTGGAGACATCAATTAGGGTAATTTTAACATTATCTTTACATAGGCTTTAAATTCCTCCAATATCTAAGAACATAACAAACTCAGAATCTAAAAATATCAGACTACATTTCAAAGAAGCCCTAGAGCTCTTTATTTATAAGTGTATTTCAAGAAGTCTTATATTAGTGTTTATATTGCAGCTGTAAGTACTTGAAACCTTTATGAATAGAATTTGACATTGAGCTCTAGAGACATAAGTACCAATCATGAGAGGATTTTCTCCAGCGTTAGAAGACTGGTGGATACATTTGTCCTGCACACTCATTCCATGGCCAAAGACACCGGCGTGAAGCATAAATCACATCCATCTCTTCTCCCTTAAAGCCATGGCCGGATGTAGCAGTTCAGAGTAGGCATTTGGTTTCACCAGTAAGGACTCTGTCTTTGCCATGCATTGCCTTGGGAATAAACCCAGGTCCTCCGGGCAGCCTCCCGGGCCTGTGTGATAAGAACCTGCTCCCTCCTGACATCCTCCCTTCCCATTCACCCTCCTCCCCACTCGTGGCATCGGCCATACTGGCCATAGTGCAGGCAGCCATGTTCCTTTACGAAGCCCTTCCTGCCTGCTTTCCTCATGATTAGTTCTTCAGCCTTCAAGTTTACACTCAGATGTCACCTCCTTCACAAAGCCTTCCGAAGCCAATAATCAACATGGCCTCCCTCACTCATTCACACCTTCATGGTCCTGTGTACGCCTTTTTTTAATACTTACTGTTCCTTGAAGCTGTCTTGTTCCTGTTGGGTTCTCCACCTCCACGAGCTCCGTGACAGCAGAGACCTCACCTTTTGGATTTGTTGTATTATATCCCCAGGCTGAATGAACACCCAGAGGTCAGTGTGTGACAGTCATTTATACCCAGAATGCCTCGCTCACACTGTGGTTCGTTCCCCTAGACATATATTGGGACGCTCCTTGTGTCTGTGAATCCATACCAAGAGCTCGGAATCTACACTATGAGCCAGATGGAACTTTATCAAGGGGTCAATTTCTTTGAACTGCCACCACATGTGTAAGTAAGACCATCACTAGGAGTATTTGCTAATTTTTTTCCTATTCTTTCTTTTTTTTCATGCCTTCCCCCCTTTTTCCTACCCATTCATAATCTCTCTGTCCTTCTACCCATCTATCATCTATCTATTCATCCAAATACCTGATGCCTGTTTATTAACATCTTTTTGCATGCTGCTTAAGCTACTGCCTCCTTGTGAAGTAAGACAAAGCAGTAGAAAACATTAGTAGGTCATCCTGGAATCTCAGCGTAAATAAGAGTGGAATCTTTGTGCATCTGCCAAGAAATCTAAAGCAGAGGCTAGAGAGGAACCTTCTCTGGAAAATGGGTTGCTGTAGTGCCATCTATTGGTGCCTCGTGTCATGGCAGCTAAAGTGAATGGCCTCTGGCAGAAATTTACCAGTTATGAGCAATTTCCTGGCTAATCTGTATAATGCAGGCTTTGCTGGATTTCCCCTTTTCCTCCTTGGTTGACTTCTAAGCTAATATTTAGTTTCTGCCCTCAGTGTCCCGATGACTCAGCTATTCCACTTCCTAAGGCGTTTATAAGTCTTTCTGCGTCACCACCACTGAGTCCTGAAATAACCAGGATCAGGACAACTTTCATGCTTTGGCTTCTCACCGTAGCATTAAGGCCTTTACAATACTTGTACCTCTGTCCTAAGGGTATCACAGAAGTTTTTGAAATCTCTCTGTTCTCTCAGCATTCTGGTCTTTTGGTTGGTTGGTTTGTTAGTGTTTTTTGTTTTGTATTGTGTGTGTGTGTGTGTGTGTGTGTGTGTGTGTGCCAGGACCTCAAACTCAGGACCTCAGGCTTGGCAAGTGCTTGCCACTAAGCTGTATCCTCGGCTTCCTCTCTGCATTTTGAATATTCTAGGTTCGAGGGAAAGAGAAAAAATGAGATATTTTTATTTATTGAATTATTTAAAAGTTAGACAAGATGCTGTTCCCACCTAGAGTTAACAGAATGTGTCTTGGGGGTGTAATGTATGACTGACATTCCTACAAGGAATGCAGTTGATTTTTAAAAAATAAGTTGTTGGGGCTGGGAATGTAGTTCACTGGTAGAGCGCTTGCCTAGCATGCCCAACAGCCTGGTTCTGTCCCTGGCAACATACAAATTAATTTGATGAAGTTCAAAAAATATTTCCCTCACTGCTCAGACTCATCACTTCGGCCTTCTGTTAGCTGAGCTTTGGTGTCTAATGCAGTGCGCTTTGGACCATGTCAGGATTTGATATCTGCTTGAACCCAGTGTCCTTGATTCACAGCCTGGACGTGGTTTCACAGGGGGGCAGAGTACTCTGGTTTTTCTGCTCTGGTGAATATCAGAGCCAAGGGAAGCGGCATCGAAACCAATTTGTCTCTGTCTCTCTAGTTATGCCATAGCTGACAATGCTTACCGTATGATGTGCTCAGAGCTAAATAACCACTTTATCCTCATTTCTGGAGAGAGCGGGGCAGGGAAAACAGAGGCCTCTAAGAAGATCCTCCAGTATTTTGCAGTGACCTGCCCAATGACCGAGTCACTACAAATAGCCCGTGACAGACTGCTGCTCTCCAATCCAGTACTGGAGGTACGCGCCCTCTGAGGTCCATGCGGAAAGCATCAGGGGTCACTAAAAGAATTGTCTGCCTGGGCAGGGCAGTCAGAATGAACAGATCACAGCTGAGAAAGGGGGTCTCACAGGCAGTGTTGTTAGTAAAATGGCAGAGCTGGATTCTAATTCAGCACACCAAACACCAGCAAGTCTCTCCGAATCCCAACTCTGTATCCTCATCTGCAGAATGGGTCTGCTTCTTGGGCTTGCCCCTTTAGATATTTTGGAGATTTAAGAAAATGAATGGTCAGAACTGGGGGTTTAGCTCAGGGCTGTAAGCGCCTGCCTGGCAAGTATAAGGTCATGAGTTTGATCCCCAGTACCCCCCACCAAAATCAGTGTCCAAAAATCACACAGGAGGAATAGTAAGCGCTAAAATAACACTGATTATTTATTAATATAGCTCTTATTTAATTAACATCATTGTGGTTATTATTGTTTCTGCCATTACAACTCACCAACTTTCTGCATTTCTCTGTTTTGAGCAATTTCTTTTCTCCTGTAGCTGGACGCCCTGTCTGTAGATGCTTCTGGTTACAGGAATTTCCCAGGAGGCTCCTTAAGCTAAACAATTCAATATGAAGAGAAGTCTGGGTTGGATCTGTCAGCTATATCTTGTAGGACAAGCAGAGCCTAGAGAGATTTCTAGGCTATTCTCAGGCTATTTCTCATACATTCCTATACTGGATTCTAGGAAGATGATCTTTCCCTGGGTCCAGCTCTAGCATTATAGTTAGCAAATCTTTGCTACAAGGTAAATTATGGCTTTCCTCCCTTGTGCCTCCTTCCCTCTTCCATTATCATAGAAAGCATATTATTTGGGGTCAGAAATTTCACAAGTATGGTGAGCTTAAATGACAGTGAATGACGCTTTGTGTTCCAAGGCTTTCGGAAATGCCAAAACGCTCCGGAATGACAACTCCAGCAGATTTGGAAAATACATGGACATACAGTTTGACTTTCAGGTAATCTGAAATTCCTAATGCTGGTTCTTGAGGATCCCTTGTTTGGCCAATGCCAGAAACCACCCCAAGGCATCTTAAGGTGAGAAGGGCACTTCTTGGCTCAAACAGCTGAAAATCCAAGGTTAGTGCTAATTTTATGAAATGCAAATAAAAACCACAGTGAGATACTATTTTATACCTTCTGTATGGACAAGAATTAAGAAAATACTGGCTATTGGTGAAATGGGGACACTGGAATTTGCACATTTCAAGGACAAGATGTATATTGGAGGGCTGAGCTCAGCAGCCTGGTGCCTGCCTGGCAAGCACAAAGTCCCGAGATCAATTCCCAGTACCAAAAAAAAGGTGCATATTGGTGCGACCCATTTGGACAATGATGGATTGAACCAACAATATGATGGGTACCTTGTAAACTTGGCATCACATAATCTAAGCAGCCATTCCACTCCCAGAGATAGCCCCACAGGGTGTAAGCATATCCACAGCTGACCTGCCTATGGTGGTGGGAAGACCAGAAACCCCCGACACAATTGGAGAAGACTCAGTGTCTGCGGAAGGGAGAGCAGGAGAACGGCCACGCTGCAGGATGTTCACACAATGAGGATTATAAAGCAGCGAGGGCAGTGAACCACAGCCCTGCGTATCGTGCATAAACAAGACATACAATATGCGGCTGTGTGATGCCATTTTTTTATAAAGCTTGAAAGTAAAAGCAACTCATTGCACAGGTATGCTGACCTATGTGACAAAGACCAGCACACATTTTTAGATAGGGCTGGGTAGAGATGTTTTAGGCTGTTTGAGCTGTAAAGCTTCTACTGAGACGTCCATCTCAGTTATAACACGAAAGTAGCTGTTAGCACATGAAGGGATGAGTGTTACCCAGTGTGTAAATGGGTTTATTGCACATGGAAAGGCAAAATTCCTGGGGACATATTTTCTAAGTGGCAACATGACCCCTCAGCTTAGAGAGCAGCAGCTGTCTGAGGATTAAAGCACAACAATACAACAATGGCTCAGGCCTCCCGAAGGCTGGTCTGTGGTCTTCCATGGAACATCTGTGGACTTTGAAATTACACAGTTAATAGCTATGCATATTATAAAACTTTGAGAGTTAAACATATATCCCAAAAAAGACACAGATCGTAAGAACAGCCACAAATGTATCTATCTACCCATGTAGTCACTGTGCAGATCAAGATTAAAAATAAATGTCTAGCATCTAGCAGGTCTTCCAACAATACCCGACTTTCCAAGGGTTACCACTATCACCACAAAATTGTCTTACTGGTTCCTTAACTTCATATAAGTGGAATTATATGCTGTGCTACTTTATTTCTGGCTTTTTCAATCAAAATTTTATCTGCAAGATATATGCATGTCAGCTGGGTATGGCGGCACACAATTGCAATCCCAACACTCTGGGAAGCTGAGGCAGGTGGAATCTAAGTTTAAGCCCAGTCTGGGCAATTTAACAGGACACTGTTTCAAAGTAAACTGTAAAAGAGAAAATGAGGAAATAGCTCAGTGTGAAGGTCCTTAGTTCAGTTCCCAGTACTGCAGGATAAATAAATGAAAAAGAGATTCAGCTACGTTGTGGCATGTAAGACTTGTTTGTTGTTTAACTGGGCAACTACATGGCCACTTATCTATTCTCCAGTTGGTGAATTTGGATTGCTTGCAACTGGGGGCTATTACAAATACTGCTCCTAACAGCCCGGGGTATGTCTTTAGTGGGTACAACCACTCATTTATGCTGGGTATACACCCACAAATGGAACTTCTTACCAGCTATGCTGTGACTATTAATGACTACTCCAGTTGCCAACATGTATATTTTGTTTTTAGTTTCAGAAATCCTGGTAGGGTAGAACACTTTCTCAATATAATTTAAGTATCTTCTTTAAAATGAAGTTTCACTTATTGGACACTTAAAAGTCTTTTTTGCTCAAGTGTTTTGCTCGTTTTTAATTTGGCTGTTTGTTTTTATTGATATATGCTCTAGAAATATATGTTCAATATATGTTCTAAAAAAAGCTTATGGGATATGTTATTTAAAATAATGATCAAGACAGTATGGATGACATGCGGAAAGACAATGAAGCCATTAAACCAGAAAAAAACCCACATCTACTTGTGACAAAAGTACCACCATCGTTTCCAATAAATGGATCATCTTCCCCATAAATGTCGCCAGTCAGCTGTGTGTCAATGTGGATAAAAAGGTCATTAGCCCTTACCTCACTCCACACATAAAAACTAAACAGTAATGGATCATAGCCCTAAACTTAAACAATGAATACTGAAACACAGAAAATACCTTCATGATCTCCAGAGATTTGTTTTTGTGGGCACAAATCTTTTAAAAACAGAACCCAGGAAATGTGAATCATAGGCGATAAATTGGATTTATTTCAAATTAAAAGTTTCTGGCTTGATTGTTATTGTCACTGCCCCGTTTCTGTTCTGTTTTGAAGGGCATTCCCGTAGGTGGGCATATCATCAGTTACTTGATAGAAAAGTCCCGCGTCGTCTATCAAAACCAGGGTGAGCGGAATTTCCACATCTTCTACCAGCTGCTCGCGGGTGGTGAAGCGGAGCGCCTTGCTTATCTGGGACTTGAGCGAGACCCCCAGCTGTATAAATACCTCTCACAGGTTGGAAGGGCCAGCACCCGGCTTTTAGCCCCTGGGAGGTGGGGACCAGGGGTGTTCGTGGCAGTGCCTATAAGATGTTCGAGAGCTTTTGGTCTCCACCCTGGATGTATCCTCCTTATCACAAGCATGCAAACCTGTCTCCTTTTATTCCTGACAGCTATGTCATCTAGTTAAGCAACCCCGTGTCTAAGGCAAAATGGTTCTCAGGCCTGGTTGAAATAAGAATCACTTGAGAAGTCTTCTAAAAACTCAGATGCCCAGGCTGGAGGGATAGTTTGGGGTAGAGCATCTGTCTAGCATGCACAAAGCCTGGGGCTCAGTCCCCAGTATTATAAGCACAGCTAACACAGATGGCTCTGGAGATTCGGTTTTAGTGGATCTGAGACTTGGCCATCAGAGTTGTTTGAAATGTCTGCCTAGCCCAGGAGTGTAGCTCAGTGGTACGGCACTTTCCTAGGCCCTGAGTTAGAGCCCCAGAACCACTAAACAGACTCCCTGATGATTTAGTGTACAGCTAAGGCAAGAACTGCTGGTGACAAGCTGGGAAAAGCTCACCGTCTATGCAGACTGTCCTTGTTAACAACCCAGTCCTGGCGACGAGGTCCTTAAATCATGTGGTGGCTAAATGAGTCAACGTCATAAAAGAAGGACCCATATTTCATAGAAATCTTGGGAAAGAAGACATCAAAAGTTTACCTTTAAAAGCAAAGCTAAATAATAAGAAAAAAGAATTTCATAATCTCATTTTATATTTAACAAACCTTAAACTAATTCCTGGAATAAGCAACAAATAACTTTTGTTTTCATTTTTGGTGGGATGTGTGTGTATACATGTGTGTGTACGCGTGTGTGTACACGCATGTGTGTGTGTGTGTGTTTGTGTGTGTGTGTGTGTGTGTGTTGCTAGGTATTAAACTTTACACTGAGCTACATCCCATGGGTCTCCAATCCATTTTTCTCTCATCTTGATACAGGGGCTCACTAAGTTGCCCAAGCTGGGTTCCAACTTGTGATCCTCCTGGCCCATCCCTCCAGTAGCTGGCATTACAGGTCTGCTCCTCCACGCCCAGCTGATTTATTTTTTATAGGCTGATTTATTTTTCCAACAAATCTGTTTGAATTTTCAAAGCATGATCACCGAGGACCAGTTTATAAAAATATCTGAGGGCATCATTTTCTCAAAGGTTTTTCTAGTTCCTGGACAGTTCAATCATTCTCTTTGGGAATATGCCACACCGTGATTCTTCACTAGTGTTTCTAGCAACATTAGTCCAGCCCAACTTGATACCTTATTGATTTTAGAAATAGTTCTAGCAATTTTCCAGTATTGGATTTTTTAAAAGCAATTTCACAGTGCCCTGTGACTTTGGCAAAATGTATGGCTTTACCGTGTTTGTAGTATTCTGCATTGTTGCCAGTCCTGCTGGTATCAGAGCGGGCTGACCTGCATGGACCTTCCCTGGAGGGGACAGCAGCAAGTGTCACCCCTCAGCATCCACAGGGGCTTGACTCCAGGATACTGAAGTCTGAGGATGCGCCAGACTCTGATACAAAATGGCAAATAGCCAGGCATAGTAGAGCGGGCTTGTAATTCCATCACTCTGAGAACCTGAGGCAGGAAAATTGCAAGTTCGGGCCCAACCTGAACCTGAACATTTTAATTACTTAGTGAGACCCTGTCTCAAAAAAAAAAATAAAAATGGTTAGGGACGTAGCTCAGTGCAAAGTCCTTGGATTCAAGCCCCAGTACCACGATACACAAACAAGATGGCCAAGTATTTATATATAACTACACACTTCCCTTCTATTTTGAATCATTTCTAGGTTACTTATAGTACATAATGCAATGTATCAGCTATATAGATAGTCATTACACTGTATTGTTTGGGGAATAGTAATAACAAAAAAAGCCAGCATGTGTTTAGTGCAGACATTTTTTCAAACATTTTCAATCCATGGTTGAATTTAACTATGTGGAATTCAAATTAAGGGCTGATGGAGGATCCCATAGAGGGCTGATGTGTGAGACTAAATTTTAGGGGGGCTGACTCACTGGTGAATATTTTCACAGTATGAAGCCTTTGAAGGCTCCATTCAACAAAGACCTTCTAAGGTAATAATCTTTAGGTAATCAGAAGTTGGGAACTCCCTGTATCAAAAGATGATTTAAAAAATTTTTTGTCTAAAATGTTGTTTCTCTTTAAATTGTGAAGTCGATCAGTTTGTTACTTATTTACAAAATAACTTTCAACTTACTTAAAAGTCTTAGCACATCTCTTCTGGTGGGCATTTCCACATAATCTGTGTTTCTCTAAAAGCCAGTCTGTTCTTACTGGATGAAGGCTCCTTCCATCTGGTCCTGCAGAGATTCCTGAAGTAGGTGGAGACTGTTTTCTAAACTTAAGCATCAAAATTTCCCTCCATGTTTCAGCAGATAATTATTGGCACAAGGCTTCAATTTACTTAGCAAAAATAAAAAGGAAAAATTATGTCTAACAACGTAGACAACATGATATTCTTCTACTAAGTAACTTTATAAGTTTTCTTAGAACAAAGATTAAAAATAAAGCTCCAAGTAAATTTGAAGAAACCACAAGTTGGCAAAACATCATGTGCTAGACAGAATAAACCTATTTGTTTACAATCAACCAACCTGTGTACAATTCAGTGCATTACAGAAACAGCTTTCTCAAGCTTGTAGAGAAAAACATTTTGATTTGGAATACATGTGTGCGCGCTTAACTGTCCTTAAAGTAAGTGAGCCAACTTTGTTTCAGGGTCATTGTGCCAAAGATTCGTCCATTAATGACAAAAACGACTGGAAAACTGTCTCCAGTGCCTTCTCTGTCATTGATTTCACAGAAGCTGACCTTGAGGTAAGGCTCCCAGGTTCTCTATGGGACTGAGCAACGATCCTGGCAGCTCGGGGTTGTACTGTAGGGCTGCCAGACTCAGAAAATAAAATTAGAGGACACCCAGTTACACCTTCACTTCAGATAAGCTGCAAGTAACTTTTTAGTAAAACTAAACATTGCCTATGGACAAAAAAGGACTTAAAAATTTATCATTGCTTATTTAAATTCAAATAATAACTGTAGAGTTCACATGTTTGTGACAACCTTAATTTTTTCCCGTGTGTGTGCAAGGAAGAGCTAATGTGATTATTCCCACAAATTCAGTCCAGTCGCAACAATTTAGATTTCATACAATTATGGCGTTAATGTTTATTTATACTTCGGTTTCAGAATAAATGGGCACAAACTGTAGGATTGATGAACACTTTGTTCTTACATCTTTCTGTCTCTGTTTTTTTCTTTTCATTTCAATTGTTAAACTATTAATATTTCAGGAACCAGAATATAGTTTAAAATGTATCCTGTACCTGAGATTATAGCTTTGAAACTGAACAGTTTCCTGGTGGGGTTTATTTTATAAAATGTTTTCATTACATAGTTTATAAAAGTGGTTTATCATCTGAAAAATAAATATATGCATTTATATTTTGGAGGTGTGAAAATAAAAGTATTTCATGCTGGAGACTTGAATGGGGCCTCTGCCAAGGCCCTCCCAGAAGTGAATAGGGAGCCACTTTGGGGGAGGCAGGCCTGGGGCTGCAGTTCGGGAGAGGCGGTGTTTCCCTTCCGGTGTCTCTGCTGATCCCGCTGATCAGGGAGGTGGCTGCTGTCTCCCCTCCCCGTCCTCCTGGCCTCAGCATAACTGTCCCATGCTCCTAGAACCTCTTCGGGATTATTGCCAGTGTCCTCCACCTGGGGAACATTTGTTTCCAAGAAGATGACCAAGGCTGTGCCGCCGTCCCTGACACCCACGAGATCAAATGGATCGCCAAGGTGATGTTCCCTTCTGAAGGGTCAGAGGGAGGCCAGGGGCCAGGGGAGGACACCAAGGCGCCTGGACGCCCACAGTTAAGTGTGCACGGCCAACTCTGCATCGTTCAGTGATGCTGGCCAGGAGGCTTAGCAAGCACTGGCCAGTCTAGCCAGGTCCATTGTGCCCTAAAGCCCAGTGGTCAGAGTCAGGACTCCTAACCGAGGCCTGGGGACTCCACAGCTGCATTATCACCGAGTAAGTAAAACCGAGTCACTGAATGATACCTCAGATTCCTTTTGTTCAGCTCCTAGGGGTCTACCCGTCGGTTCTCCTGGAAGCTCTCACCCACAGGAAGATTGAGGCAAAAACAGAGGAGGTAAAAATGGCTTGGGGTAGAAAGGTGGCCACGGCTGCCTCCCTCAGCTAACAGCAGGGCGGTAGCCTTCGGGGAAGCCAAGCCCTCGAACCCAGCCCACCGTGCCCTTTGGGCCCAGCTCTGCAGGGTCTCCTGCCTCATCTTCTCTCACCACCACACACTGCTAGGGCTCCCTGTTCAGACTCACTGGCTCCTCCCTCCGTGGAGTCTTTGCACTGGCTGTTCCCTCTGCTGGAAAACTGTTCCCCCATGCTTCATCCGGATAACTTAACTTCATTAAAGATGAGCTTGAGAACTCGGGGACTCCTCTTCCTTCTGTGCCCACATGCCTGTCATTCTCCTCAGGTCATATGCCCGCTGACACTCGAGCTCTCTGTGTATGCCAGAGATGCGATGGCTAAGGCTGTCTACGGAAGGACGTTCACGTGGCTTGTCAACAAAATCAACTCCTCCCTAGTGAACAAGGTCAGTAAGGCATTTTGCATGACATGCTCTTGCTGATGTGGTAACACTTTATCATCATCCTGGTGGATTTATAGAATTTGTGACACTGGACTGTGTGCTCCTCATGGGCAGGGGCGGTGTCTTGGGCTTGTTGGTTGGTTGCTTGGTTGATTTGGTCATGCTGAGTATTGAACTTTTGCACTGAGCCACAACCCTCCATGTACCCCCCACCTTTTTTAGACAGGGTCTTGCTGTGTTGCTAAATTGCTTAAGCTATGCTCAAACTTGCAATCCTCCTGCCTCAGCCTCCAAGAGTGCTATGGTTACAGGCATGTGGGAGGTGACGTCTTTTCACGTCCACATTTCCAGTATCTCCCATGCAGTGAGCCCCCAGGAAGGCACACTGATGACTCCTGCAGCATGTCCCAGTGCATAGCGTACACAGTATTTGTGGCGGCTTTTGGCATACACAGAAACTTTTAGCAGTAGTATGTTTTATTTTTTGTGGCATTTGTAGCATTTGAGAATAAAGCCAGGGGCACTGACTTATATCTTTAGCCCTTTTTATTTTGTATTTAGAGATCCCCTCCCCTTCTTACTTTTTATTTTGAGATAGAGTCTCTCTAAATTGCCCAGATTGGCCTCAAACTTGATATCCTCCTGCCTCAGCCTCCCAAGGATCTGGGATTACAGGTGTACACCACCATAGCTGGCTAACAGTGTATATTTTAATGTGTCTTTAAAACTATGACTAGCCTCTTAGACTCATGCTTGGATTGTGTTTCCTTTTTAAATAGAATTCTTTGAATAAAAGAGTTTCTTTGAAGCCAGACATTGAGGAAATGCGTGAGGAGGTGGCAGAACTCACAGAGAGAGGAGCAAAGGACAGACCCAGGGGGGCAGCTGCTCAGTCTACTCACACAAAAGATTCTGCCGTGACCCTTTAAAAATAAATAAGCACATTATTTGTCTCATTTCATTTTTTATTGCTATAACTGAATGCCATAAACAAAATTTATAAAAAGTAGGTATTATTGGGTTGCAGTAGCACAGTTATAATCCTAGCTACTCAGGAGGCTGAGGCAAGAGAATCCCAAGTTCCAGCCCAGTCTAGGCAACTTAGCAAGACCTTGTCTCAAAATAAAAAAATAAAATTGGCTGTGGATAAGGCTTAGTGGCTGAGCATTTACCTAGGATGTGTAAGGTCCTGGGTTCCATCCCTAGCACTACAAAAAGAAAAGGTTTGTTTAGCTTAGAGCTCTGGAGGATGGGGGACACAGCCACTGTGTTAGCTCAGACCTTCCTTCTTTTTTTTATAAAGCCACCAATGCCATGACAGGGACACCACCACCCTCATCACCTCATCTGACCCTTACTGCCTCCCACAGCCCTGCCTGCAAACACAAAGGACACAGATTTGGGGTGAAGTTTCCAACACGTGGCTTTCTGGGAGACACAGCCCGAGCATAGCATTATCGCTCGGTGCTCATCCTTGCCTGGCGGCACGTGGTCCCTGTGAAATGGCACCCACACTGCCTGTCCTGTCCTCTGGGGTGAGAGGCCCCTTCCTACCAATCTATCTTTTCTTTTATCTTTGCATTGAATATGGGCTCTGCAGGCTGAAAGGATCGGACACAAAAGATGTGAATCAGGAGGGGAAGGTGTCACCACCCAGGTGATGAACAGGAAAGCTGCAGGGGGACTGAGGCAGGCTGCAGCCCCCCAGGGTTATCCTGTGAACCCCCTGGAAGAAAACGCCAAGCCCGGCTTTGGAGGCAGCCACAGGGTTTTAAGTATCACAAAGTTTAAAAATAATGCTCCCGAATGAGTCTATTTTCTGTTACCATAATGACATATCAGAGGCTGGGTGACTTTTGAAGAAAAAGAGACTTATTTAGCTCACAGTTCTGGAGACTGGAGAGTCCCCAGTGACGATGCCCTTCTTGCTGGCACAGGACACCGCATGACAAGGGACAGGGAGCACATGTCCTCGCGTCTTCTTGTCTCTCTCTCTCTTCTTGTAAAGTGCCAGGATTAGATCGTAGGGCCGATTTCTGATGGTCTTATCCAATCCCCTAATCACCTCCCAACTCCCTAGCTGAATTAGGTTTCGCTCCACTTAATACCTCACGTGGGGACTAAATACCACCCCGCCAGCCCTCATGGCTGGGATGCACGCACGCCATCGAAAGCCTCAGCACTCACTATTCTTGCTGTGTGTTATTTGACTAGGATTTCACCCAAAAAACTGTGATTGGATTGCTGGATATCTATGGGTTTGAAGTCTTCGACAAGAATGGGTGAGTTTTGCCGTGCTCTGCCTAGCTGTCGCTAGCCCCACTTTGTGGTTTCAGTCAAAGTTTAATTCATCTTCAAAAATCCCATTTCCTGTTTAGGAAAAAAATAGTGCAGCTTGCTGCCAGCATTCATCTAACTGTCAGCAATTAAAAATTACTGTGTTTTATAAAGAGAAATACCACTACTAAAACTGAATCCTGTAAATAGAATGAAGTCTTCATTTCTAAAGACTATCCATATACTAGAGCAATGTGAAAAGAATAATAAAAGTGGGCTATTTCATGGGAAACTTTGGGGGGGTTCATGGGAAACTTTGCGGCCCCAACTTTGTTACTTGTGTGTATTCTCAAGGCAAAAGGGAAACAGGTTAATGTTACTAAAATTGATTTTCCTATCCCTGGAAATTCTCTAGAAGTGGAATAATCCACTTAAAAAGTGAATAATAAGCCCAGTGCAGTGGCACATGCCTATAATCCCAGTTTACTGGGAGGCTGAGGTGGGAGGATCTCAAGGTTTTTTTTTTTGTTTTTTTGTTTTTTTTTTTTTGTCTTTTTCCTTTTTATCAGTACCGGGGATCAAACTCACAACCTCCTGCTTGCAAGGCAGGCACTTATGCCGCTGAGCTAAATCTCCAGCCCCTGGGTCTCAAGTTTCTAGCCTGACCTGGGCAACTTAGTGACTTAGCAAGACCTTGTCTCAAAATACAAAATAAAAAAGGACTGAAGATGTACCAGCTCAGTGCAAGAATCCCGAACTGTCTCTAGTACTTTAAAAAAAAATTGAATGTATTTCAACTTCACTCTCTCAATTTATTTAGGAAATTATTTTACTAATAACTTTTTCTTTATTAAAAAGTACGCTTTTAAAAAGTAGCACAGTTTTGAAGAGCTGGCCTATTTGCGTGCTTTTATTATTTCATTCCCTTGCATCCGCAGCTTTGAGCAGTTCTGCATAAATTACTGCAATGAGAAACTCCAGCAGCTGCTAATAGAGAGGACTCTGAAAGCAGAGCAGGCGGAGTACGAATCGGAAGGCATCGAGGTAAGCGTTCTGACAGTTGCTCCTTGTTTGATTCCTTCATCTGGCTGAAGACGTTCGCTTGAGAAATCTTGTTTCATTGGCAGTGTGCCCAATCAGCATGCGGACTATTTTTTAGTCTTTCTGCTCGTTTTGATAGAACGGCTCTTTTTTCTTTTTTAAAGTTGGATATAATGATCAGATTTTGAAAATGTATTTAGAAAATCATTTTGAAAGCAGTGTCCTCCACGCTCATTTGCATGGAGAACTCTTCCCCTTTGTCATTTCAGTGGGAGCCAATTCAGTACTTCAACAACAAGATCATCTGTGACTTGGTAGAAGAGAGACACAAGGGAATTATATCCATTCTGGTGAGAAACAAATGTTGACCGAGAACCGTCATCCGGCAGGTGTTTGCAACATGGGGAAGAATTTTTCCAGGCTTCAGAAGGGCTGGCTGGACCCAGGAGGGTGTTGAAAGGCACAAATTGAGCTGTCTTGAACTCTTGCTTGGAACTCTAGGCGGAGCTTTGTCCTCTCCAGAAGATTCTTAAGCCTAAATTATAACACACAGGGCAACAAGGATAGATCTCGGGAGGAAAACTGTGCATGTCTCCCTTCCATTACATAGACCAAGTTAGGCAGCTGTTTAGTGGCTGCTCTGTTTAGATATAGTTTGCGCCCCAAGGGTTCTCATGTAAGGAATTTGGGGGTCAGTGTGGTGCTGCTGGCAAGTGGAAAAACCTTTAGGTGGTAGGACTTGGTGGGAAATGACTAGATCATTGTGGTGCTGTCTTCAAAAGGAATGGATGTAGTTCTTGCAGGATCCTGGTTAGTTCCATTCTCCTGAGAGGGTTGTTGCAAAAGAGAAAGGCTGGCTGGGTGTGGTGGTGTGTGCCAGTAATCCCAGCACTGTGGGAGGCTGAGGCATGAGGGTGGCAAATTCCAGCCCAGCCTCAGCAACTTAGTGACTTAGTTGGAGAACCTGTCTCAAATAAAAAATAAAATTGGGTCAGAGGTGTAACTCAGTGTGAAGACCCTGAGTTCAATCCCCAGAACAATAAGAATAAGAATAAGAATAAGAATAAGAATAAGAATAAGAATAAGAATAAGAATAATGGTGTGAGGCCCCTTTTGAGCCTTTCTCTGGCTTCCTGTGCTAGTGGGACGCCATCTACTGTGGGGTCTCCCCAGAGCTGAGCAGTGTCCAGCAGCACGCCCTTGGGCCTGCAGAACTGGGAGCTAACTAAACCTCCTCTTTATGAAGTTCCCAGCCTCAGGCATTTTGTTACAGTAACAGAGAGTGAAGGAATACAGTGGCCATTGAAGAGGGGCTTGCTCCATGCTTAGTACAACCAAGAAGCCAGCACACATAAAAGGAGGCTTTGCAAAAATGTCTGTTGAATTAGAGTTGAGGCACCTTGGAATGGGCTTGTGATTGTGTTTTGAGCTATTGCAATTTATGGAATATCAGTATTCTTGAATCCATAATTCATCAAATTCGATGTCAATTTTTAAAATATATTCTAACAGCAAACAAGAAATCATTACCTTGCTTGTCCTTTAGGGTCATTGGTACCACTGTTTGCCTCCCTATTAGTGAAAATAATTGGTCCCTTTTCCCTCCTGTCCTCCTGTCCCTAGCACAGCCACCAATTACCCTGAGAATCCAGCACACTAAAGCACAGCAGGGACCTGAATAGGTGGCAACTGTTGTTGCTGCAAATGTGAACGGCACCTGTGTAACATTAGCCACGGGCCTTAACCTCTTTGTGCTCCAGGTTCAACTTTGTATGGGTACAGGCAGAGGAGCTGTAGGGCTAAGGAGCAATCAAACACTCAAGAGTGCTTGGAGCTATGCCTGGCCTGTGACACATGTTCACCTCTACTCATCCTACAAATGCTTATGTTGGGCTTATTTTGTACCTGGATTGTGCCTTGTGCTTTGGGGCTCAGCAGTGAGAAAGACAGCCACAAACTCCTGCTCTCAGGAATCTTTTAATTTCTTACTTTGAGAGTCAAACAGCAAACATCCTACTGGGGAAAATATATCGATTGTGCTATGGAGAAAAGGTAGCAAAGGAAGATCCTTCCCGCAGGCAGTGGGGTGGGGCTCCATTTTAGAAAAGATTGGAGGGGCTCGCTGAGAAGGTGGCATTTGAGCCAAGACCTGGAAGTGACGAGGGCAGCGTGTGCACATCTGGGGAAGGACACGTTCCAGTAAGCGCCAGGTGACATAGCTGGCCCACATGAATTACTACCCCTGGCTTTCAAAACACGTTAATAATAAATGCCTGCTGCTTTTGGTTTCCATATGGAAACGCACTTCATATAAGTTGTCTCATCAACCTGTAGCCCAGATTTTTGTTGTTATTTTAATAAAAGCTAGATTCATTTGTAATTTTTCAAGGTGGTCAACTAAATGGTATCACTGAGAACCAGATGTAAGAAACAGGACTTTGGTCCTAATGCAAAAGCTCTACTTGCATGTGGCTCTTGTTGGTTAGTAATAACTGGTTAAGAGAAAGAGAGGTTGAATTATTAAGTACAGTAACTATGGCAACTGGGGGGGACCTTGGGAAAGCTTCGAAAATACATATCAGTCAGAAGTCAGGGAGAGTTGACTGTTCATGGAGTTTCCCTACAGTGTCCTGCACAGATCTCGGAAGCTCCCCAATGGCTCTCCTGATCTCATGGGAGATGCCAGCATTTTAGCCTAGCACCTTCTGCCATTGCTGGCAGAAGCATTTAAATTTGGATTTGATGGAGAGTGATACTGTGGAGCAAGGTGTCTCTTTTTCTTTTGAAGGATGAAGAATGTATCCGCCCTGGCCCTGCTACAGACTTGAGTTTCCTGGAGAAACTAGAAGAGAAAGTGGGCCAGCACGCACACTTCCAGACGTAAGTGCTTCAATTGACAGGCTGCTGAGGGAGGGTTTCTGTGCTCTTTGATTTGTGCCTCAAGCGTACAACTGTTTCTTCACACATAAAAATATCATGATGATACATCAACCCATATTGTAGCAGAAAACACCCCCCCTTCTCAGCCAATATACTTCAGTTTGTTAGTTGCCCAGGTAATAGTTCTGTTCCAGTTCCAGTAGCTCACATCTCTTAGAAACAACTGAGGGGCAGGGGATTTAGCTCAGCAGCATAAGCACCTGCCTGGAAAGCACAAGGCTGTGAGTTCGATCCCCAGTACCAAAAAAAAAAAAAGAAACAGCTGGTCACTGTGATACATAGCATGTCACAGTGATGCACACTATACAGCCACTCTGCCTCTGTGCTTCCTACTTGCTTATCTCATACAAGCCCTAGACCACCAGAGATCAGGGCCCATTGATGTAAATAAATCCACCTCCAAATCCTGGGTATTATTTTGGTGTTTCTGCTTGCTGTTGCATCTGGTGCTAACCTCTTGGTCACCAGTTGTGGCCCTCATGGACAAAGCAAAGACCTCTCCAGAGCCCAAAGGAAGGTGTGCCCTCGAGATTTCTTGAATCCCCTTGGAGGTCTGTAGGAGGATTCCTGCTTTCCCACTCAAGCAGCTAATATGGACTACAAAAGGAGGAGGATGCAATCTCTGTCTATCTGCCTACCTACATGATTCAATTAAGATCCCCTAGGGCATCCCAGTTAGTCTGTCACTATTTCCATGTTTGAGCAGAAGAGTTTGATTAACTATTGTTAGTTAAGGCCCTCAAAGAAAAGGGGCTAAAGGGCTGGGGATGTAGCTCAATGGCATAAGCACCTTCCTGGCAAGAGTAAAGTAATGACTTTGATCCCCAGTATCAAGAAAAAAAAAGGAAAGGGGTTGGAATGTTCAACCACTGAATGCCTGCTGAATGACTCTGTGAGTGAATGGACTGGACAGCATAAGAAATAGGCTGCTCCATCTGTGCACCAAGACTGGGAAGCACCGGTCACAGTGGCTGATTGGGCCCTCACCAGTGGTTCTGTGGTAAGCAATGTATGGCATAATGGAGGTTGCTAAGTCTTGCCTAAATCCCCCTGAAGGGCATCTCAGGCAGGTATCTGAATGGTCTCTGTCTGAGGGGCACCCACTCTTTGTCTGTTGCACCACCACTCAAGGGTACACAACACACAGCATAGGGAAATGGAATAGACACTAATTAGTTAAAACTCACACTCTCTGACTCCAGAAAGAGGGGCTCTTATGGAGTTGAAAAATGAAACCAAATCACTCCCTGCATCTCAAAGAAAAGAAAAGGCCCATTCTTCCCGAGAATTCCACCTTGGCACCCTTGTTAGCTGCTGCAGTTGCTGCCAACATCTATGCTTCACTCCTGACTCATCTACTGCCTGACAAATGAACTTATTCCAACTAGCCATTGCTTACATTTGGCCACAAGGCCCTCCATAGCCTTCTGCTTACATGTGTACCCTGATCAGACTGCATCATCTGATGCTCCCCTGAGATGACTGTCAACTCCTTCTGAATTCTACATTTTGACTGAGGAAAATTTGAACTGTCAGCCCTGACAAATGAGTTACACCCTGTCAGGTATGAATAGATAGGACAGATTGAACCCTATCAAATTGGATCCTGAGAGCCCATGGTCATTGCAAAAGTCAGAGGCAAACCTGTGACTGACTTTCCTGATAGATGATGGAACAGAACTCTCTGCCTCCAAAAGTTCCCTCTGTCAAAAAGTTACCATCACCAGGGCAACTGGGACTCTTGCCTCTCACCCCTTCTGCCAGGCACAAACTTACAGCCTTGGAGGGCATCTCCTTCACACCAAGCCAGGCAGCCTCCCTCTCAATTGACCCTGAACTTTTAACTTTGTTCCCTGAGAGAAGGATGATGCCTGCATCAGTCTGAGACAGATAGCCACAATCCTGAGGTTCTAAAAACTCCCCTCCCAGAGATATAAACTAAAGACTCACCTCTGGGCTGGTCATCCATCATGCTAACTCACCATGACTCTGGTTGCCATCAAATGGAAACACAAAGAGGGATCCAGACACATGACAGCCTGATAAATTGTTACTCGCCTTGGCGAGATGTCCATGCCACCAACAATGAGCCATTACCTTGAATTCTGCAGTTCCCAGCCCATGCACCCTTTGTGGACTGTTACTCAATTGCCACAAGGATTTGGAAACTCTCCCAACTACTTTCAGGGACGCTCTGACATCATATCTGACCACTCTGAGGGAGACTGTTTCTCTGCCCCTTCCAAATCAACAATTCTATTACTGTAAACTCCATCCTGGGACAACCCACTCCTACATCAAACATGCCACAGGAGACTCAACTAGTAATTCAACCACACATCCAGAGGTTTCCAAACCACAAAATGTTTATGGATGGTTAAACTGCTGGAATACACCTCTCCTGCCTATGAAGCCAATCCAAGATCTCTAAGCTCCCAGTGCCACCTTGATTGCCCTCCATATACACCGCTGCAGTCTCCTGTCACTCACAGCCTGCTGGTCACACACCTCCCTGTACCTAATGAATGCCTTACTCTGCCTGTGGTTGGCTCCTGTCAGCCAGCCCTTCTTCACAAAGACCCCAGTTCTGACCTCAAAAGCCAGCTGACCTAGACTCAATCTCCCATAGATTCAAAAGCTTGTTTCCTCTTCACCACACTTCTGACACCCAAGCTGCCAGCTGAAAAGGCACGAAAGCTCTACGACAATAGCTGGAAGGAACTGGTTATAAAAAGGAAACTCCACAAATTTCTTAGAGCTGCTGGCTCCTATAAAATCTGGACCCTTCAGTTCATAGAAACAATGATGTTTACTCAGACCATCAGCTCCTGGGAAAGCCCAGTAGGCTACCTGAGAAAATACTTGAATTTGGCCACTACAGACTGCCTCTTCCCTTTGTGCCCATGCTCTAACAGCCACTGTCCCTCTGATCAAGACAGCTCCCAAGCTTACCTTAGACTGAGAGCTAACTCTCCACATGCTACATGCTATGCTGGGATGAACTATTCTAAAAAATGGACCCCCCAACAGATGCTGAGTACACCCTGTTTATGGATGGAAGTATCTCTGATAGGAATGTAGTCCAACAGGCTATATATGCTGTGGTCACCTTGGACAAAACTATTTTGGCCAAAATCTCCTGCAGGGATGCTCTGCACAAAAAACTGCTTCTGGTTACTATTTGGAAACCTGCCACTGATGCAAAATTACCTGGTCCAGAGGCCTAAGTATCCTCCTGAAACACCAACCCCAGCCAGAAAAACTTTACCTGGTATTCCCTGAAGATTAGAGCCAGTCCTGAGTTCAATCCCTCATACAAGAAAAAAAAAAAGATTAGAGCCAGACCTGCCCCCACCATTTGTTCTACAAGCTCAAGCCACAGTGCTGGTACCGTACCCCTACAGCCAGCTCAGGCTTTAGCATCTGTGTCACCAGCTCTGACCTATGCATTATAGCAGACTCTCCCCATTTAAAGATATATAGGTAGATTATGCAAAAATAAAACACAACCCTACAGAAACATTTTATAACCAGTTAAAAGACCAGCTCTATCTATAGACCTTCCTGCATACAGATAACCCAGGTACATATTAACTACCTCTACAAGTTTCAGAAATTCAGCCTTAGATCTGCTGGGAAATTTACCTGGACAGCTCCTCTAGGGCTCACTTTAAAGAGACAGTGCACTCAAACCCTGAAGCCTGAGCACACCTGAAGCTGTTCACAGGACTGCTCCACACCTATTCCCCTTGATTTTTGTGTCTTTTCAGGCTGCTTGCCCCAGTCTTTGCTTCCCTGACCCCCTGCTAGCTGTGGTTTTTATTAATTGACCTGGATTCTGATTACCCCAGTCCCTGATTCCATCCCATTAGCTGTGTTTTTTGCCTTAAGTTCTATGAATGGTTGCTCCAAGAGAATAGAACAATCAAACACTTGAACGAGATTTGATGAGTGTCCAAGACACAGGCCTAAATTATATCTCCTCCTAAAAAACAACTTAGGGGAAAACTTTGTGGTAAAACAATATTGGGGACCTTTGCTAGGACCACTGAAAACCCTAATGTTACTGCTTCTAGTTGGGCCTTGTGCGCATCTAATATGCACAGAAAAGATTCTCTAAGGAAACTGAAAAAGGAGGTAAATGTAGCAGAAAATGCCCCTACCCCAGCCAGTATAGTTCAGTTTGTTAATTGCCCAGGTAATACTGCCTGTTCCAGTTGCTCCTATCTCTTAGAACAGCTGGTCATGGTGATGCACACTGTATAAACAGTCTCCAACTGACCAGCCACTCTGCCTCTGTACCTCCTGCTTGCTTATCCCATATAAGCCCTAGACCACCAGAGATCAGGGCCTGGTGTCTGGGAATGATCCCAATCAGTGCCCATTGATATAATAAACCTGCCTCCAAGTCCTGAATGTCATTACAGCGTTTCTGCTTGCCACTGCAATGTGAATGCGTGTATGCATACCTTTGTTAGTAAAAATCAAACTCAAATGGATTCCGAGTAAGATTGTTTTCAGATTTTGTATCTTGATTTAGCCAATTATCATTACATTTGGGTAGGAAACAGTCTCTCTTAAGTATGTGTTTTTCATGTAATGACTGTAGATCTAAAGTGTACAACCCAGTGCAATGTTATCTTTGTAGGTGCCAGTGTAATCATCATGCAGATCAAGATATAGAGTATTTATAGCATCCCACACAAGAAATTAGAATTTTAACTTAGTCTTTGAAACCAAAAAGAGAGAATTTAAAAACATATGCTCTGGTGTGGGAGTGTGGATCAGTTGTAGAGCGTGTGCTTAGTGTGAAAGCCTGATTTAGTCCCCAGCACAAAAACAAAACAAAACAAAAACTCCACAGCTCTGGTGTCATAAAGTACTGATTTGAGGACTGGAAATGTAGCTCAGTGGTAGTATCTTACCACTCACAGGAACTAATTGCTCCTATGTCTAAGGATATACTTCTAATACCATGTCTCTAAAGTATAAAACAAAGTAAAATTGATCTATGTGATTAGTGGTCAAGCTATGACAGGAAGGACTCAGGTGAGACAGTGCTCAGGAACCAGTACTATTCTGTCTCTTGATTTGGATGCAGGTTACACGGTTGTGTTTGGTTTGCAAAAACTCATTGAGCTGTAAATTTAGGGTATGTGTGCTATCAACATATGCTATAATCAAGAACATGTTACTTAAACGTCATGAAACCAGGTATGGTACATACCTGTAATTCCAACACTCCAGGAGGCTGAGGCAGAATGATCACAGATTGAAGCCCAGCCTGAACAACTTTAGGGACTTGGCGAGACTCGACCTGAAAAAATAAAAGGCTGGGGAGGGAGCTTAGCACAGAGGCCCGGAGTCAATCCCCAGTATCACACACGCGTTCACACACACACACACAGTATACATATGCACATTATGTGTCTTTAGAATCTGAAACAAGATATTTCATATTTTACTTTCTCTACATTATAAAAATATAGCAAAATCATTTCTTATCATCTGGGAAAATCGAAGTTATTTCATTTTTAAAATGCAGGATTGTTGTTCTCTGCTTCTCAGGAGAAAAAAGGATCTCACTGTAGGGAGACCTGGATCTGTACTCAGAGAACAGGTAGCAGGGCTTCCTGCGCCCTCTGCAGGCAGTTGGCTCTATCTTCCATCCCTTACGCCCTGCTTGATGCGCTGGGGCTCCTCTGTTGCAGGGGGTTGCAAGGCTCACTGCGTGCCTGCCCATGTCTTATAGGCGCAAGCTGGCTGGTCCAAAGGGCCGAAAGAGGATTGGCTGGATGGAGTTCCGACTCTTCCACTATGCCGGGGAGGTCACCTACTGCACCAAGGGTGAGTGGCTGGGGGTGCAGGCCACAGCCTTGTGGGAACCGTGTGTGTGCCCAGCCCAGTCTACTGCATATGGCCACACTAAATGATCCCTAGCTTTGATCAAGCACGCCTTCTAAGAAGTCTTTCTCGTTTTATTTACTGGGCTATTTCTATCTGTAACCACTTTATTGAGATGGCTCATATTCCACCAGAATTTTAAATGTCAAAAATTCACATGCCAAAATTTCATCCACCTGTGTGTATAGTTCAGGGGTTTTACTATATGCACAGTGTATGGAACGTCCTCAGTCCACTTTGGAACATTTCAGAACCCCACACAGAGGCCCTGTACTCCTCACCATCACTGCCCACTTTCCACACCCTCAACCCATCCCCTCCAGCTCCAGGCAACAGACCAGCCTTCTGTCTCCATAGACTTGCCTCTGCTGAGAATGTTCCGTAAGTGGAATCTACAGTATACAGACTTTCAGGTCTGGCTTCTTTCACTCAGCATAATGCTTCAAGGTCCATCCATGCTGTTGTACCTTTTCATAGTCTAAAATATATTACCAAGGTGCAAATAGACCACTTTTACTTATTCTTTCATAAATAAAAACTGATGAGCATTTAGGCTGCCTGTGTAAGTTTTACCATGCATATATATTTTCCTTTATTTCGGGCATATAACTAACAGTGAAATTCCTGGCTTATACGTTAACTCTGATCTTAATTTGACAGATTTTTTTTCTAAAGTAGCTGCACCATTTTACATTCCTACCAGCATTTGTAATTATCTAATTTTTTGGTTATAGGCACTCTCATGGGTATGATGGGCATCTCGCTGTAGTTTTTATTTGTATTTTCTGATGGCTAATGATGTTAAACATGTTTTCATGCACTTACTGGTCATGTGTATATCTTCCCTGGAAAAATGTTTGTTCAGATCCTTTGCCCACTTGAAAAACTCATTGAGTTGTGAGAGTTCTTTATATATGCTGGATACTAGGCCCTTATCGGGTATATAATTTGCAGATGTTTTCCCCAGTTCTCTGGGTTGGCTTTTTGCTTTCTTGAGGGTAAGAGTTCATTGAAATATTGATCTTTTTTGTGCTTTCTTCAAAGAGCTTTTGGCTTAAAAGTATTTTATTCCTAAATTTATCACTAAGAATCTTTAAAACAAAGTATAGTGGTACTTTGGTTCACAAACTCAATTCTTTCCATGATTCTGGTCACAAACAGTATTGGAAAAGACTTGGATCAAACTCAATGTTTAGGGTCAGTGTTGACCTGATGGGAAAATTTGATGCGAGTTAGGCCCAGAGTTGTGAAGAGAATTGAGTTTGTGAACTGAGGCACCACTGTGTAAAATATTTGGGGTTTTTTTTCTTTAAATATAAAATTGTATGAAGTACAATGTTTTAAAAATAGAACGGATCTCTCTCTCTCTGCTGATAATCTCTTGATATTTGATGGAAGACAGAAGGTAATATGTGTAAGTCTAGAAATTGTCAACCGCACAGGAAGTACAGAAGGAATAGAAATGGTCTCTTTGTTACTCCTAGCTTTTCACCCTGGTAACCATGAGAATCAAGTGTCTTTTAATTGTTTCCAGGAAAATAGAAAGATGTTTTATGCACAGACCTACACATTAACACATGTGCGCACACGCACACACCCACACGCTGGAATAATCCAAGAGGCCTTTTGTGTTGTCCACTTCACAGATTTTATTTAATGAATGTTAAAGATCATTTGAATTCCAGCTGATGTTCACTAAGCACTTACTATGTGCCATGCATTAGGCCCAAGCTGTTTACCTCTGTTATTCAAAACCTTACAGAACCCTGTGAAAAGCTTTATACCCTTTTACTTTATGAGGACATTCAACTCAGAGCATGTTAGTAACTGTCCCAGTCACACAGCCAAGAAGTGACAGAGCCGAGGTTGAGACCCGGGCTTTTGTGCCTGCTTGCATGTACTCTCCACGCAGCACAGGGTCTGCTGCATTGCTTCTAAAGGGCTCCAGCCCCTCCCCTGAAGGGCTGTGTCCTCTGACCTGTTTGATGGACACATTTCTCAGTATAAACTCTAGTGTGTTTGGTATCTCGTATATTCCACTTGGGTGATATTTGCACATCACGACCATAGGTTAAATTTCAGTAAGTGGCGTTGCTGAGTAAAAGCTTCTATTAAAAGTTAGTTTTGACCATTTCTTGGTATTCCCCCAATAGAACTGAAAACAGGGTCTCAGACAAGGCTTGCACACCCAATGTCTAAAGCCATATCATTCACAATAGCCAACAGGTGATGGATGGAGAGACAACATTGGCCTGTACAAACAATGGAATATTTTTTAGCCTTAAAATAAAGAAGGCAGTTCTGGCACCATGGGTGAACCTTGAGGGTGTTATGCTAAAGGAACTAGGCCAGTGACAAAATGACAATTACAGCACAACTGCACCTACGTGAGGTACTAGAGAGGTCAAATCATGGGGAAGGAAGCAGAAGGCGCCGAGGGAGGAGGAGCTGGAGTGGTTGCTTTACGGGCTCAGAGTCTCACCTTGAGATGTTCAGAAAGTTCTGGAGATGGACAGCACTGATGGTTGCACAAAACGCAGATGCAGTCAACACCACTGGCCTGTGCAATTCCAAATGACTAAAATGCTGCATTTTATACGTATTTTCACTGGGATAAAAAAAATCAGTTTTGACCTGGGTGTGGTGGCTCATGCCTATGATCCTAGCATACTAGGAGGCTCAGGCAGGAGGGTCACAAGTTTGAGCCCAGCCTGGGCAATTCAGCAACTTATCAAGACCTTGCCTCAAAATAAAAAATAAGAAAAGGTTAGGGGTGTAGTTCAGTATAAACACTCTGAGTTCAATCAGTATCAAAAAGAGAAGGAGGAGGGGGGAGGGGCAGGGAGAGGGGGAGGAGAGGGGAGGGGAGGAGGAAGGGGAGGAGGGGGGAGGGGAGGAGGAGGGGGAGGAAGAGGAGGAGGAGGAGGAGGAGGAAGAGTCAGTTTTACTATCTCAAAATTGTCACCTAAAAAACTATGTATTAGAGGTTTTTGATGTCTCTGTCCTTGATGCTCGTCATTTTTAGCTGGCTTTGATTCATAAGGCCATCTGAATTATTTCTGGGTTGAACTACTACCTGATTAGGGTGGAGTGCACACCCGGTTCTCCAGTTGCAAAGGACCTGCACCAAGGTGCTGCTGGGTATCAGTGGTCATGGTGCGTGAGTCTGCCCTTTCTCGGTGGTGGGTGGGTGGTTTCCCATCTGTCCCAAGGTCTCGGGAGCCATGCTTAAGACTCTGTGCCCTGTCCCTGTTGCCATGGGTTTGTCATGTGTATATTTCTTTGCTGCTGGATGACGGCATGTGTCAGAACTCCATGTAAAGGCTGTGTTTACGGGCCAGCCTGTCAGTGTGTGCCATGATTATGGTTCAGAAAGCCTGGTTCTCAGCAGGGCTGGTGTCTCCCTGGTGATGCCTGGCAGTGTCCAGAGACAGGTTTGGTTGTCACAACTGGGGAGAACACCACTGGTGTCCAATGAGAGCAGGGGCCGGGCTGCTGCTCAGCATCCTGCAGGGCACGGGATAATCCCACCATGGCGAGTGACCCAACCGAAGTGTCTGCGGCGCCTGGCAGAACAAAATTTGATCTAATCCTAAAAATTATCTGGTAGGGTTTCTCTTTGCAATCAGTGGGGAATAGAATTTCAATAGTTAGGCAAAAGCATTGATTCAAAAATTTTTTTACAGGATTCTTGGAAAAAAACAATGACCTTCTTTACAGACATCTGAAAGAAGTAAGTCCAAAACCTAACCCAGTGTGTTTCTGACGGCTGTGAAATCTGCCCTGTGACATGGCATTTGGGATAGATGTGGCCTCCTGCATGTTTTGTGTCCCTGCATTCTGTTAGGGCTCTGGCGTGTCGCGACCAGAACAGGCATTCAAAAACAGCTGTGCAAACCCTGTCCCCAGCAAACTGGCTCAGTGTATGTGAGGTGTCCACCTGGCACCAGAACTGGCACTGCAGAAGTGAGCAAGACAGGCTCCATGTTCTGGTGGGGTTTATAGTTAGGGGTGGGAGTGGGGAATAAATATACCCACAAGTTATTCATCAAAGTGCTATGAAAAAATTAAACAAAGAAATGTGACTTAAAGGGACACTGTAATTTAGATGATCAGAAAAAAATATCCCTATGGAAATAACATTGAACTGAAACCTGAGTGACAATAATTTGGACCCTAGAAAGATCTGGCATTATTCCTGTAGAGGGACAAGTGTGTGCAAAGGCCCTGTGGCATGGATATGTTCAGAGTGTGATCAGTGAGGGGTAGTGTGAAGGGGCTGACAGCTCAGCAGTGTGAGATTCATGGGTAGAAGAGAGTTCTTTGGTGCAGTGAGAGTATGCTGGGTGACATGACCTGAGGAAAGGGAAACTGAGGTACAGAGAGCCACCAATGAAACTGTCAGTCTGTTTATAAAAACCTGTTTACATAAAACCTCACCTATCAAGAGAAACACTGAAACCTCAGAATTGTTTGTTTGTGGATGTAAGACTAGGAATTGAACTCAGAGCTTTGCACCAAGCTATAGCCCCAGCCTATTTTATTCTACTCTATTCTATTTTGAGACTAGGCCTTACTGAGTTGTTAAATTGCCTAGGCTGAGTTCAAGCTTGCAGGCCTGCCTCAGCCTCCCAGACTGCTGGGATTAGATGTGCCATCATGCCTGGTACCCCACAGTTTTTGGTTATTACTGTTGGTTGTGTTTTGTGAGAGCATCTCACTAAGTTACCCAGGCTGGCCTCAAACCTGTGATCCTCTTGCCTCAGCCTCCAGAGTGGTGGGGTAACAGGTACATACTATTGAGGTCAGCTTTACCTTGTGCTATAAAGGCTTTATTTGCCACTGAAATAGCTGGTTTGTACAAAAACAGATTTTAGTTAGTTTGGTTTATAAAAATCTGAAATGAATACCAGGCATGGTAGTGGGGAGGCTGAGGCAGGAGGATCACAGTGAGTTCAAGGCCAGCCTGAACTACGTAGTGAGACCCTGTATGAAAAAGGAATCTGAAAACCAAAACAGCATTTTGAGAGTGAGCAGGCAAGCGGTCTGCATCACGAGTGGTTTGGGTCCTTCTCGGGCTTTCTCTGCCCCTTCCTGGACTGCTTGTCCCGCCTCCCTTGGTGCCAAACTTTGAATCTCTGCACCAGGCAGTCGGTCTCCAGTCTGAGTCCCAGCTGAGGACTCTCTGACAGATTCCCCATCCACGTCTCCTTGGGGTCTCTGTGGAGCGAGGAGCCTGGTGATGAAGGGGACTGGCTCCTCTCCTGGCCCCCTGTGGGTGGTGGCCACGTGTGTCTGGTCCTGCTCCCAGAGCGCCTCAGAATCTCTCACCGCCCACCCAGGCCAGGGCTGAGCTTCCCTGACCGCCTTCCCATCTTATTCTCTCCTACCTGCAGGTTACTCTTGTATGCCTCTATCAGTTAGAAGTAGGATGGGTTTTTAAAAAGTGGCGTGAGGCTGGGATTACAGCTCAGTGAGGCAGTGTGTGCTTAGCATGCCCAAGGCCCTGAGTTCAAGCCCAACACCAAAAACAAGTTTCAATTTTTAAAAATTCAATGTTATATACATGTAGCAATATACTACTGTGAATCTTATTATGTTACTAACGTATACCAATAAAAAATGTAATTGGGACAAAACATATATATTTATGTATACATGTATATATATTTATAAGATATATCATAGTTTGCTACCTTGTTTTAAAGTGTGCAGTTCAGTAGTGTTCAACATTGCTGTGCAATTAATCTTTTTAACTCTTCATCTTATAAAACCTCGCATCCACTGAACAACCACTTCCCATTCCCAGCAGTCATTTACTTTCTGTCTCTAGGAGTGTGAGTAACGCAGGTGCCACCCGTGACTTGCCTTTTGTGACTATTTGCTTCACTTAACATAATGTCCACCAGTCTCATTCCTGATGAAGCAGTCACCAGAATTTCCTTTTTAAGACTGTGTAATATTCCACAAAAACTTTGGTTTAGAAGTAATTTTTTCAAATGAAGGAATTTGGATACTAGAAATTATTTTGAAAGTATATAAATGAGGTGAATCATTGTCCTTGGCTCCGTGTTACCCAGTTTGTCTCCTAAGGACCCACTGTTCTTCTTAGGTTACTGTGTATCCCTCCAAGGGATCACACAGGCCTAGATGTGTGGGTCTGTATCTCCCCATTTTCCTTCTCTTTGTACCTGCAGTCCTTGAAGTTCTGCATCTTGCATTTTTCATTTAACACTACTTTCAAGCAACTTGATGTTTCTTTGATTTGATTTGGTTTGGCTTATTTTTTAAAACTTGCAAATCTTTATTTTTTTAAAAAAAATTTTTTTAAAAACTTCATTACAAGTTTAAATGCTGAAGAAGCTCTCCCCCCACCAAAAACTTCATAAATACCAACTGCAGAGAAACTTCTTCCTTTGAAACGGTAACTTTTAAATAGTAAAGGATGATATTCCTTTACTATTTAAAAGTTTAAAAGTAAGAGGTACAGGAAAAGGCCACCCACTTTTAAAAGCCACTTTGCTTTCCCGTTGACTTTTTGGATCCACCACTATTAGTGTCTTTTACCTTTTCCCAAAAATTTAACATAAACACTCTTTGAATGTGGCATAATATTGGCAAAGAACCCCAGCCATCTGAATTTACCAGTTTGAACTTTCAAAGAGAATACCCTACACCTGCACTTACGTTTTGATCCCACAATGAGAGAGAGGCTAAAAACACCAAGGTAGTCAGCTTCCCCGGTGTGGAGATTACAGGTGTGCACCATCACACCTGCTGCCACTTTGGGGGGGGCGGGGTTAACCAGGGATCAAACTCACGCCCTTGTGCCTGCCAGGCAGGTGCTTATGCCGCTGAGCTAAATCCCCAGCCTCTGAGCTGGGTCCCCGCCCGACTCTTCAGTTAGGAATGTCTTCTGGTGCCCAGGCAGCATTTGGCTGTGACCTCCGCACACCACGGTGAGTGTCCTGCTGGTTCCCGTGGCGGCCACGGAGGGGCTCGCTTCTCCCTTCTCCCGCTGCAGGTTCTGTGCCGCTGCGAGAACAGCATCCTGCGGGAGTGCTTCCTGGTGGCTGAGCTGGAGAGCCGGAGGCGGCCGCCCACGGTGAGCGGGAAGTACTGTGCAGACTGGGGAGGGGACGAAAGTCACCCAGGGGTATTGCCTATCGGCTACCAATGCTTTTCAAGCCACTCTCTGCCTTTTCTGGAAGCGACATGAACAGGTCGTAGTCATGTGTGCTTTCCACACTGCACACCAACCAGTTCATTCACTGCAGACGTACACTGAGCACCAAAAAGGCACGGTACTGGGCTCTGGGATCAGCAGTAACAAGCTGGCCAAGATCCCTGCCCTTGAGGGCTTATCACAATAGTGGGAGAGGTACAGGAAAAGGCCACCCACTAATCAAGAGCTCCTAATAGTGTGGTGTCCTGAAGGAGGTTGGCGACCAAGAAGCAAGGGGAGGAGCTGGAGGGTGCTGGGCCCGTGAGGACCCTGGTTCTCCTGAGTCACTCCTGGGTATCAGCTCAGTGAGGACAGCATCCTGGCCAGGTGCTGTCCAGCTGCCGTTTGAGCAGGGTCAGCACCCCCTTGGCCCCCTCTTCGGGAGCAGACAGCAGCTGGTAGGGTGAGCCGTCAGGAGCTGGCGCACCGCTCGGTCTTGTCTCATCACCCGGAAGCGGTGACGTCTACACAGAGCTGTTCACTCCACAGGTGGGGACTCAGTTTAAGAACAGTCTGAGCAGCCTCCTGGAAATTCTCATCTCCAAGGAGCCTTCCTACATCCGCTGCATCAAGCCCAACGAGAGGAAAGAACCCAGTGAGTGCAGACTGCCCTGAACTGGAGCTCGGGGCAGAGGCTGGAGGCACGGCACGGGGGCAGTGGCTTAGGCGCCTTAAAACCACCCCAAGCTCATTGTCCTTGGGCACAAAACCATGTTCCTTTTTAAACAACAGAATGTAAATGAACTTCAAGAGGAGGCCCTTTGGTGGCCCAGAGCTTGGCCAGTTTCAGGAGCAACTCAGCTGAGTCCACCAGGTGTCAGAGATGGGGGTGCAGCATGGCTTCTCCCCAGCCAGTGAGCAGCCAAAGCCCTCACCCCACCCTGGCGATTCCCATGCCCTTGCCATGTTCTCTAAGGAAGTCGCATAGTCAGACATTCACAGCGGCCAGGCAGGCAGGACAAATGGCGGGGCAGACCAGGAGCAAGGCAACAGGGAGTGGCAGAGACTCCAGCAAACTGTAGAGGACCCCGGCAGCACTGTTCCCTTCCGGCCAGTTGTGGCTACACAGGACCATGGGCCCAGGGTCACCACATCTCATGATTGCTCAGGAGAAACTGGAAATCTAGATTTTCCTCTATTCAGTCCCCTCTGAAGAACGAACTGAAGACTAGTAAGATATTTCTGTGGCCAGACTCAGCCCACAGAGCCTCAGCTTGCAACCTGTGGTCTGGCCTGATAAAAACAGAGCCAAGGGATCCATACTGTACTGTCCCTCCTGTTTCTCCAAAGGCAAGTTCGATGACTTCGTGGTAAGGCATCAGATCAAGTACCTGGGGCTGATGGAGCACCTGCGGGTGAGGCGGGCCGGCTTTGCGTACCGGCGGAAATACGAGCACTTCCTGCAAAGGTAAAGTCTGCTTTGTGTGTCCGGCCCTTAAAATTGGGTGCCTACTACACGCCAGTCCTTGAGGTATGGTAACAAATGCCAGAGTATCCTTTCAGGAACCATCTCGGTTCTTAGTTTAGTAGTTTTGACCTCAAAAAATAATAACATTTGGGAGACAATGAAAACCCAAGAATAAAGAACCCAGTCAAAATGTGAGCCAGGGAAATGAATAGATACTTCACAGATGAAGCAAAAATGGCCATATAAATACATGCCAAAATGCTCAGCATTACTGGCCATTAGAGAAATGTGAATTAAAACAATGTGAATTACATTGGACTCTATCTTACCCTGGAGAGGATGGCCATTGTCAAGAAATCAAATAATAACAAGTGCTGGTGAGGAAGGAAAAGAACCCTTGCCTGCTGTGGGAATGTAAACTAGGACAACCACTATACAAGTCAGTGTGGAGACTCCTTAAAAACTAAGCCAGAAGTCCCACTGGACATGGCTATTCTCCTAAGTACCTTTCTAAAAGAGTTAAAGACATCGTGTTACAGTGATGCACACACACCCATGCTTCCAGCAGCATAGTTTATAATATCTAAACCTTGGAAGCAGCCTGTACGTCCATCAGCAGATGAATGGACAAAGGAAATGTGGTATTTACACACAGTGGAGTACTACTCTGCCATAAAGATAAGCTTGAGTAATCTGCAGGCAAGTGGGGGGACCTTGAGATCATAATGTTATGTGAAATAAATCAGGCACACAAGCTTACATATCACACAGATTCTCTTATGAGACCCAAACTGTAAATAAAGAGCAAAAGAAATGATAGGCAATAGGAAGCAGAGAGACAGATGTTTCTCAGATAGGAAGGAGATCAACAGAGGAAGAAGAGGGAGGAAAGAGGAATCAAAAAAGAAGATGTGTTACGCACATGTAGCAGCTCCCCACAAGGAATATACACACTATACTGCAAACATGTGTTAATACAATTGTTAAAGAATAATCAAATGATTAACCATTTTTTTCAAAACCCAAACTGGGGTTTTTAGCTCAGTGGCGTAAGTGCCTGCCTGGTAACTGCAAGGTCCTGAGTTCGATTCCTGGTGCCAAAAAATTTTTTTAAACCCTAAAGCAGTCTTTCCTTTTCTTCCCTTTTTCTTTCTTTCATTCTTTAGGGATTGAAGTCAGTACAAGCTACATCCTTAGCCTTCTTTATTTTATTTTGATTAAGTAAATTTTTATTTTGAGGCCTCACTACATTGCTAGGTTGCCCAAGCTGGGCTCAAACTTACAGTTCTCCCGCCTCAGCCTCCTGAGAATGACAGCCCTGGCTGGCTGCTTTATCCCTCAAAGCCCTAATTTCCTGCAGTTGAGTTAGAGGTAAGGTACACAGACCTGCCACCGGGGAGCCCGTGGGCAGTGCCCTGCTCAGCCTGCTTCCCCTGGGGAGGACTCTCCATTTGTGACAGTGTTGTAACCACACGACCTCTGTCAGAATCTTCGTTCTGTTTTCCTGAGCTGGGGCCCATTTCCCACCTGTAATGTGAGAGTTACACTGTCCTCAAGGAGTTCATAAGAATTTAATGAAAGGATCTAAAGTTATAGCCTTCTCTCTGATAGCTTGTTCTCCAGCATGTCTTTGGCGACAGGCCCAGGTGATTTTGTGCTACTCAAAAAGCAACGTCCTCAAGATGACTGATGGCCATCTCTGCAGATCCTCAGGCTCCCTCACGGGCGGTTTCACGTTGCTCGCCCTACAGCTGGACTTATTTGAGTAGTGCCGGGTGATCTGCCTTTGTGCTTTTCCCTTTTTGGATGTCTCTCCATAGTCCACCATTTTTGCTCATCATCCAGGTGCCATTCGTTTATCCACATCCCATCTATTTTTCTCAATCTGGCCTCTGGGGACACAGGCAGGAGGCAACAGCCACTGCCCGCCCCACACAGAACACGCAGGCACTGGGCATTTCCAGCTCCTGCAGCTCTGCTCGGCCTCCATAAACACTGGTGAGCGCCTCCACTGAGCCCACGAGAGCCCGCTATCAGGGGACAGCAGACAGCAGATGGAGTTTACTTTCTAGTGGAGGGGACCGGCAGTAACAAGAGTTGTGTGAGGCCAGGTGGGGCCAGGTGGGTAAGCGGGGGAGAGTGGAGGGCCCTCGGGAGGTAAAGGGGCACAGTAGTCTTCACTGGGGCTGCAGATTAGCAAGGAGTTGCGTTACTGTGTGTGTGTGTGTGTGTGTGTGTGTGTGTGTGTGTGTGTGTGTTACTGGGGATTAAACCCAAAGCCTTCACACTGAGCTACATTTCTGGTCCTTTACTTTTTGTTTTAAGATAAAGTCTTACTATGTCACTAAGTTGCCCAGGTTGGGTTCAAACTTGTAATCTTCCTGCCTCAGCTTCCCCGAAGGATGACAAGCACATGCCACCAAGTCCAGGTGTCCATTACCTTTTCTTCTGGTGCAGTTCCACATTCATTTGCAGTGATCTGCTGATGGGCATGAGAGTTGTCCACCTCGTGGCTACTATGAATATTGCTGCTATGAATATTTGCACACAAGTTTTTGTGTGGACACAGCTTTTGCTTCATACTGAGGAACAGAACTGAGTTAGTAAGGTTGAGTGCCCAATGATGTCATTGGTATATGTGGACAGGGAAAACTGCCCACTTGAATGAGCCACTCTCTTATTTCTGTCTCGCCAAGTGTATGTGCCTGAATTCAAGGAATTCTGTGTGATGAGACAGCTCCATTACACCAAGCAGCTGAGATACTGCGGTGGGTTAAGCACACCTGGGAGAGGGGAGAATGGGGCACCATGACATCTGCTGCATGACCTTCTCTCTGGGCAGGTACAAGTCCTTGTGCCCAGACACTTGGCCACACTGGCACGGGCCTCCAGGAGAGGGTGTGGAACGGCTGATCAAGTACATCGGCTACAAGCCCGAGGAGTACAAATTAGGGAAGTAAGTGGCCAGGAAGCTGCTAGATAATTCCCTGCAGTTGAAATATTTTGTGCATTGATCTGCATTCATCTAGAGCCTCATTTTTTTAAAGACATTTGCATGAGTTTACAAGCAGATGTTTCCACCCACTCAAATTAAGTGCAGCCCTCAATGGTTAGAAGGAGGAGATGAGGCCTTGGCTTAAAAGCTGGGATGAGCCTCTTCTTGCAAAATAAAGAGGGGTGGACCCCTACCTCTGTGAGCCTGGATTTTTTCATTGTTCCAATATATGTGTGACCTCCCAGAGGCAACATCAGCACCTGTACCAGGTGCAGTAAGTCATCTCTAGTGTCCCAGAAAGTGGTGTTCCATGCTGATCGTCATTACTATGGGCAGAGTTGCACTTGTCCACAGCTGTAAAACTTTGACACATGCTGTAAGCTCTCAGCATAACTCAGACGAACCAGGAGTATTTGCACCTGCTTTGTTACTCGTTTGGGTCAGAGCTTACTTGGCTGCATGGAACAGCACCTAAGCATGAGGAGGACCTGTTCCCAGATCACAAGGCCCTGCTGCCTGCCTCCAATCTCTCAGTGGGCTCTGCCAGCTCCTGCCTCTCACTTGCATGTGGTCACTCTCTTAACGTCTCTTATCCTGGGCCCTGTTCCAAGAATCACTTACCTATTCAATCCAAATACCTGAGGGGCATCAGTCCAGCATGTCCTGAATCACGCGGACCATGCAGGTCAGAGTTTGAATGTGTCCTTCCCATTCCATAACCTGGAAGAGGGAGTAGGACCTTGTGGACATGGTGCTCTGCTGCCCCGCAGAGGCCACGCTGGGAAGCTTCCCTCAAGGTGGGTGTGTGGGCAGCAGTCCCCTAAAATGAGCGCTCGAAACTTACCTTCTGCTTACAAGAACCTTTCTTCAAATTTAAGCTTCTATTTCTTTCCAGTATTTGGGATTAAACCTTGAGCCAAGAACAGATCCACCATCCCAGCCTTTTCTTCTGAGTCAGTCTCACTAAACCGCCCACTCCTGCCTCAGCCCAAGTAGCTGGGATTACAGGGATGTACCACCATGTGTGGCTCCAGACCGCTCTTCTTTGTGGTCACTCTTTAAAGCCCCAGAACATAACTTGAAGTAACTTCCTGTGCGGGTGGTGAACTCATTTTCCAGTGCTGCTCACAGCACCTCTGAAGCAATTTATTGTCTCACACTTCTGGAAGCCAGAAGTCCAAAATCAGAGTGTTGGCAAGGCCTCCTGGAGCTTCTGTGAGAGTCCCTCTCCCTCTCTTTGGCCTTCTGGGGTTCCTGGTGTTTCCTAGCCAGGACAGTTTCATCCACTTTAGGGCCCCACAAATCCAGACGCTCCCATCTCCACCCATAATCACACTTATAAAGACTTCCTACGGGTCAAACTCAGCATTTGCGGGTAGGGGACTATTCCATTATTACAGGAAGTAAGTGACCAATCATAATTAAAACATTTCTTTTCGCTTCTAGAACCAAAATATTCATTCGCTTCCCCAGAACTCTGTTTGCTACTGAAGATGCCTTCGAATTTAGTAAACATCAATTAGGTATGATTTTTTTTTTTGCCCTGATTTCAACAGAATGTGAAATGAACCAGTTTAGCTTGGAGGGGTAAACACTTGGCCACTGCTGTAATTGTTAGAAACATTCACTTTGGACCATAAGCCAGCTATGAGATCACGACGATACATGTGAACTTATGCTTGGAACAAGTTACTGGGGTGACAGTCCTGGAGGCAGGCAGATATTGAAATGCCATGGCGCCCTCTTGGTTGAATGGGGTACACCCTGCTGTGCAGTTACGACCTGAAACCATGCGCATCTATCCCCTATACGGTTTTAAAAACTCTATTGGCACCAGTATCTGATGTTGGCAGATACAGGTTCAAAGCTTGCATCCAAGGTATTGTTATGAATGGGAAATGAGAAAACACAGATGCAGCTGAAATGCTAAACAGTCAAACTCCTCTGGGGGGTACTTCTTCTTAGAAACCTACACTGGTCTAAGGAGGACCACATTTGAGTACCTAAACACCCACAACTGCAGTCTCACAACAAGCCTCACAGTAGGCATTATCACCCCCAATGTACACTCAGGGAAACTGAGGCAGGGATGCTGGTAAATTGAAGACCACAGTTAGTAAGCAGCAGAGCTTTGATTTCAACATGGGCCTGTCTGTCTTGCTTCAAAGCCTGGGCTGGTAGCTGCCCATTTGCTGATCTCAGCATTGACCCCTCAATGAACCTGGCTTCTCTCTGGTGGGACATCAGTCACTGTGTGGAGGGGGTGGAGGACGGAGGCGCTGCGGGCACCTCATGGGTACCCACTCCTAGGCTCGCACTCCTCGGTAGCTGGGAAGCAGCTCTGTTCTGTGCCCACTGTAAAGCATGTAACAATGCCTGCCTCTTGGGGTGCCTATAGCCTGAAGATGACCTCTAAGGCCTAATGCAGAACCAGGGGCTCGTACCCATCCTGAGGGAAGCAAAAGGAAAGGCAGAGAAGAGACTAACTGCATGGCATCTAGAAGCCAGGTCTAATACGAGCCACCTGTTCACACCTCTGTGATGCCATATCAGCAACCTGTGTCACTGCTACCCCGCACGCATTAGAGAGCCACAACCACTAAGACACGCAAATGTAAGCCATTTCACCAAAACTTGTTTTATTTCAAGTTGCAAGAATCCAAGCCACATACAAAGGCTGCCTAGGAAGGAGAGAATACGTGAAGAGAAGAGAAGCAGGTAGGTACACAGAGCCAGACCGACACTCTCGCCCTCTCGCTGGCCGGCACCATCCCTGCCCAGTCCCTCCCCTGCCCTTCCTTGAACCCTTGGTGTGGGCCCAGGCCTAAGGCCTCTTTTCCTTCTAACTCCCTGCCTGGAGGTCATAGCCTCGTGGTCTGTTGATTCCACGGGCAAGTTTTCTTTGTCTACTCTGGAAGGATAGTTTTTTTAAAAGCTGTCAAACACCAGAGGTACCCTGGACACCTCTCCCAATCACATGCTCAAGCCATGCCCCATTTCCATGTCTTAGAAGTGACCTGTTAAAAGTATGCAGTTCTCAATCCCTGTTCTATACAGTTTTACCATCTATGGCTTGAGCACTTGATACATTTGTAGTTTGGCATGTGCCAAACTTAACGAAATTGTATCATTGATATTTTGGGCCATATTTCTTGCACCAAGTCATTTTCTTCTAACTCAACCAGGAGATGTGTAGATTTACTCATTTATAACTACCTGGTACTTCACCCTGTCAGAGGTCCATCAGATAGTGAATATTTTAGATTTGTGAGTCATCTGGGCTCTGTCACAACTACTCAACTCTGCCCCGTGGCCTGAAAGTAGCTTTAGACGATATGTAAAAGGACATCGCTGTGTTGCAGTAAAACTTTATTTACATAAATAGGTGGCTGGTCTTCGGGAATAGTTTGCTAGCCCCTGAGCTATATGGAAAATCCACAATCTTGCTCTGCTGATGAACATTTGGGTCACTTTCAGTTGCTTGTTTGTTTCTGTAACAGAAACAGTGCTGCTCTGGAGAAGGAAAGAAAGACACTTAAAAAATTTGACAACAAAAAGTGAAAAACAGCAAGTGTGGAGCACAGGCCTGTAAACCCAGCAGTCTGGGAGGCCAGAGCAGGGGGACTGCAAGTTTGAGTCTGGTCTGGCTATCTTAGCAATTTAGCAAGATTCTGTCTTAAAATACAAAATAAAAGGTGCTGGGGCCCTTCAGTGCCAACTTCCTGGGTTTAATCCCCAGTGTCACCAAAAGAGAAAATTCTGAAAAAGTATTTAAAACTTGGGAAACAGCCAGGATCTAATATGCATGATTCCAAATTTTCAAATGTGGGCAGCTAAATCCAAGTGAGTGCTGGGTGAAGCCCAAAAGCAAGTGAGGAAACCATATGCTTGCAAGCACTATTTTAGCCCTGAATAGGCTGTGGGAAGTTTCCACAGCAGCCTCTTCCCGGTCTCCCTGGTTGTCTGAGTGCCCCCAGTAAGAACAAACGACAGACATCCAGCTTTCCATTTCTGAGCCAGCAGGCACCCTGGGGGTACCCAGCTGTGTGCCAGCAGATGAACCTTTCTGGACAAGGCTGCTGTGTTTGTGCTCACCTTCTAATGCTAGCAGTGGACTCTTTCAGCCACCAAACTGGAAGCTCACTGGCGTGGAGCCCTAGCTCGAAAGCAAGTCAAAAGGAGAAAGTGGGCTGTACAGATAATAAGAAGGTAAGCTCTTGGTACGGCAAGCAGGAGAGGTCAGCAGGCACCATTTGAATTTTGTGATGCTGGGATTTGTGCAGAAATGAGATCTTCCCTTCCAGATGCTCCTGGGAATTTAGTTTCACCACCTGATTGATGGTGATCACAGTTCAGCACATTAAAGTCAAATGCTTCCTGAACCCAGGCTAGTAAAAGTGAGTCTCAGCCAGGCCTGGTGGCTCACATCTAAGTATACACTTAGAGCACTAAGCAGGCTGAGGCAGGAGGATCCCTATGAGTTCAAGGCCAGCATGGGGTACAGAACGAGACCCTGTCTCAAGATGAATACATGAATGTATGAATGAATGAATGGTGAGCAAGTCTCAAGAACTGGGAGAAAACAACAGTGGGTGGCAGGGACTGTGGCAGACTGGTAAGCTCAGTTCTCCACGGGCAGGAACTGTTCTGTCCTGGCCGACAGCTGCTGCAGAGAAGGCTAGGCCACAGCTGTCTGCTGGATACTTTAAGTTAAGCTAAAATGCAGCTCTTATGTAATACTGCCTAACACTGCTTTTTAAGGAACTGATTACTGATGAAGTTAGGATTTCTGTTGAAATGGAGAGCAGTTCAGGTAAAACCAGGAATGGGGGTGCACAACTGTCCCTAGCACTCAGGAGGCTGAGGCAGGAGAATTGCTGCAAGTTAGAGGCTAGGTGGGGTACACAGTGAGTTCAGGGCCTGAACTGTGTACCAAGACCTTGCCAGAAGAAAAAAAAAAAAAAAAAAAAAAAAAAACCAGCAAACAGTGTGGGTAAAAGACTGTGTATCTCTGCAGATTTGACCTTTGGGCTACATTACTGGCTTCTATCCTAGCTAGCATTTAAATGACCTCTACTATTTCAGCCTGCTATGAATCAAACAGGGAGAGGTCACAAAGTTCTGAGGAAATGGGCCAGAAACCTAACAAAATATTTTCCTTTTGAGGTTCATCAACGGATTCATCAATCGCAACAAACCCCTTTCTCCTGACAATGAGGAGTTTCTAGTGTTCGTGCGCAAAAATTACATCTTGAATCTTCGGTATCATGTCCCGAAGAATGTACTGGACAAGAGCTGGCTGAAGCCACCTGGCATCTTGGAAACTGTGAGGACTAGACCGGGACTTGGATGTTACAAGGGATGTGGGCACTAATCGAAGTTTAGCTTCTGTCAGAACTCATTATATTCTTCCTAGAACTATAAACTGATTAGAGCACATTTGAGTGGTCCTCTCTGCGTGACAGCTTTCCCAATCACTGTTGCAAGGTTTCTAGAATGATGGCCTGGAGATCCTTGAGCTCCACCCCAGACCCACTGAGTCACAACCTCTAGGAATCTATTTATAGGCAAGTCCTCAGGGGACTCGTGACCATGTTCAAGTTTGAGAATCACTCATTAGGCAATGGAGAAGTTACTCGCAGATGGGAAGCCTCACTGCTTTGACTGTAAAATACTAGTGCTGGGTTTTAAAATTGTCTATTTTGGTCACCACAGGCCAGGATGGTATGAGTGAGGTAGCTGGGAAAGAAATGTGTTCTCTACACAGGCTTCAGACCTGCTCAGGAGAATGTGCACAAGGAACCTGGTTCGGAAGTACTGCTGCGGGGTCACAGCCGAGCGGAAAGCCATGGTAGGGACATGGGGCCTGTCCTCACCCGCCACTCCATGCACAAGCCAAAGGCTGTGTCTCATGACTTGTAGATGAACTGAGGATAAACACACAGAATCCTCAGTGACTGTCAGCTGACGTTAGTCAGCGTCCGTGTATGGTTACCATGGGAACTGAAGCCAGATGGGCCCGCACTAGAAAGAAGGTGGAGGAGTTCTGTGGGAGGTCTGGTTTTGTTAATGATTACCTGCAGGTGTTTTCTCTAAAGACCCAGAGAATAAATGTTTTAGGCTTTATGGGCCATACAGTGTGTTAATATCCAGCTCTATGGCTGTGGCAGGAAAGCAGCTGTAGATGTATAAACAAAAGCCACAGTTGTATCCCAATAAAACTTTACTTACATAGAGCAGACAGCAGGCTGCATTTGGCCCATGGGCTGTACTTTGCAAAACTTTGATCTAGAAGAAACTATTCTCTGAAGTTCAGAAAACTCCATTTTTAAGCCACTACAAGCAAGGGGGGCCCCCAAAACATCAATCTCAGTCTCTACCAGTGTGATTTTTAGGACATAATGGCCAAAGCCAGGAATGTGTTCCGACCCACACCAAAGTATAACACGGCTCCTGTGGCTTTTCCAGCAAAGTAATTGATACTGTGAGTGTAAAGCTGTTCTATGCAAGAGCAAGCCCTGGGGCTACCACTTTGGTACTTTAAATTATGTATTACCAGATGCAGCAGAAGGTGGTTACAAGTGACATATTCAGGGGAAAGAAAGAAGGCTATGCAGAAAGTTTAAATGAACCCTTTGTGAACACTCGGATAGGTAAGTACATTTTCCATCTATGGATACCGTTTCCCAGTAAGGCAAGCTGCTCAACTCTGTAGCACTTCCTGACAGCTATTTCCCGAGCTGAGCCCTCAGCACGGAGAACATATAAAGCCGGTAGACAACTGTGCCTTCTCCGGCATCAGTATTTAGCGATGATTCACGGTGTTCTGGTTCCTTTCCCAGACGAAGGAGACATTAATCCCAAAGTGCTTCAACTAATGAGCAATGAGAAAATCCAGGTAAGGAAATGTGTGGCCTTGGCCTGAGCAAGATTCCCTGTCACAGCTGAGAGCAGGGTCTTTTTGGCACAATGCTGGGAGCACCACTCAGACACAGTGTGGCTGGGCGGACGGGGTGCTCAACTGTGCTGCTCTGGGTGTTAGCAGAGGCTGTGGGGTGACACATGATCACCAGATGCCTGTTGTCTCGGTTCACTTTCCTATGACATGAGACATGTAGACAGTAACTTAATCGTTAAGTGAGAGGTAGGTGCACTTCCGGGTGCTGATGCTGCCTTCTCTGCAGAATGGCTGGGCAGGTTGCTTACACCCCTGGCACCTCTGTTCTTCTGTGGTGCGGATAATGGGAGTGCTGAGCGGATAAGCAAGGCAAGAAGGGGTGAAGTACTCAGGCCGTGGCCCAACCTGCAAGCAGCCGTGAGCTGGTCTTTGTCATGTGCTGGGTGTGCTCGCACCCTTCGTTCCCTGGAGGATAGAAGCCTGTGTGACTGCAAGAAATCCTACCCTGGCTGTGAAGGTTCTGGAGCCCAGGGTATCTTCCTCTCTACTGGCCTCAGACCACCCCTGTGGGGCTGGGTGGCTCCAACCGTGGCTCCCTCAGAGGGTGTAACAGTCAGGCAGGGCTGGGAATCACCATCCTCCATGCAGGGAACAGGACACGGGGGAGCAAAAAACCTCTTCATGCAAAATCTGTCTGGTCTGAGCACCTGAAATAACTTCACCAGACTCTGAGTCACAAGGTACTCTGTACTCTGTCCCTCACAATATGAGGTAAGTATCCCCCATGGGAATGCTCACCTCCTTGCAGTATGGTGCTCCGGTCATCAAGTATGACAGGAAAGGCTTCAAGGCACGACAGCGGCAGCTCATCCTCACTCAGAAAGCAGCTTACGTGGTGGAACTTGCCAAAATCAAGCAGAAGATAGAGTACTCAGCCCTCAAAGGTAAGTGCCAGGCAACCATGAGCCATTTCCAGGTTGGCTCAACTCCTGGGCACACTAGTGATGATGAGGCTTGCCAGTGGGATACACAGGGAAGGATGGCCAGGCTCAGGCCTGGTCTGTGCCCCTTATTCTGGTATAAATGTCCACTGCACCCAGCCTACTCAAATATACAGTTTGGACAAAGTCACCTTCCACAATGACTGGTTTTGACTCAGCTCCCAGCCCAGGAGCAGGAGGATTTCTGGAATATGCCTTCTAGCCTTTGGGCCCAGCTAGAAGGAAGTAGACATGGGTTTGGGGAGAACCTGGGTGCTCTCTCTCTCCTCTTTTCTGCTTTAATGTCAAGCTGCCCACTTCTGGGCCCCTAACCCTGCATCTGTCTTAAGGTGTCTCCACTAGCAATCTGAGTGACGGGATCTTAGTCATTCATGTTTCACCAGAGAACAACAAGCAAAAGGTAACTGATGGCCAACGATCTTTGCTAAAAGAGGAAAGTGCCAAATCTTCAATTGAGTACCTCAAAACCTGCAGATTACAGCTATTCGTGTTTTTCTTTCTAACCATTAATACTGAAACCACTGTGTCCTCTTCCTACCTAGGGGGATGCCATCCTCTTGTGTGAACATGTATTTGAGGTCGTTACTAAGCTCACCATGCTGGTTAACAAAGAGAACTTTGTAAATGTCGTTCAAGGAAGGTAGGTAGCATCACCTGCTGGGGAAGGAATTCTTTGGTAAAAGACAGCAACCAACAGACAGAAGGGATGCAAATGTCAATGTTTCCACACATGCCTGCCTTCTGTACTCAAAGCTGGGTGCTGACAGGAAGACTCCCCTATGTCCCCTGGCCCTGCCCTCACCCCTTCCACCTTGGCCTACACAGGAACAGGTCAGTGACCACTCACTGACCTCAGCAAGCAGCGGTCTTCCCATGCAGTTTCCAAAGCAGGTGCTTATGCTCCTGAGACACAGTCACTAAGTGAAGGGCAGACCTCTGACCTGGAGCGGGACAGTCACACCTTTGCTGTGATGCCCGACGGCACAGCTGTTAGATCACTGGGCTGCAGCTTCCAGGCTGTGCAGGACTATCAGGGAAAGTGCTCTGTTGCTTTCGTGCGTAAAAGAACAGTTCCCTGCACACAGAGTATCCTTACTTTCCTCAATACCTCTGGAGCAGCTGCCACCTCTTCTCTTTTGGGCGATGCACATGGACCCCGTGTTAACCAGCATTCAGGGAGGCATGCGGATGGCCAGTGAGGGCGTGCAGACTCTGAAGGGCCATTAGCAACTTCAGCACCATGCTTGTTCGGTGTCTGTGGCACAGTGCCTGTAAAAGCAGGTTGCTCTTGGCAAGGACTGTTTTTTTCCTCTGCTCCAAGAGCGTACAGCCTGATGAGCAAATTCACAGGCGGAATACAAAAGAGCTAAGAACTTTGAAAAAGAGGTCTCCATTTTGCTGTACCTGGAGGGAACACCGAGGCCACTGTAAGAGTTCCAGCATGAGGATATGTGCCTCACTCCTCAGATATTAGACTGGCCCTTCGGAAATTTTAATGTGCTTAGTCGATCTGAGAATAACTGCAGAAGTGTGTAAGTCACCCCCTTGTGAAAATGGTTTCCTTCTTTGGATCGCACAAATATGCAATAAAATAGGAATTCAATCTTGAAACTAATAATGTTTTGTGAGTGCATTTCTTTTGCAGACCAAAGGTTGGCAGGAAGAAAACAAGAGTATGTCAATAATTTGTCACTGTGTATTTTAAGTTTACAGTTTTATATTAGTCCTGGGAAAGAAGGAACAATAGTTTTTGATACTGGACCAGAAGAACAAATCTATAAAGATAAAAATGGACAGTTAACAGTGGTAAGTGGCTGGCTTGGGGGGGACAGATAAGCAGTTTAAGATGAAGATACAGGCTTAAAAAGCAAGTTCATTCTTCCTTCTATTCCTGATTCCATGTCTGAATGACAGGAAGAGACTGATTTAGGAGACATGAATTTAAACACCAAATAAGGGGAAACTGTTAGCATATTTAATTGTCAGGGAAGCAGAAGTTGACACTAAACACTTACCAGTCTTACAAGCCCAACTTTTCACTGGGTGACAAATGATTCTCAAACTCATCCATGTGCTTGAGTTCACCTAAGATACTGTAATCTTCCTGGTTGCTAGTGTAGCCTAGTATTTAGAATTGAGATTGCAAATCTAAAGGACACAGACGTTTGGCAATCCCTGCCATGTCATGAAGAACCTGAGCACACAGGTGACCTGGTCCTCCTTGACTGTGCCCCCAAACTGGGCTGAGGGATCCCACAGTCCTCAATGACAAACAGTACACAGAGCATGCTTTGATCCAGGGTGCCCAGGAAGTGACAAGTTCAAAGCAGAGGGGTGGCATCTTTAAAATGTACATTCTACTTATACCAAGATTTGATACAAATTAAAAATGAAGTATCTCCTGCATTATTTAAATGTTTACATATTTACTTGTAAATTTTTATGGATGTAAATATGAACACGTGTCTTTCATAATCTAATGGATCCACTTCAGGGAGTGAAAGGCAGGACCTCTGGGATGTAAGGCATGCTGTGGGTTTTCAGTTTACGTGCTATGCTGCCTTAAAGCTCACACCTGGAGAACTGAAGTTCTCTTTCAGGCTATTTTCCTCCTTGGCTGGCTCACAGCCAGCTAACAAGATGCTAACAAGCCGCTTCTCAATCCAGCCTGTCTTGTAGGAGATGCAGCCAGTTTCTCAGCTCATCTGCCCTCCTAGGCCAAGCTGATCTCAGGTGGCGCCTGCTTCCTTCCCAGGGAGGGAGCTGCGAGGTTCTGAAGTGTGGCTCTCTCCCAGGTGTCGGTGCGGCGGAAGTCCTGATGGCAGACAACACCTGATTTCTACCAACACTGTTTTTGCTACAACTGAAGAAAGCACTGGGGAAGCAGGAATCTGACCCAGTTAGCTATGTCTGCAAGACAAAATGCCGGTGACTCCTGGGAAGGCATCACATCTGAAGACACTGAGTATCATGTTCTGCCAAAGCCTGACCCCAGCTTCTCAGTGCAGCTGGCACTGTATTAAAATGTCTTCTGGGAGCTGAACTCGAAGTCGTCTAATGGGGTCCTCTTAAACATCCCAAAAAGGATCTACACTGGACGGGCACTTCAACATGGCACTGTTGGGTATGCAGCAGACAGTCTACCTCTGTCAAGCTGCCCCTAGGACACAGTGAAATGTTACATATGATCTGACAGGAAGTAAATGAACCCTCTCATAAAGCTGCAAAATTTGAATGCTTCTTTAAATAAATGGAACTTACAAGCTTTAAGGAACTGGTGGTGTTTCTGTGGGCTCATTAGGCGCCAGGTGGTGAGTGGATTCCCCCAGGCCCTTCACATTACATCAGTGACAACACCAGCTGACTCACTCCTCTTTAGAAAGGCAGGCAGCATCTTCACCCAAGACTTCCTTTGAGAGTTAAATTCAAACACTACGGCAAAATGACTCATCTTTTCCTTCCACCACAAGCGACTTTAAGGTGGCAAAGTATTACGTAGGAGCTCCTTCTTGCTCTGTGTTATCAGTGGCTCTACTGTGGAGGGCGTTTCAGAAAAGACCCAGAAAACAGATTTGACCAGAAGCATGGCATAATTTTTATTTTACAAATGTTTACGAACGCTTATACAAGAGAAAAACAGTGACTACTCTTAAAACTGACAGCATTGTCTTCATAGCACAGGGAGACGGAAAGGTTAACGATGCACTTGAAAGTGTTACAGTGTCTTAGAGTGAAGCCCTAAAGGTAACCCGGGAGAGGGGGTGGCACGCGTAGGTCCTGAACAGCAACTGTAAGGTCCAGGCGAACACCTACGCGGGGACTGGGGACCTGCAGAGGTCAACCTGCACGTCCACCATAAGAAGGCAGCAGGAAGGGTGCGCAGGCGCTGCTCGGACCCCTGTCACCACCCTCAGAAGACTTACTCAAAACAAAGACTGTGCTTGATTACCATGGAGCAAAAGCTGTTCCAATTTTTAACTGTAAGCTCTTATAGCAAAATAAAACCTTGCTCTGCAGCAAAGCTTACGCCAGTGTTTATTTAGATGGTTCATAAATAAAAATCTTGACTTTTGCTCTTAGTGCTAACATGTGAAAAGTCAGTTCCTTTCCTTGTACAGTCTATTTGATGGCAGAGCTTGGACCAGCCAACACTTGTCTGTCAGCTCCTGGCTAGATGCAGCTGACGAAATCATTCACCACGGAATGTTTACAAACCTGTTTGAATCCCTGGGAGGCAGAGATGCAAACTTACAGGTGCAAAGTTGAAGGAAAGTAAAGGTACCAAGAGCTGCCAGCAACGGCAAGTCATACATAAGGCATACGTACATGAAAGCCGGAACAAGTCGATTGTTTCACAAACTTAGTCACACAGACACTTAAAAAGCACAATTTACACAATGGCTTTTCCATTCCAACAGAAAACATCAGAACTGACATTCACTTTAACTTTAAAAAGTTTAACCCAGACGGCAGGGTTGACGTTTAAAACCTAAACAGTATAAAATACTTACGAAACATTATTTTGTAAGCTCCCTTTCCTTAGCCTTAATAAAACCCAAATAGCCTCATATAAAAGTTTCCCACACGACAGTTTAAAAAGCATCTACCCAATACCTCGTTTTCAGGTTCGGTCTTGATTGTTTTAAAGTTTTAAATAATGTAGGCTTTGCTGCTGGATACAAAAGAAAGGCAGACGACTGTCACAGGTACAAAGTCTAAGCTGTAAAAACCGTTGCAAAAGAGAAACTCGTTTTTTGGATACAGGTGTGAAAGGCTGCCCATGTTAATACCTTTGGTATAAAACAGTAATGATTCCTTGCAAGCAAACCATCCCTTACCTGACACATACTCATACCTTCTTATAACTATTCTACCTAGTCTAGTCTCAACCACCCACGTCAGTCATAATTCACTTCTGCTCCTGTGCAGGTGCAGAGGAGGCTGGGAGGTAGGTAACTGAGAACATCTGTCCTAATGAGCACCATGCACGGCAGGCTCCAGCTCGGGCCACCTGTGCCCCACAAACACACATCCTCACTAACAGTCACACACATTCCCTAAACAAATATGAACATGGACACAAACCAGACCCAAAGGTATCCGTACATCCTCTCAACCTGTTCACTGATGGCCACTCTATTCTGCATAGAAATCAGAGACAAAACGAGAAGGGATCTCCAGGTGACTGCTGTGTGCACAGGCAAGCTCCCTCGGGCTGGTGGGTGAGGGGTGTCTGGCTGGTAGAACTAAGTCTGGGGCCGCACCGAGTTCCTGAGCAAAGGGCAAGGCACCCACCTGCTGAAGCAAGTCTACAGTAACGGGAAGGCGGCCCAGGAGAAAGGAGTAGGCGCTGTGGAGCGGCAGTGTGCAGGTTTCACCTGCAGCTGGTCAGGCGGCCTTGGAGGATTGGAGTGGGTCGACAAGGACAGCAAGTGGAAGGGGCAGGAGATGGGAAGAGAGCTGGGCACTCACTGCCAAAGAAAGCTCTACTCCTTGCCAGGCGTGCTGTCGTCCCAGCAAGCACCAGACCAAAAGTCAGCCAAGGCAGCAAATATTTTACACCCAAAGATGTATTAAAATAAACTCGTTAGAAGCAGTGGCCCTCATTGGGCCTCATTTTCACAGCCACAAGCTGAAACTATTTATCAATAAGCCCTAGGGACAGAACCATGTTGCAGAATGGATTCCCAGGAAAGTCATGGAGATTGTGCCCAGGCAGAAGGTACAGGAACCAGGAACCAGTCAGCTGAGGCTAAAAGTTTAGGAAATACAAAGCTCAGACACCTCTAGTGGCCACCACCTGGAGAGCCCCTCTCAGAATTGTCAAACTGAAACCTTAAGGGAGTGTCACTCAAGAAGCCCTAATAGGGACTCAGCACCCACAAAAATAAATACTGCAAACGAAGTTCTCACGTACGTTTCACGCTCATTCATACTTTTCCTCTGAGAACCAAGAAAGCCTGGCTCCAGATTCTCACGAAAAGCAGAGACCTTGGACATAGCTTGTTCAACTATGGGGTGCATACACCTGGGTCAAGGCAGGAGCAATTCACCTTGTCGAAAAGTATCAAAATAATCATCTGGCTAGTTACAAAAGTATCTTCAGACTCCAGGGGAAGATGAAGGTGCCCAGAAGCCTGCAGGAATCTGAGTGTGGCAGGGTGGGGAGGAAGGCGGAGGAAAGAGGAGGGCGGCTGGGTCCACTGGCCTGCTCACTGGTGGAGGTGGGTCCGGTCGTCAGGACGCTTGATGTGGATTCGCCGCACACGCTCGATCCTCTCTCGCTCCCGCTCCTCGTCCTCATCCAGGTGATGGGAGCGCCCGGCTGCTCCACCTGTGGCCTCCAGGAGCGCATTGTCAGGTCCCCGGCCATCCTGGGCCTCATACAGCAGAATATTCAGGGTCTCCTCATAAATACGGGCTTCAGGGAACTCAACCTGTGTCCCCACAAAACACAGGGGAAACATGTTAGTATGGGACACACACAGCCCACCACCTTAGCCACAACCTGAACTTCTGAGCTGGACCATCAGGCTAAGGAGGGCCGAGGATGCTAATGAAGACAGTCACTGTTATTTTTAAAGCTACTGTTGTTTTCAATAGATAACGTTTACACATAGTGTTCAATTCACCTGAGCCCAAGGGAACACAGTTTCTTCACCCTCCCTCCCCTGGCCGTCCCTTCACAAGGGCCGCGCTGCTATCTTTTCACCTGCTCTCAGAGATCCCATGTACATATACCCATGTCATGCACTTTAACAGACAGACAAGCTGCCAGAGTCTCACGCCCCTTCCTCCTGTCCCTAACTTCTAATTACACGTCAGGGAACTATGAAGAACGCGATGCAATCAAGTAGTTCACTCAGATGAACATTCAGGTTACCCCCAGTATGTTGCCACCAACAGGGCTGTGACATCAGACAAAGGTCCTCCATGTCTTACAAACACCTTGAAAACAGCTTTCTGTCTGCACAAACACCTCCCTCCTGCCTAGCGAACTGCTGCTTGCTCGTCCCTCTACCACCACCAATGGGGTGGGGTTCTGGAAGGAGGAGGGTCACACAAGGCAGGCACCTGACTCAGACGAGATTTGGTCTCAAGGAGAAGGTGCCAACGTTTCGAAAGCAATGGAGTAAACACATCCCACCTTTTTGTCTTCATCAATGCCACCAAGGCAGGTGAGGATGCACACAGCAGCCCAGAGGGACTGGGGAAAGAGCAGCACTGGAGATGATCCCAACCAGCCGTGCATCCTCCAGCTTTCCCCTGCTTCCCCATCAATGCAGGCTGAACCTAGCACGGGCTCCACAACAGAGCACCACTGGTCTTTGGTGACCAGATGAGCCAATAGGGTCCAATACACAGAGTGGGAGGAAATGGACGAAGTTTCCTATTTTTCTGCCCTCTGCTCTCGCCTCTAAGCAGTCTAATGGCAGAAACCAGAGACTGCAGGAGTCAGAACTTTTTGGTGCTAGGCATAAACCCCAGGCCACACTCACATAAGGCGAGCTCCCTGCTATTGAGCCACACTGCCAGTCAAGGGACTTTCTTTCTGATGAGGTTTCTGGTCTCAGGGTCAGGAGGGAGCCAGGCAGAGTACTGCATGCGTATCATCCCAGTATTTGGGAGGCTGAGACAAGAGGATTGCCTCAAGTTCAAGGACAGCCGGAGTTACACAGTGAGTCAAAGACCAGCTTAAACTACATATGAGACCCTGTCTCTAAAAAGTAAAAATAAAAAAATTTTAAAAACAAAGTTATAAGGAATCCCAGGCAGTGGATACAGCTCAAGTGGCACAGCGCCCACCTAGCAAACACAAGGTCCTAAATTCCATTATTGGTACCAAGAAATAAAGAAAAGAAAAAAGGATTCCTAGCTGCTTTTTTCACAATCTTCATGCTGGTTGCCCTCAGATATAATAAGCTCAATCATGATGAACGGATCATCAAAAGCCTTAGTTCAATCATAAGAAATGGGTACCAGAAGCCCCAGGCATGCACCACTCTGCCTGGCTCATTCCTGACCCTGAACAAGGGAGGGCCAGAGAAGCTGAAAGCGCAGGAGAGATTTTAAAGGGAAACAAAATCAAGAAAGTAGACTCTAAAGTTGTGCAGGGAGAGCAGAACTCACGCAGCTGCAGAGCCCACCCCTAATCAGCACACGCTGACTGGGAGAACTGACCAATGCAACTGGCCGGTGTGGTGCACAGGTGGGCAGCTCTGAAGGCTTTGAAAACTGAGCTGTCCGTGGAACTTGCAGCCTGAATCCAACTCAGTCAATTACTTTCCAAAACAAAGACACCAACATTGTTCCTAGAACTAAACAGGACCTGGAATCCTATGTGACATTTAAAATGTTCAGGACACAATTCAAAATTACTTGGTATGTGAAGAACCAGGAAAATCTCAGTTCCTGTGGAAAAAGTCAACAAATGCCAGTCCCAAGAAAACAGAAGGGGCTGGAATCCGACATGGACCTGAAAACAGCTATTAAAAAATGTCCCAACAAGAGCTATGCTCTTAAAGCAAGTTGAAACACAGGTGGTCTCAACTAATAGAGGGTGAAGGATCCAAAGGGAAATTTTAGAACTAAAAAAATACAAAAACAAACACAAAAACAAAAATAAAATGCTTGATTTATTAGAAGAGTTCAATAACAAAGTAAAGACAACAGAGAAACGAGTCAAGAGAAGTAAAACAATCTGAACAATAAAAAGACCAATAAAGGGCAGAATACTGGACTTTATTATTATCTAGTCCTCAGTGAAACAGACTTTAGAACCAGATGGACAATGTGTGTTTAGATATCTACTGAAACTTTAATTTCAGCATGTCATGCCCTTTGCAAATGTATTGTAACAGAAAAATGATGATAAAAAAATTAGTAATACACTTGGAATGCTATACCAAGGAAGATATAATTATTTTTAAAAAGGAAGAGGAGGAAGAGGAAAGAAAGACAGAAAGACAGAAAGAAAGAAAAGCAAGCAAGCAAACAATGTAATATTGGTAAAGTCAGCTGAAGATAACAAACCCAGAGTGTCAGCCCCAAGGCCCAGCTCCCAGAGGTTTGGGCCAGCTGGAGAGAGAAGCTGCTTACAGGGGCAGCTGTCCCTAACACCATTTCTCCAGGAAGCTGGAGTCACAGGCTTTCCCTGGAGAAAGAAAGAAGTGCTCGCAGATGCATTGCACGGTAAAAGGAGCCCAAACGGGCCCAGGCCTCCAATCCTCAGCCTGCCACCAGCCAGCTTGACAAACACAAGCACAGGCGCTCCAGAAGCCAGGCGCTCATCTATGAGCAGCGGAGAGACAATCATGTGGCCTCTAAATTCTTTTATTCCCTATTAAGCTCTAAACATGAGAAATCTTTATATTTTAAAATTTAACCTACATGATGTCTATCCTTTTAAATTGTGTATTTTTTAAAATCAAACCATAAGAAAATGGAGGTCTAGTTACAAAACTCACACTTTAAAAATATTCACAAAAGAAATGAGAGCTTGCCAGTGTGGAGAGAACAGGCACTTCTCATCTCCTAACATCTTCAAAAGAGACTGAACCTCAGGACGGTGGGGCCTCAGTTCAAGAACGCTTTTGCTTGCAGACAACATGGCCCACAAACAGAAACATTTGGCAAAATTTAGTTTTGGTTCACAAACTGCCTCAGGTGACGAACAAGACTGTGGTCATCTTTCCCACATGAACACAAACATGGTCATCTTTTCTAGAATCATGGAACAAATTAAGTTCATGAACCGACGTACAACTATATTTTTCTCTTTTTGGCTATCTTTTAGGATATACTCGGAATACAGTAATTGCAAATAAAATAGGTGGTCAAATTAATCCTGTGTTTGGGAGAGAATAGGTACAGATGGGGCACAGAGCCACCATGAGCTACTGGCCACTAAAGCCGGGTGAATGGTACATACGAGATCACTGTACATGTCTACTTCAGTATATAATTTAAATTTCCTATAATGTTTAAAAAGAAAAAAAAAGGCTCTGCTTTCCACTTCATGGTATGATTTTCTCTCTTTTGCATTCTGCTTTAGGTCCACTCCAAAAGCCCACAGACCTATGTGCCTCCTAAAGGGTCAACAGTAACATGAACAAATGAGTGACATACAGGTGACTAGTAGCAGGACAATTAGCCTATGGCCAACCTACCATATCCTATAGTCAGATTTCCCTTAGACAGGCTGAGAAAGAAATGACACTGAAGAGTGTGATTAAAAGCAGGGGTGAAGGAGGAGGAGGAAGGAGGGAGGGAAGGAGGGAAAGAAGATGTGCAGAGCAGAGGGAGGAGGAAGGGGAAGGGAGGAAGGGGGAAAGGAAGGGAAGGAACAGAGGAAGAAAAGGCAGAACCAAGACAGCCAGCTCATTCACACAGCCCAAGGAAGACAGATAAGCACAGCATCTAGGGAGAGTGAAGGATGGCGGGCCACATCTCTAGCCGTATTTTGCCACGTGGTTTAGCCTGCAGGATGCCTTGGCAGTAGGAGTCAAGGGAAGAGTCAAGCCTATTAGTTTGCAGAGGATGATATAAAGATGGATGCAGTCAGTTCAATCACAGTCAAGTGTGTTCAGAAGGAAGCCAACCACGGTGGGAGCTCAGGAATTGCACATTTGGGTCCTATGAAGGTGGTGCACAGCTCCAGGTCAGTGAGCAAGAGAAGGACACATCGACAGCAAATAAATGGACGTGACCAGAAAGCCAGGTCAAGATTTGACGGCAGCACTGTTGCTCTGATGAGTGAGATGGAGCCAGGTCTTGCTGGTGAGAAACGACTGCAGTGGAGGAGCCCGAGGAGTAATGTAGGCAGTATCAGATGGCGTCAGATGGGGAAAAGGCTGGCAGCCAGATATACCTGGGCACACGGACAAATCTGAAGCCATGCACATAAGGGGACTAGGGTATAGCGTGATGGTCTCTGCTTGCTGAATGATAGGAGGGAGGGATGTTTCACCTACATTTAGATCTTTCCAAAGCCTCCAAAATAATAGTGTCACAATGAGGAACCACAAGGCAGTAAAAGCATTTGAAAACCTTTCCCTCTTTCTGTTCATTTTGCTCAAGTGGGAAAAGTTTCATAAACACTTAATTTCAGAGCAGCCACTCAAAACTGTCTTCTCAAGGCTCTTACCTTGGTCTGCTTCTTCTCGGTGGCATAGACGATGGAGGTACAACACACCTCAGCAATCTTGCGGCCCTGACCATAGAAGGACCAGCAGCAGATTTCATCCCCAATGACATCCTTTATGAAGAGGACCCTTCCATTAAAACGCAGAGACAGCTTATCAAACAGTTCAATGTTTTTCAACATATTGTCGTCAGAATTGCTGCAAAAAAGGGGTGGGGGGTGCATTAACAAGGTGAGCACAGACTGGTAAAAACTGAACTATTTCTACACACAGGACCCTACCAGATTCATTTGCTTCTCTCATTTCACTCACAACAGTTTCACAAGAAGAAGCTACACTCCCCACTGCTCAAAGGAGGAAAACGGAGGTCAGGGAACTTAGGTAACTTTTCAAAGCCAAAACCAATGAACAGCAGGGCTGGGCCTGAGGACAGCTCTGGCCCTAAGCTCATGCTCCTGGCCAGCATGCTCAAGTGCCTTCCCTGTACCACCACACACAGAATGTGAAGATGCAGAGCCGCCGGGCACAGGCACCGAGGAGGGACAGTACCCCACCGGGCACCGTGGGGCAGAATGGCGGTTCTGAGACTTTTGATCTAGGTCAGTTTAAAGGTCTTGAATGACATCATTGCATTTCCCCTCATCCTTCAAGTTTCTGCCTTAAAGGCACATGTTCCCAAGAGAGCCAAAAGGCTTTTTAAAAACCCACACAGGCTGTTGGTGACACTGCAAAATGGTGCAATCCCTGTGACTAAACTCATTACTACATGACCCAGCAATGCCACTCCTAAGTATCTATCCAAGAGAAATGAAAACACATGCCCATAAAATACTGACAAATGTTCAAAGCAGCACTATACACTACAGCCAAAAAGCAGACATAACCTAAATGTCCATCAGCTAAAGGATGAATAAACAAAATGTGGCCTAATCATAAAATGGGATACCATTACACCATAAAAAGGAATAAAGTACAGACGCATGTTCAGCATGGATAAACCTTGAAAACATTCTGTAAGTGAAGGAAACCAGTCACAAAAGGAAACACGTTGTATGATTGCATTCATATGAAATGTTCAGATCAGGCCAATCTATAGAGATAAAAAATAGATTCATGACTGCCTAAGGTTTGAGGGGAAGAGACTGGGCAGAAGCTGCTAATAAGTAGAAGGTCTCTTTTTTAGGAGAATGAAAATGCTGTAAAGTTAGAAAGTGGTTAGTTATATAACTTTGTGAATATAGTAAAAACCACAGAGCTGTATATTTTTAAAAAGTGAATTTACAGCTTGTGTGTATTAAACCTCGGGTAAATCTACCTCTCTACCCTCTCTAGAGCTGCAGAAGAGTCATCTTCATATGAAGGCGACACAAGGAGCTAGACCCAGCCGATGCAAGTGGACGCTTCCTAGTAAAGTGCAGATGTCTTTTCTGGCTGGCATCTTACCTGGTATATGAGTATTTGTTGTTACTTCTGTTGTAGAGCAACTTCACAGCTGGCTGTGGATTATTTTAAAAAGAGAAAGAAGAGTTATATTCATGCAAGTCGAGTGAGCTACCAAACAGCTGGGGGCTGCCAGACACAGAGGGCAGATACCACTGCTTGCTGGCTGGAGAGGGAATCTCCATGACTTGATGCCAGGGGCGGCAGCAGTGGAGCTGCGGCTTCCCCTTCCCACTCCCTGCTCAGGTGGCACTGGAAGTCCCACAGGGTGCCTTATTTGAAGTGCCACATACCTTATTTGAAGTCGCTATAAGTTTCTGTTCTTCCTTGGATGAGGTGATGACAGGAACCTTGCAGAAAGGCTCGTAAGTATCTTTGTTCTGCTGGAACAAAACATGCTTTCAGCCTAGGAGGTTTGCCTAGCATTAGAATTTTAAGGCTGGCCTGCTGGGCAAAGACAGGTTCTCACGAGGAGAGACAGGGCAGTCAGAGGTAAGAGAGAAGGGTTCTTACCACTGATGAATCAGAAAAGGGGAAGCCTAGGAGCGGAGTTTTCCAATAGGGGTTCTCTTTGACCAGGGCTGTTGCATGCCAGGATGCCCAGGAAATACTAACAATAGTAACATACTCTCCACAGCCCTGGAAACAAAACCTTTAACATGGTACATGGTATTTAATCAAAAGTTCCTAAAAATAAAGTTTCTGCAACCTCATTATAAAGACTACACAGAACAAAAAACATGAAAAAGAATGGCAAAGGTAAGCTCAGCAGGCATAAGATGTCAAATTTCAAGGGTGAAAAGCAGACCACAGAAGAGTGATGGAAAAGGAGATGAAAGCGTCAAAAGCCCAGCTGGTAGATGGGGAAAGGCCCACAGAGACAGCTCTGAGGCTGGCAGGCGGAGGACAAGGGCAAAGCAACGCTAGGCAGCAGAAGCACCAAGGAGAGCCTCACATTCACGTCCTGCCCAGCAGAAAGGGCCACTTTCCTAGAGTGGTTTGCACAGCAGAGGACAGGGCTGAGTTAACATTCTACTCAAATTCATAAGGCAGGCAGCCCCGCCAGGCTTATGCCCCACCAAACAGGAAGCAAGGGGAAAACTGCTCTACACGTAAATAATAACCTGCCCAAGAAAGGGCTTACAGATCCTGATATCATAAAAGTCAGCCCACTACCCAACCATGAAGGCCACTGCACAACAAGGACTGTCACACATACAAATTTTGAGCCTTACTCTTAAGCTTTAATGGAAGCTAAAGATCAGCAGATTATGTATGAGAACCTTCTCAATCACGAAATCAAAACCAACACAAATGGCAAAAAAAAAAGAACCAGCCAGACAATTAAGGAACAAGAAAGAAAACTTCAAATAGTATCAGATAGATGAGAACAGATGCAGCATTCTATGAAAACAAGATCACACATTACAAACAACAGCTTTCAGAGAACAAGAGGAAGCTCCTGGAAAGTAAAAATTTAAAAGCAGAAATGAAAACTCATCAAATGGATTAAAAAGGTAAAACAGGGGGGAAAAAAACTCTACTCCTGAGAGCAAAACAGAAATTTCAAGCAAGATACTGGGAGCAAAGAAAAGAGATCAGTGCTGGAGGCTGAACCTCAGATATACAGACACGGAGCACACAGGGCAGGACTCCACAACAAGGACAAGACAGATGCTCCCTGACATGTCTTGACAGTCCAGTGTGAGGCTGACCTTTCTCCTGAGAATGTGGGCTGCATACTTACAAAGTAAGCAAACAAAATACCCTGTGGTTCAACTATTAACACTACTTATACTCCTAAAGTAAACCGTGAAGAACAGGTTAACTAACATTGTAATAACCAATACTGAGAGAATGAATATGTAAGGGTAAGCTTGAGGTTTGTGGGTGTGTGCTGAATTCTAATTTTCCACAGTAATGCCAGTAGATAATACTGAAAAGTAAAAAAATCAATAAAAAACAGTATAAGGAAGTTATATGGAAGTATGAAAGTCAATAGAAAAACTGCTAACAGAGAGGCTGCCTTGCAGGCGAAGGTTGCTAGTAAGGGCGTATTGTAGTGTTTTTACCTTATAAGGCAGTACTGTTTGAATTCCTAATGACATACATGCATTACTTCAATAACTATAAAAATGAAATAATGCAAATGCTGCAACATTAAGTTAGACTGATAATAGTTCACAACTGTCAAGATAGAGGTGGTGGGTGGCAAGAATAGTTTCTAAGGAGCTCAGCATTATAGGTATTGCTCCAAGGGGGAGGGTCAGACCTGCCATGAAGCTCAGGAAAGGTACAAACAAACCATCTCATGTGTATGAATCATGGTCCTATGGAGTCCAAAGGGACTCTTCTGATTCTCTACCATGTCAGAAAACTGCTTCAAACTGTAAGGCTGCTGGCTGTATCTAGAAGCATATACTTTGTGGGATCTGACTATCACTAGACCTGACCCCAACTTTCCTGGCCCAGACCAGCCTAGGAGAAGCATCTGTCTGTAGAGAAGATTCTGGGCTCCCAACATTGACTAACAGGGCCACAGTTAAATCCTGAAATAGACCCAGAAAATGGATTTAGTTTAACACCCTGTGATTCGCTACTGAAAGATTCCACTGTGTGCCTGAGAAGATCCAATACCACGGGGTCTAACAGAGAGCAGTTAGGTGATCTGTGCATACAGGGAAGCATCTTAAGGGTCTTGTAGACCAAAGAGAGAAGCTCTGGAGTTCACTCTCACACATATCAATGAGGTAGGAACTGTTTCCATTTTGCAGAAAGGGAAAACGAGGAAGGCAGGTATGTTTGGTGCCTCTCCACTCATACAGGAAGGGTGGTGCCTACTTGTAGGGCTGCCTGGCACTCTTCCACCAGGCCCTGGACCAGGTAGTACTTGGCTTCTGCTAGCAGCTCCTCGATCTCCCGGCGGCTCTCAGGCAAGGGGACAGCCCCATCTCGAAGGTAGTTGAGAATCGTACCAAAGTGCTTCCCACACCGGTCAATGAGGATCCAGCCTGCAGTGGGGAGGACAGGAGGGACCAGTTACGTGGCCTTACTTCTCACTTCCCATGGGAGACGTAGAGCAGAACTGAGCATCTCCTGGTTCCCTTGGCCTCCAGGGAGAGCAGGAGTGCAGAGAGAGCTGTAGTCCCACCAGCCAATCTCCAAATGACTGTATCACCACCTGCAGGCCTGGTGGCTATATACAACCCTAGACTCCTGAGGAGTCAGCTCTGTGGGACACCAGGGGCCCTGCAGCCTAAAAATGTATTTCTGAAGTACCCTCATAAATCCTCTTCAGAAGACATCCCAAACGGCCTAGTGCCCCATCCCTGAATAAAATGGACCCAAATGACCAATCCCAATGACAGGAGAAAGGCTTCAGAGGTAAAAACACCTACTCTTCTTTAATACTATGTTCAGACTCTCAAGCACAAGCCATTCCTAAGACAAGCCATTGCCATTCCTAAAGGAGCACAACTCCATCTCCAGACTGCAACCTCTGGCTCCCGACCACCATCACTTCCATAGACAAGAAGTCCTATCTTGCAACAAGCATGTACTGGCTATTGATAGCAATGGGACATGAAACGATGCTCTCAATAGACTCTGATGTCAAGCAGCTCAGTTGGCGTGGAAAAACCCTGTTTTAAACTATATGAAAGAACATCCTCACAACTGACCAGAATCAGGCACAGAAAAATTCGTGGAGGTGGAGCCAGGAAGACCACACCCCTGCTCCCCAGTGTTCAACCCAATTTTGGAACTGGCTTGCTATTCCTCCACTAGGGAGCTTGAGGGTTTTCAAAATTCCTCTCGTGAAATGCAACATCCCCACAGTAGTATTTGGAGGAATCGGGATTGGATCCTGGAAGAGAAGGAGATATTGAAAAGTAAGACAAAAATTAAGCAAAATCAGTGATGACTCAACAGGCAATGCAAAGCACTGTAAAAAGTCAGACAGCCTTCTCTATCAGCAGGAAAACCTCAGGCACGACTCCCCCCAAGTCTCCAGTCCTGCATCTTGGGAGAGACCATATTAGTGCACAGGGCTGGTAAGAAATTTAAACAGAAACAGGCCCTTTATGCCCCTCCCCTGTCCTTCTCCCTCTGTTCCGTTTGGGAGAAGGGGCCAGCATTTTCAACCCCAACCCCATGTGCTCTGCCCTGACTCCCCCTCAGTATTCTGGATCAGAGGCACAGGGCAGCAAGAGTCAACAACACCAAGGATACCTTCCTCCTACACCAGGTCACATGCCTACCACTTCCCTCTGCCCCCAGCCTCCTGTGCACAGCCCCTGCCATGTGTCCTTGCAAGGTCTTAGTGCACTACGCAGTATTCCACAGCAAGAGAGCTATTCATCAGTTAACACGGTTCTCTCCATTGTCAGCTCCTGAAACTACTCAGCCTTCTGATGCTGGGCCTTTTGTTTAAGGGTGGTCTCCTCCCTCCAGAGCCTTCCACTCAGTACGGCCACACCACGACAGTTTTCTGGGCAGAGCAGGAAGAATGCCAAACTGGGTGAGCACAATACAAACATGTTGCCTGGAGCCCAAGCCTCGTTTTGAGGAAGGAAGAGGCCCTCACAGGCATGGTAAATCACACTGCCCTCACATTGACCTGCAGATGTTCTCCCACCCTGTTTCTGCATCTGAGACAATAAAATAAGGACATAATGTCTTACACAACTGGCTGCCCAGAGGCCTGCAGCAGCACAAATGAGTGCAGCTGGACAGCTGGCTGGAGAGCATGCTCTGCCTCCGGACAGCTTCCACAGCTCTAGCCACGAGTGGCCCAGCAGGAATGAGGGTCCAGGGCCGCTGGGCTTGATGTTCCAAACAATGCCAGAAATCCACATTTTTCTGAGAATTTCCTGATTTTTTAAGGGATGATAAACTAACTCAGAAAGAAAAAGTCATCAACCCACTACAGGGTAAATAAAATACATGTGCAGGCAGAACAGGGCCTGAAGGCTATCACCCTATACTGTTTCCCTAGACCTATTTCCTCCACAAAGCCTGATGAGATGCGGAAAAGCAACGTTACTTTCCCAAATGTTCTTTTTATGGCTCATTCCTTGCATTTACACAGATAACAGGCCTTGAGAGATTCAGTGGTACACCCAAGAGGGAAGGGCAGGACTATCCAACAAAGAAAGAGTAAGAAACTCGTAGAACTTCAGGCTTAAAAAAGAAATACAGTTCAGCTGCTCAGGGAAAAATCTATCCACGTTCTGCTTCTGATGCGCGGACAACTCAGCTGTTAGGAAACCAGCGAAAGCTCCCAAAATCAATCATCCAAGTGACAGCCCAGAGTTTCCATAAACCAGCAGGCGAATAGGCGGACCATGACACTGGGGTTCAGCTCAAGAATGCTGTCAGGAAATGCCTGTGGTGAAGGAATCATACTTTGTACAAATAAGGGCAAAGGAGCCAGGCACATTCTCCGTGAGTTTTCAATTAGCATTCTGACTTTAAAATATTTTGGTTGCTTTCAAAGCAAGAATCATACAGCTCTATTGCCTGTGTGAAGACAAGCTAATGGACATTATCTTGGTAACTTTTCTCACCGCTGAGACAAACTACGCAACACCCACAAGTTAAAGGAGGAAAGGTTTATTTAGCTCCCAGTTTGTAGAGGTTTCACTCCATAATTGGCTGGCTCCAAAGCAGGGAGGCGTCACAGAGGAAACAGTTCATGGCGGGCAAAAGGTAGCAGAGAAATAAGAGTAACCACAGCTCTCTCTGTACTTTTTATATTATCCAGGCTTTTCAGGGTGGACAGCACTCACATCCTTAATCCTAGTGCCCTGAAGCCTGTCACTGCACCATGAATCAATTCCAGCTTCACACACTTTAAACCCAGCCACTTCTGAAAAAGCCCCATCTATGACTGCAAAAGGCTTTGGGGGGACATCTACACACACACTATAATAACCGTCACACAGTTTCCTGCTGATGGTGACACCTGTCCTGCTGCCATGAGCTATACTAGCTATTTAGTAAGGCTGTTGAAGTCCAGGCAGCCTGGGAATATGACACGTGCAGCAACTGGAGAGCAAGGCAGGCAGGCAGAGGCCAGCAGGCCTAGGACTGGACTCCAGGATGTCTGGCAGCATGGCACAGTGTTTAAGGGCATGAGTCTATATTGGAAACCCCACTCTACTACCTCGTTAACAGATGGCATTAGTGTCTTATTTGAGTTCTCTTGCGCAGAAGCTCATTCTCCTCAAAGCGTTGTTGTAAGTATAGGATGACAGGATGGATAGAAGGCACATAGCATGATGCAAGTTGATGGATGGCACTCAAATTACTTATTATGTCTTTGACACTAAGCCTATCACATCATTACAGCTAGAGAACAGAGCAGTAATGGCAGCAAGTTCCAAAATCCAGAAGAGATTCATGTAGCTTTCACATACTGAAGGAGAAGGCTGCTCTGGAAGCCAGGAGCATTGGGTTTCTTTCTAGGCTTTCCATGTATTCCTGAAACATATCTGTATTCCTTACCTTTGGGGATATCTGGCTTCTCCTATTCCTCTTCTCCAGGAGCCTTCACCAACCTCTCTTTACCATACTATTTATACTCTATGGTTTTATGGTTGCCACACTTGCCTAATCACCTGAAATACTTGCTACAAATTCAGATTCTAGGACCCTACCTCATTACTAAATCCAAATCTCTAGGCAGGATTTGCAACCTTGGCTCTATTGACATTTCAGACTGGATAATTATATTATATCAAGGTAGTCCTGTATTCTGTATTTGGTTGCATTATTGACCTTTACACAGTCAACGCCAGCAGCAACCCCATCCCCAAGTTTTAACAACCAAAAGTAAATCTCTGGACACTGCCAAATGTTCTGAGTCAAAAAAAAAAAAAAAAAAAGGAAAGAAAGAAAGAAAAAAAAAAACATCATTCTTGTCTGAGTATCACTGAGGTAGATCAAAGACCTACATGTGGGCTGGAGAGTACAGCTCTGTGGTAAGCACCTGCATAGTATGTGCAAGACCCTATGTTCTATCCTCAGCACCACCAAAAACAAAAAACAAACAAACAAAAAAGACCTAAAACAAAACAGTGCAAAATGTTGAGGTATCAAAAGCAACACTAGAAAATATTAAAGACAAGGAATCTGCAACATAAAACTACAAAGAAATAAGTCTACAGAGTCAGTACTTCTACAAAGCATTATGAAAAAAATGGGTAAATGAGATGTCATCTAGGACATAAAAGACAAAATCCAAATACCCCAACTAATAACCATAAAAAATGCTTCATGCACTAAAGATTAGGAAGTGTAAAATAAAACAACAGGGTATGATATCATAATCACCAGTTTGGCAGCAGTTAAAAGGTTGACAGTGCCAAATGTTGGCAAAAATCCAGACCACTTGCTAGGAGTATAAACTGACCCAACCACATGTGAGAGGGCTCTGGCAGTATCCAATGAAGCAGAAGACGCTAGCCTAAAGTTGACTTTTGGGACTGAAATCTAGGACCAAGTTCCCAGAGTGCATACGATCTTTCTGCTACAGTCCCTGGGGTGGACAGCTATGACCTGGGAGTCTGGAGCCTCATTTACTGAAGTAAAAATAGGATCAGTGTGTGCCATGATATGACAAAAGCTGAGAAATGATGCTATAGGAAAACAAATCACATGTGCACATGGAGAAGGTTCAAGAGGTTAAGATTCTTACAATGGAGGCTGAAAACAATATACGTGGTAACTGTAGCATACGGCTTCTTCAACTGCAAGAAGTGTCTAAACTACAGCTATTTATTCAAAGTTCAAAGTCACAAGCATAATGCTACATCAGCTAAAGCAAAACAGACCACAAATGATACATCACTACTTATGGAAGGTTTGAAAACATACCAATCAGGAGGACATTATTTAGGTACACAACGGCTAGGCCAAATACCTGGGAAAATCCACATTCGTGGTTCTCAGCCCTGACTGCACACTAGAATCCCCGAGAGCTCCTCAAAGCCCAAGTGCATCAGCTGCTACACAATGCTCTATCACAGCCGACTCTGGTCTAGGACACAGACACCAGTATTGAAGTCCTCAGGTGACCTGAGATCCACCTAGTGACCCCAAAGTCAAAAACAGTGGTCACCTCAGGAAGGAAGAAAGGTAAACAGACATGTATTGAGACACCCTGTCAGTTCAGGCCAGGCTTTATGCCTGGTCTGAGTAGTTTTCTAGGGGAGTATGCTGATAATAAAATGAAGGGTTCTCTTCAATGGTTATACACTCCCTCATCCCTAAACATCTGCCACAAATGGGAAACCACGTAAGGGTAAGAAGGACGGCACCATCTTATAGAGACCAAACCAGTAAGCACAGGCCAGAGCTCAAGGATATTAGAGAAGGAACTACACAATCCATGGGACAGCAGTGATGGTGAAGAGGAGTCGTGTAGAACTTCTAGCACTGCAAGAACTGAGCTTTTCTGAGAGGAGACAGGGAAAGGCCTTCTCACTGCTGGTGTCCTCTCAGAGAAACCACCTTTGTAGGGCATAATACAGAATTAATGCACCTCACTCCTAAGGGCCAAGGCGGGGCATCCCCTCCCCATCCCACCCTCGAGGCTTCAACCGATCAGAGAGGCTGTCTCTCATAGTGACACCCTGCCCCAGGCATGATGAAGGCTCTCCCAAGGGATCAGGCACTGTATCATGTTCTTTCTAATGCCCCATTCATGCCCCATAACTGATAAATGTTGTCCTTCATAATTGACAATAAACAAGCTCAGAGAAAGTCACTTGCCCAATGCCACAAGTCTAGTAAATGGCAAATGTGTCAAAATTAGTACAATGCCTGACACTTGGAAACAGTTCCATAGTATGATCTGTGACTGTTAACATGTGGCAGAGCTGGGACTCAACTCTCTGGCTGCCTGACCCCCCTCCCACGACACATTCCTATCAGTTTAGGTATTACAAGGATGTGGTGCAGAACTCAGGCAGACAGGGAACAAAAAAGGATGTTCTTCCACCACCTTGACCCCAGGCCCCTCCTGAAACAACTGCTTTAGAGACTCTTTAGCGAGTCCTGGCAACATACTGCCCACGCTCCTCTACGCCATCAAAGCCCCTGTTCTTCTCCTAGTGAGCTGGACTCACTTGCCTGGCTGAACTGCACTTGACATTTCTGTCTGCAGCTGAAGACCTTGAGCATCCAGGCCAGGGGAGAGCTGTGATATGCAGGACATCTATCCCAATCTGCACCCAAGCTGCCCTTGAGGCAACATGTGGGGCATAGTCAGGTTGTGCCGTATTATCCGAGGGCAACAGGACAGTTTTGCTAGGCAGACAATGGCTGGGAGATCAGATACTCAGCCTGACTGCCCAAGCCACAAGAACTCAGGGCTTTGGCACAAAACCAGCAGTTGTCCCCTAAGACTGTCCCCTAGGCCAACACACAAAGCTGCCTAGAAGAGACTTTCACTCAGCCTTCAAAGTGACTTGGCTGCTCTTCCTGCGTGTCCCCACCAACAAAAAATCTGGGTAGGGCAGAAGAAAAACCACAACAATCTTGGATTTTCAGATAACATGTTTCCTTCTATAGCTGGAGTGCTATTGTCTTGATTTCCATAAATACTCTCGCACGGGGTGTGGCACAGCAAAGGGGAGCCACCCACTCATAAAAGGCTGTTTTCTAGGTGAGACACAGTTGGCAGTTCTGAGGATCCAACTCACTTGACCAGAAACACAAGTTCATGGGAAGCCCAGAGAGGCAGAGGCTGACCCTCTCTGGCTTTCTCAAGACACTAAGGAAAACACGATAACCAGATAGCAGCCCATGCTAAAACCAAGTAAAACACAACACACCAGGCTTTAGGGCCCCAATCTCATCTGTGTGTGTCAAAATTCACCCACTCTCCCAAGTCCACGTCCCTGGAAGGTGGGGGCACCGGTACCGAGGGGTAGACTCAAAGGTAGGGTCAAGCCATGCTGTGACACGGCCTGGCCTTAAGCAGTCTCAGGCAGAGGGATGAAGGGCAAGGCTATTTTTAAATCTCATATAACCTGCCCTAACACCAATCAGGTAAATGTACCCTGGGGCAAGTACCCTGTACTTACTCCAAGAGAGTAGGAAGTAGCAATTCTTTGCCTTGTATTAACACAATTTTGAACACACATGTATAGAATACTTACTACGCACCAACAGCCCAACAAGGTGTGCCCCGCTGGCACAATTTAGCAGCTAAGGAAAATGAGATATCAAAAAATAAAGGCACTTGGGTAGGGTCACTGGATACTAAATGGAGAACTGGGACTCAAGTCTAGGTCTGTCAGTCTGTCAAGACCCAAGCCTAGCAGAATGAGAGCCAAAGAAACACTGCCTCTTTCAGGCTCAAGTATCATTCTGAAATCACAAAACTGAAGGGAACCAACTAGGACAGCTGGCTTAGATCCCACTTTACAGAGAAGCAAGCTGAGGCCAGCAGGGGAAGGGTTCTCAAAGGCACAGAGCAAATCAACAACTATGTCAAGACTCAAGTCACTTGTCCAAGTGACTCCTATTTGCCACCACTTGGTCTTGAATCCCTTGAAGCCCTCGTCCACCACACCCAAACCAGATCCAGTCTCTGACTCTCAAGGTTCCCTGCACACTTGGAGAACTCTCAGCTCAACCAAAAGTCACATCTGGGTGTACAGCTGCCCACTTGATGTTGGTCTCCTGAAGCAGACTGAAACACCCAGCCACAAGCACATTCTCAGCACCTCACACGGTGTCAAGTGCACTACAGGAAGCAGAGGCTGACACAAGGGCTCACCTTCACTATCCGTGAGCACTTCCATGCGCCCACTGAACATGGCTTTCAGCATGGTGTCCTGCTTGGTTAGCGTCTGCATGGTGGTGTAGTAGAGGGCTCCCCCGACATTCAGCTTCACGTACTTAGAGCTGGGACTGGCACCCTTGAAGGAAGTCGTGCGGGTAGCAGCTGCTGGCACCGCTGAGCTCACCACACTTTCTCCTGACATCTCTTCCTGCCAATGCAGAAGACACAGCGTCACCACATCAGGTTGGTTTACCCCGCTGAGCCCACGGGCTAAATGTTAGGCTTGGTCTATGTACATATAGCAACTTTAGCTGTTGTCATGGTGGCATTCACCTGTAATCTCAGCACTCTGGGTGGCTAAGGCAAGAGGATCACAAATTCAAGCTCAGCCTGGGCAAACTTGTGAGATCATCTTAAGATTAAAAAAAAAAAAAAAAAAAAAGAGCAAAGGGGTCCGGGGATACAGTTCAATATAAAAGCACTGAGTAGGCCTCCAAGTACCAGGGGGAAAAAAAAGTTGTAAAAGATTATAGAAAAAATCTGGATTTCTGGCTTCTCTTAAAATCAGAAATCAAAAGTTTTTACATGTCAAAGGAAATCTCCAACAGTGAAAAGAAAACCCACAAATTGGGAAAATATTTTAGCCAACTGTCTCTTAGACAAAGGACTTTGATCTAGAACTTATAAAGAATTAAGAAAAAAATCAGGCCCCAAAATTCAAGGACCCAATCCAAAAATGGGCATCTGAGATGAATACACAGTTCTCAGGTGAAGAAATACAAATGGCAAATGTATGAAAAAATGTTCATCATCACTGGATATTTGGAAAATGCAAATTAAAACCACACTGAGATTCCATCTCACCCCAGAAAGAAAGGCCAAGATCAAGAAATCAACCAACACCAAATGTTGGAGGGGATGTGGGAAAAAAGGAACCCTTCTCCACTGTCAGCAGGAGTCTAGACTGGTGCAACCACTGTGGAAATCAGTGTGGAGATTCCTCAAAAAGCTAGGATTAGAGATTCCATTTGACCCAGCTATCCTGCTTCTGGGCAGGATATCTAGAGTCCCAGATAGAAGTCCTTTGTCTGAGGGACAGTTGGCTGTCCCGAAATCACTGAATGGCAACCTCAGAACTGTAACCCTAGAAACAGATCTTCCAAAGACTATTTGATTTAGTTTCCTAACTTCATGAAGTTTGAAGGTGGACAGAGTAACTTCTCCCAGAGTTTCCAGAAACAGTAAAGTCATTATAAAAAAGATTTTAAAAGGGAATACAAACCGACCCTATTTTTTGCTGCTGCAAATTAATTACTATACTTCAGGAGAAAACTGTTCCTATGATGGTTCAGGACTCATACTGGCTTTCAGCACAGATTAAATCTAAGGAAGTGAAATGAGCCTTATGTGTGGAATATTTCCTTTTTACTGGTTGGGTTCATTTCTAAAAGAATAGTTTTGCTCCTGTGTAGAAAGCACTTCGTGGTATATTTAATTATAAGTCCAGGGTTGGAAAGCCTTTTGCGTTCCTGAAGGAGGGACATACCACTCCATTAAATAAACTCAACATTACAGCCAAAATGGTGCTGTCCCAGAGACAACATGATGAAATAAATTAAGCTATAGCAGATTATCTTTGTTCCAATGGCTATGAAGAGGTATATTCAGTTTTTAAAAAGGAAGCTGAATTAGATATGAAGAATTAGGTAAGAAATATGCAGGACTCTTGGGAAAAAAAAACGGACATCAATTATCAGATTACAAATGAAATTTATGGAATTAGAATCAAAGCTAAACGAAGTAAAAGAAGAACTTATGTCAGGTGACCTTCTAGGTCTGAAATAAACCCAAAAGAATGGATTACCCGTCCACCAGAAATATATGCACTGAGTGGTCATAGGAGTCCAGTCATTCAAGTTACTTTCCATCCTGTGTTCATTGTTATGATCTCTGCTTCAAAGGATGCTATAGTTAAGGTGTGGGATCATGAGACTGGAGATTTTGAACGAACTCTTAAGGGCATACAGAACTGTATAAGACATTTGTATTGACCATGGTGACAAGCTTCTACTAAACTGTGGGATTTCCACTGTTTTGAGTGCATCAGAACCATAGCCATCATCACAATGTCTCTTCAGTAGCCATCATGCCCAGTGGAGATCAAATAGTGTCTGCCTCAAGGGATAAAACTACGAAAATGTGGGAAGTACAAACTGGCTACTGTGTAAAGACACTTACAGGACACAAAGAACAGGTACCTATGGTACTCAAACACATATGGCCCAAACACTCTGATAGCCAGGTGTTCCATCTCTGAAGCAATAGAATCTGAGACAAAAAACAAACAAAAAAACAAAAAGTCGGAAGCCTGGGCCATTCTTGCTGTTGGGATCTAGGGACAAAACTACTAAGATGTGGATGTCAGTACTGGCATGTGCCTCATGACTCTTACGGGCCATGATAACTGGGTATATGGAGTTGCATTCTGGGGGGGAATTTATTTTGAGTTGTGCTGATGCCAAGACCATACTTGTATGGGATTAGAAGAACAAGCAATGCCTTGGGCACTCAGTGCCCATGAACACTTTGTTACCTCCCTGGATTTTTACAACACAGCTCCCTCGGTGGTCACCGGCAGTGTAGACCCAACAGTGAAGTGAAGGGGTGGGAGTGCCACTGAGCCAGTATTACTTGGTCCCTCCTTCCCTTCCCTCTGGATGCACACTGAGGATACCATGGTTGCCCCACTGAGCTCTGTTTAAATAAATATTGTCCTTTCATGTTTAAAAAAAAAATCAGCTGCACCCTAGAAAGCAGTATGTTCCCAGTTCACTCCAGACCACAGCCAGAGAGTCTCATATTCTGACCTCACTTGCTAAACCAATACTTTGAAGTTTGCCACTTTTTTAAAAAAAAAAATAGGATCTCAACATGTAGTCCAGGCTGGCCTTGAACTAGTTATATAGCCAAGGGTGGCCTCGAACTTTGTGACAATCCTCCTGCCTCAGCCTAACAGTGCTGGGATTACAGGTGTACATCACCACACTTGGCTGCCACTAACTTCTGGGTTACAAGGACTTCCTTTTTGCCTAGTACCTATATAAATAGTTAGTATGGCTGCATCCTAAAGCAGCCCAAAGCACTGCCCGGCTCTTTCTACATATCCTATGGCAGACACCACTAAACAGATAAAAGTGCTAGCTGAATAAACTGGGCACGTGAATTTCTGAGGTAAGAGGTCTCAGAATGAGGTCTCAGACCTCATTTCTGAGGTCTCTTTTCTTCTGGGAAAAGAGACTAGTACCTGGCATACACGTACTCCAAGAAATCACGTGCATGTGTGTGTGTAAATGTGTGTTTGTGTATGTGTGTAAAACTAGGAATTAAAACCAGGGCCTTCACGCTAAGCTATACCCCAAGTCTTTTTTTACAACTTAAAACAAGGTCTTGCTAAGCTGTCCAGCTGGACTAAAACCTGTGATCCTCCTGCCTCAGCCTCCCAGGGTACTGGAATTCAGGTGTGCCCCCATGCCTGACAAGAAATTGTTTTTTCAATACATGAACCTTTAAATTCTACAGCTGAAGATGTCCAAAAATGGACTAAATTTTTCTGGAACCTGGTGCACAACACAGAGAAAAAGAAAAACAGTCCTGACAGCCAGTCAAATGAAAACATCAGGAGAAGAGAGTTCTCAAAAGCTCAGGCTGAGCTCACCAGGGGTTTCTGTGGCCTGATGCCAATTATAAAAGAAAAGAGGCAAAAAGGAAGTGGTGACTCCCTCCTTTCCATCTTTCCTTTAAAACCAGTCTCGAGAGACCCTCACAGTAACAGACATAGCCAACCATATGCTGCAGAAAAACTGTTCACAGGATGGTAAGGATCGCTTACAGAAGTTTCTCAAACTCTGAAGACCTGAAGGAAAAAAGAAAGGTGAGGAATCGAGGGTTCCAAGAAATTTGCCCCAAAATGGAAATGCTTTTCCAGCATCCTTTTCAGATGTAAACGTACACAGTAACATGTCTGTGAGAATGTCTTGCCATCTTCTAGACACAAAAAAGGACACAAAGTACATGTACTTTTTTCGGATTTCCAATGCCTCTGTAAAGATAATTTGCATATAATGAGGTATATTTTAAGTGTACAATAGATTAACTTTGGACTATTCATGTACCTGTATGTCCTACTCCAACCAAGATACAGAATACTTCCATGGCTCTAGAAGGCCCCTCTATGCCCCTTCACTGTTAACCTCCACCGCCACAAACGACTTTCAGAAATCCAAACAGTGCTGGAAGACAGCTATTATTATTCTCATTTCATGGATTTGGATATCAGGTCTTAGAGGATCAGTCACTTCTCAAAGATGAATCAGTGACAAGCAAGTAAAAAAACATGGGTGAGTCCTAGCTGGCCTGGAGCCCCTTGGGCCTGGTGTACTTAGAGATAGACACATGTAGATAGAGACACGAGAGCCCCCTGCTTCCCATTTAAAAAAATATTTTTTTTTTAAAGATGGGACGCAGGGGCTGGTGATACAGCTCAGTGGCATGGTGCCTGTCAAGCAGGAAGTCCTGAGTTTGATTCCCAGTTTAAAAAAAAGAAAAGTTGGGAAGAAATGCATGTTTAAAGACTTGGAATTGACAGCCAAATGGGTGTTTAAGGCCCAACTCCTGCCCGTCCTATCATTCAAATGAGGGCAACAGCCAGCCCCAACCCCCAACTAAGACAGAGGCCACAGACACCCAGCATCAACCCTGGCTCAAACATGACACACTCAAATTATGATCATTTGGGAAAGTTCTCATAGTCTCAAATTACCTCCTCTTTGGAGATTGTTTCCAGCTCTAATGACAACTTGAGCTAGAGACAGAAGCCTGAGACTCCAGGTTAAGCAATGAAAGCCCTAAACCTTTCCACAGCCTGTCCTTTCCAGGTCAGTCAACCCAATACCCAGACAGGCCATTGGACAGAACTTTCTGGCTGTGTTCCTGTTCTCAGGCCCCAGTTACAGTGAACTGAAGACACAAAGCAGAGGGTAATAAACTTCTCTACTGAGACCTCTCTTTGCCATCCCTACAAGGATTCTGCCACTTTCTTCCTTTCAGAGGTTTGATTACCTTTTTAATTAGCCTGGCAAGGTAGAGCAAGAAAGAGAAAAACTGTTTACAAGAATCAGAGAATACCTGAGATATTGGTGTTGGATTCTATTCAATCAGAAATATATTTCAATTAGTAAGACAAGCCCATGTGCCCATTCCTTCCCATTTGCCCTGAATATTCAGTTGCTGTTCTAAGTAACTCTACATGGCTGTACATTAAACTCACTGAGGGAACTTAAAAAATACTGATGTCTGGGTCGCATTCACAGAAACTCTGATGTCACTGGTCTAGAGGTGTAGCTCAGGCAAAAGAATGTAAAACTCCCCCCATACCTGTAATCTCAGCGTTTAGGAGGCTAAACCCAGAGGACTGTGATTTGGAGGGCAGCCTGTGCTACACAGCGAGACTGTCTCAAAACAAAACAAAAAACATCCAGTTCTTCCAGGAAACTCTAATACATAACCAAGACTGCAAACCACCATCCTTAAAAGTCTCACACTTCTCAGTTATGCTGTAATTAACTCCATGGTCTTAGAGAAGCTCTCCTACCTCTTGCTCTGTTGGCCCAGTGAATTCCTGACCCACTCATAAAAACAAACCATAAATAAAAGCAACCCTTCTCTTCATAGCCTCAGAGTCATAAAGTTGGAGGCAACTGTACATATGCTTGAAAAATAAAAATAGCTGAAAGGAAAAATTCTTGAGTTGAACAGAGATCCAGATTAAGCACAGTAGAGAAAAGACACCAGTTCCCACAGAACTGCCTCATGTTTTACATGTGTATGCAGGTGGAGGGAAACCAGTCTGAGCCTGAAAACCCAGACAGCAATCCCAATTCTACTACGTCTTAATGTTCACAAGAGTGACTTCCCTCAAAATTCAGTTTCCTAATTTGTAAAATGGAGTGCTAAAGCTATATTTTTCAAAAAATCCTCAAGGAACCAATGTTAAAGCACTTGGCACCTCGTCATTGGTTTCCCTTCCACCCTTCAAGTTTTGAAACCTGTTGTTCCCAACCCTAACCACTAGAATCACCTGGGTTATACCTCAGACCAATTAATCAGAATCCTGTAGGAGGATGGTTGGCAGCTCAGTAACTAGTGTTTAACGTCACTTCAGGTGACTCAGATGTGCTTCCAGGGTTCAGTACCACTGGGCAGAAAAGTGTCTAACTTGATCTAAGAATCATAGGGATATGTAGCAAATAACATGAGGTTCAAGACTTACAGCAGGGAAGTTTAAAAACCGCTGCACTGAAACTAGTCAAAACACTTCCCCAAATTGTGGGCATGACTACAATTCGAAAGTCTACTGTTCTGTTTCAATCAAAAAACGGAATCAGTCACACAACTGTAACATTACTTTGGATCCAAGATTTTCTTATAAACCAGCTAGTGGTAATTCCAATGCTCCCCCACCACCATTAGCATTCTGGCCCTCTTTAGCCTACAAACATTGGCCTATTTCTCTCGATGGTCTAATGCGGGAGATAATATCATCAATATCACTTTCAGGGAAAGAAAACTAAGAGTCAGAACTGTAAGAACTGTAATTAACACCGACTCCAGTCTGTATGCCCTTTTCATGTCACAGCCCAAATCAAGAAATCCCTCTTAAATGCCTACACGATCCCAACCTCAAGCTGTGGTAGGGCTTGAAATTTTGGCCAAGTTTTAACAAGTTCCCAGGCTATGTTGCTGCTGGCCCGGGAACCACAGTTTGAGAACCACTGGTTTAGGTAGTCATTCTCCTCGAGTGGCATTTATTTTGCACAAAATGAGCAGATCAGCCAGTCAAATATGAGTAGATTCATTCTTCTTCAGATTGGGACAAATCTTTCTTAAAGACTGCTCTTTCTAGGGAAGTGACAAACACATAAACAAGGAAAAATGATCTGGGCTAATCTTTGGTTATCCTCATCCAGGGACAAAGCGCTATTCAAGGAACAGACCCTTGAGTATCCCGAGTAAACAGAAACCTCGTCACTGCTGAGGCAGCAATGCCAGACAACCTCAGTTCCTGAGGTGTGGCCACCTGAGGCCTCAACGGAAGTGATTAGTATGTACCCAGACACCAGCCAGGGGTGGGTTGCGTGGCAAAGGTACCCTGACCTCAGACCCCTGGCATTCCTTCCAAGCACTGAACATATGCTGGCCTGCCACATCCCTCTTACCCGTGAGTTAAGAACAACCTGACAGTCCTTTCCCCAGAGCCAGGGACCCTTGCTTCACCCTCCAAGATACCAAACGCCCTTGCGCAAGAATTCCTGCTTTACCCTTTCATAACCTACTATTCAATCCCACAAATCTTCATTTTCCCCCTCAAATGTGTTTTCAATGATATCTCTTTGTTCTCACTCTTCAACTCCCATTTCCTACAAGCATTCACGATTCAAGACACTCTCCCATAGACATTTGGCCCCCAAGCCCAATGCACTTGTCCAGATCCTCAATATCCTATTCTCCACCCCTTGCCCCTCCCCCACTCTAGCCTCGCCCCCATCCAATCCCCCAAACCGCCTCTCCAACTACTGCGACCGATTCTCATACCACTCCCTCCCTTCGATCCTTTCTGTCTCTACTCTGTTGCTGCCCAGCTCCCTCGGCTGCTGAAAGCCCCCAAGTCGGGGACACCGCCCTCCTTACCATGAAAAGTCGGAGGACGCGGAGTCTCCAAATCCGGACTGAGAGAGGCAGGAAACACCCAGTTTACTTGAGCCGGGGGCGGAGGCGGGGCTGGGGCGGAAACTTCCGCTGCTCTCATCCCACTTCCGCCTCTCAGAGGACACCTGCCTAAAGCGTCCGATGTGATCGCAGATATTACCGTTTTCTTTGTATCCTCCCCAGTCGGGATGGATTCCGTTTCCTCTAGACTGGGTTAGGAATTTACCCCATTCCTGAATGTTTAGGTTTGTCACCTGTCAGAGGAGAGGAGAGGCGTAAGGAGGTTTTTCTTTCCGGGCAAATAAGCTCTGCGGAACTGTTGTGTCCAGGAATCAGATACTTGCTTCCCGGCGAGTGTGGGGAGCGAACACCCCGGGGCAAGATGGCGGTGGGTCTGTGGCTGATGCCCCGGGTCTGGCAGAACTCGGGGATACTGGGCTGAGGCGGTGGGAGTTGCAGCCCGGACCCCGAGCGCGGGGCCTCGAGTGGATAAAGATCTACGGTCTGCGGGTAGCAAGTGGGAACAAGGGTCTTCGGTTATCTGGGTGGGGCCGGACCTTTGAGGGAGGTGGTTCTGGAGCCTTAGTCTTTGCTCGGTCAGTCGGAGGGGCAGTTGTGTGGGCTGGCTTTCGATCCCCAGGGGTCTTTCCACCTCTTTTTTTCTTTGCCCTTTATGAGAGAACTAATACTGGACGAAAGGGATTTGTTGTGATTGTTGATGCAGAGGAAAGACACTGGGCCTCCGGTGTCACTCAAACGAGACCGATTTCTATTCGCTTGCTTTGTGACCCTGAGTCCACTCACCTCTCTTACTGTCAGTTTCCACCTCTGTAAATGGAATAACTGGCTTGTTGCCTGGAGAATGTTATATCGTACGTTTTAGTTCCTACCATACCTAAAACTCGGCTGCTTAAAAAGCTCAGTCGTAATTCGAGTTGAACTTAGCTGCATGGACAGCCTTGCGTTCTTAGCTTCTCTTTGCTTTGCCTTTCTGTGAAGGAGGAGCTCTGGATCTTGTGTGCTGTACTTACCAATAAGTTACTGCTTTGGGTTCAAATTTAGAAGCCCATAGAACTCTGGCAAGTCATGTCTCTGCGTCTCATTTTCCCCACTGAAGATGGAATTGATACTAGCACCCACCTAGATAGACTGTAGCTTTCAATAAATGATAACTAATATTAATGGTTTTTCTGAGTCCTGTTGTGTATTCCTGAGTTTAAAAGAAAAAAGTTGTTAAGATCTAACAAATGGAGCTGTGGAGAAAACAAAATTGGTTATTTGTACAGTGCCTGGTTAGTTTGTAACAAAGTTTTATGGCCATTAAGGAAAAATAAAGTCATTATATAGTTAATCATGGTACTTAACCCTGGGACAATACTCTGTGGACTGTTAAGAGCTTTTGTAATTCTCCGTGAAGTTGACCTCAACCAGAAAAGGCTGATTTTGAGCAGGTATCATGGGAATATAGAGGTAGTATAGCGTTTAAATCCTGACAATATTAAAATCATAATTCTGCCACTTGTTAGTGATCTAACCTTGGGGTGTATTTTATATATATAATTAAAATATGTGTAAACATGTATGAATAAATTGGTAAAATGAGGGGTAGAATGAGGACTAAAGAGAAACAGGGACCAGGTACTCTAATCCAAGTCATTTTCTTTCATTCTCTGTAGCATTTAGGAAAATAGGTAGTTGGTATTTGACTATGTATTTCCTTTGATGGGTTGTAGTACACATTATACAAGTGGAGGAGGTGTATAAGAAAAAATGAGATAAACCACAGTATAAACAGAGACCAACATGTAATGTGGAGAGGATGGTAATCTCAAGAAAGAGATCTTAGGCTCCCAAGTCCCCTGAGAGAAGTAAAAGTTTTGAGATAGGCTTACAGGTAATCAGGCACAGTTTGCATGCAGTCTCCTGTCTTTCCATTAAGAAGTAGCTCCCTTTGCTGATCCCCCTTCCTCCTCCCCTGCCCATAAGGTGCATGTTATAGAGAGATCATACGTTGTGCTCCTGGCTTGGGCCCTGCTCCTTTGTACCTCTCAGGAGCTTGAAGCTGTTATGACCAGAGCAAGGACTTTGTAACCCAAGTGCCAGGACTGGTTTAAGATACTTGATAGGAAAAAATTTGATGAGTGAAGGACTTTAGGGAGCTGGCATTACTTCTATCCAAAGAACCTTAGTGACTACAGATGGGAGTTCCTGCAGAAGAGTTCCAAAAAAAAAAAATACATATCCATGAAAATAATGCATAGATTAGACTTCTTGACTGTGGTCTGTCAGCATCTCAGTGCCTGATAACACATTTCTGTACTCATAATGGGCCTTCAAACCAATTAACAAGTAAAGACAAAGACTTAGTCTCTACAATACTGGCTTCAGTTCTTTGTGATTCCAAATCCCATGTCCTTCTGTGTCATGCCAATTACCATATGCTGTCTAGAAAATTTAGAAAATAGAAACAAGAAAGATTTGCCAAAATCTTATACTGCCTGAAAACAGCCACTTTTTGTATGCATAGTGCAGTGGATTGACCCAGGGCCTTCATGTTTAACCAATCATGACATGTTGGCATATTTCAATCCAGTCTGACAGCTGCCTGCATATTGTTTTTTTCCATCAGGTAACTGGGATTGTATGGTTGACAGGCAGCTATTTTTTCTACTCAAGAGTATAAACATTTTTCCACCACATTAAAAGATGTCAAAATTTTCAGCGGCTTTTTAATATTTTATCACCTGTTGTTTTTGTTTGCCATCCTAGAGCCTGTAAAACTTTTAATTTAGCAACTTCTTTAGAACTGTTTTCAACCTCTTCCCTTTACATTTCAAGCAGTGGAGAGATAGTCTTAACATTTAGATGAGATGTGAACTAAAACTAAAACAGGACATAAAACTTTAAATCTGGATTCTGATTCTGTCAGAAATATAAAAATTTCCTTTGATGTGAGAAGCTGTCCTCAATTGTGTGGCCTATGCAAAATCACGAATGGTTACCCTGTCACATCTGCTGCATGGGCAGATTGTCAGGTGAGGTCTCTAGATCGTTGGACAGAAGAGTAAAGAACTCAGAGGACAGCTGCCTTTCTTTCTCCAACCTTCTCTCTCGTGGTTAGACAGGCTCTTATTGTTTCAGAAATTGCTGATTACAGACTCACATGTTGGCAGTACTGGTGTTGCTTGACAGGTGTGAATCAGTGTTGAGAAAGGGCCATACAATCCCTAAATGTGGTCTGGTAAACACAAGCTTGTGAGTTCGATTCTCAGTACCCCTCCCCAAAAAATCCCCAAATGTATTCGTGTGGCAGGAGCACAAACTTTATTCTGGATGATGTCTCAGCATAAGTGCTGCTTTGCATAACTTAACCTGGTAAAGAAAGTTTTCCAGAAATGGATTTCTGAAGTTTGTTTCAGTCCTGCCCCTAAAACCTCCCTCCCCATACTAGGCATTACATTCAGGGCCTGGTGCATGTGAGGTAACCATTCCCCTCTGAGGACACACCCAGCCCTTTTTTAAAATTTTATTCTGAGATAGAATCTTGCCACCTGGATCTCACGTTGCCCAGGATGGCCTCATACTTGTCTTTTCTGCCTCCTCTCTCAAGTAATGGGATTATAGGCATGGTCCACTGTACCTGGATACATTGTCCCTTTATAATGTTAAAGTGACCCCTTCAAAGGAAAAGACTTTTTGTGCTGGGCACAGCATAAGCACCAGTAAACATTTGTTGAGTGAACGGATAGCTAAAATAATACTGACAATAAATAACCATGTTTGATTTTTTTTTCCTCAAGTCTTTTTCTTGACAAAATACTTTACTGCTTATTGTTAGCTTCCCAAATATGGTGGACTTTTCCAGAAAATTCAAATACTATATCTGGGAATCTTTGACTTAAAGGATACCTGCTTTGAACCAGAGCTCTATGGAAGGATTGATTTGTGCTTTGCTCCTTTATTAAACTTGTACAGAGTCTTCCAGTACTTTATGCCAGGCAGTGTGTATGCTCCATCTATTAAGAAAATATAATCATTTAGTACAGGCTATAGCATCCCTGATTTAAATTGCTGAAAGGAAGCGGTAAGAAGTTGTGCTGTAAAAAAAAAAAGTTGTGCTGTGCCAGGGTTGCCAAGAGCCTCTTGGAAGGTGCTAGAAGGTCCTGAATATCTGTGCCACTGCCCCAGTCCTTGCCCACCCTTTGCACTTGTGCCCTTTTCTGTGTGTGCTTCACGCAACCATCCACAGCAGCTCCTCACCATTTTCCTTGCAGGGTTTGTGTGAGTTTGCCAACATGTTCACTGTATCTCAGACCTCGAGAGCATGGTTTATCGACAGAACCCGGCAGGCACGAGAAGAAAGGCTGGTTCAGAAGGAACGGGAGCGCGCAGCTGTGGAGATCCAGGCCCACGTGCGGAGTTTCCTGTGTCGGCGTCAACTGCATAGAGACATCAGGTGGGTTCCAGGAGCTCGGCACATTTTTCTCTTGCTCCCAATTAAGAAAACAAAAAGTGAGTTTCCCCTGGCAGTGCCTCCAGATGCTGTGAGCTCCTAATTTGGAATGTCTTGTTTTTCCTCTTCTCCCTCCCTAGGAAGGAGATTGATGAGTTTTTACAAGGCGGTGACTCTGAGTCCAGTAAAAGAAGTGCGCTTTATATTTTTAAGATTGCCAGGAAACTGCTGTTCTTATTCAGAATTAAAGAGGATAAGGAGGTAAGTAATGATATCAAACATATATAAATCCAAGTGCCAGGACTTTTTATAAGCATTTCATAAATATTCACTCATTTTGTCCATGAAGCAACTCTCCGAAGTGGGTATTTTACCCCTACTTCCTGTTCCTTTTGTTTTCTTGGGACCGGCCATGGCCTTTGGAGACCTTCTCATACTATTACAAACACAAGTAGGACTTAGATGCATACAGGAGCCAGGCAACCTAGGTATACAAGTAAAAGTCACCGTATGTGAAGCCAGGCATGGTGACATATGCTTATAACCCCAGCACTTGGGAGGCTGAGGCAGGAGGATTGGTAGTTCAAGCCCAGCCTGTGCAACTCAGACCCTGTCTCTAAAAGGTTGGGAATGTAGCTCAGTGCAGAGGCTCACGATCCAATCCCCTGGGCTGCCAAACAAAACAGAGACGCCATATATGAAAGAAAACAGTAACTGACAGTGATGGTAAAGTACAATCAAAGTGTTTGTTTCCTGTCATCCAAAAGGAAGCACATGCTAGGTTCCTTCCAGTGGTGGACTTATACTGTACTTTTTTAAAGAGACAGCCTGTGTGTAATGGTGCATGCCTGTAGTCCTAGTATTATGAGAGACTGAGGCAGGAGGATCTCAAGTTATGAACACAGCCTGGACAACTTAATGACTTAGACCTTGTCTCAAAACTAAAAGTGAAAAATGAGAAAAGGGCTGGGGGTGTAGTTCATTGTGAAGGTCCTGGGTTCAGTCCTCAGTACTGCCAAAACAAGAACGAACATTGGAGACCTGGGTCTTCGTGCTTAATGTTCCAGTTTGTATAAGTTGGTACCTAATTTGAACTTTTTGATTTGGTTTGGTTTGGTTTGGTTTGGTTTGGTTTGGTTTTGGATTTACACATTGCAAGCCAAACCAAAAACACTAGTTTCCACCTTCAGGATGAGAATGATTGGCCTGGAATCCAATTGTAATTGTAATACAGCCCCAGAAAGGCAGATAATTATCTGTAATAATACTGAGGATACCACTGAGGCTCCACAAGAACAAAAGGCACAAGGTTTCTAGCCTTATGGAGCTCCTGGCGTGGCAGAGAGGATTGCGTGGGCATTGAACACCCTGTCAGGTAGATGAGCACAGACAAGCTCAGGCAGGTGATCCCTGTCTTAGGAGGAAACAGCAGGGCCGTCTCATTTCTAGGGGTGGATCTGAAAGTCGTACAGCCACGTACAACCTGTTTTCCAGTTTCTGATTTCTTCCTTTATGCACAGCAGGATAAAAGTGCTGAGATAACAAGCTTCAGCTGATGGCTGTGAGGCAAATGTCAGCATTCGTGAGGCATACAGAATGGCAGACTGCAGGGCACAAGTTAGGGAACAGCTGCCAGTCTGCTGCTAGTCCAGGCTCACTTTTTCAGATGTAATTTCACTTTTCAAAAAACACCGCAGTCCTGGGGATGCAGCGTAGTGGTAAGAGTGCTTGCCTACTATGGTTGAGGCCCTGCTTTCACTGCAAAAATAAACAGTGACAACCCCAAAAAACCAAAAACCCTACCCTGGATTTTTAATGTGAAACACACATTTCAAAACACCCCTGGAGGGGTTCAGCCTTCACCTCTGGAGGGGCCAGCTATTTGAGAATCTGTCTTTAGCTCTTGTGATCCTCAATTTCCACATCAATAAGGAGGAACCAAATTTGTTCACTTACGTGAGTTCCCTGGCAGATTGCTCATGTCAGATGCCCACTGAATTTATTTATATGTTTATCTCCTGCTTGATTTTTGGTTACTCGTGAGACTTTATGATCTCTTTTATGCCCCTGCAGAGGTTTGAGAAGTTGTGTCGTTGCATCCTGAGCAGCATGGACGCTGAGAATGAGCCTAAGGTATGTGGTTCAGGAGCTGGAGTCTCCCCTGGGCTCTTGAGGGCCACACACACAAGTCCTGGGTGGATGGAAAACATTGAGAATTTAAATGAAGCCTTGGTCTTCATTGTCCCAAGAAGCTGTGTTCTGCTCTTCCTCTCACTCAAGACAGTACATTCCCTTACAAGATATTTTATCCCTAGATTTTGTATTAAAATAAGTCCTAATTACTGTTTATTCACCCACTCACCCTCAGCACCTTACCTGGCACTGACACCAGCTAAGAGATCCTGTTCCAGTAGTGGGAACATGTGTAGTAGGGCGCCTGAAACTGCCCTCACATCCCCCCTCCTCTCTTACAGGTGTGGTATGTGTCCCTGGCTCTTTCCAAGGATCTTACTCTCCTGTGGATTAAACAGATCAAGTCTCTTCTGTGGTATTGCTGTGAGTTTCTTCAGCAGCTGAAGGTAAAAACAAACCTGTCAATCTGTGATGCGCTGGAACCGTCAGTGTATATTTTTAATCTACATCATTCCCTCATTGATTTTAGCTTTGGAGAGCTATCATTCAGGGTCCAGTAAAGAATTATTATTGGCTCACTGTTCTGGGAGAGAGCAAGATAGACGCTCTTATCAGTGTGAACCCTTCTTTAGTACTGTTGTTTAACACTTTAGTATTGTTGAGCACTGACTGCACTTGCCATTGTCTCAATACCAGGGAATCCTGTCTTCCTTCTTGATCTTTCAATGTAATAAATACTCTATTAATTGTATTATAATATTCGTCAGACCTTTTACTAGAGCTAACATACAGAAACATGCTAAATAGGAAAGAACACTTTGTTACAGAATGTATTCTAAAGCTGGACCGCTGGAAAGTCCTAGAGCTTAGGACTTGCAGATTCTCCTTGTTCTTTTCTGTTATCTCTGCTCCCTTTTGGAGGCCCTGCATCCTCTTCTGCTGTCATCATGGCAATCAGCTGTTCCAGCCTCACATCCATGCTGGCTTGACCGAGGAGAAAGAAGGAGACCTCCCCTACTCGCTCAAAAATTCGGGAGACCTCTCACAAGCCCAGTGGGACACGGGGCTCAGACCTGAACCAGTCAGAATGGGAAGAGCAAGGTGCCAGTGTTGCTGGTCCAGGCTGGTCCTGGGTCCTGTGCCTGCCCCTGTGTGATGCCATGGTAGAAGGAATGTGAGCAGAGACAAAGGGTGGCCTTTCTACTTTGCACACAGGGAGAGAGAAGCTTCAGGGACAAAGGCTGTTCAAGGACCCAGGTTGTACCTGAGTGCTGGAGCAAATGTCCCCAAACTCCACCCAATCCCCAGCTATTCGGGTGCTCGTGAACGGCTCTTAGTCACAACCACCCAACACAGTCAGTGCCAAGCCACAGGCACCCTGTCGGGGAAGGCATCAGGGCAGGGAGGTGTGGTCTTCACACCTGGCCCTTGGAGCCCCGAGGTTCTGCCGTAAGCCGAGGGCAGGCGAGCAGGTTACTCCCTTCCTCCACTTAGGCCAGACAGACCCTTTTTCCTGCTTTATGTACTTACACTCCCTCAGAGTTTCTCTCTGAGAACAGGTTCTGCTACTCTGAAAACGTAAGAATAGTTTGTGTGTAGAAGTAGATATTAGGAGGAAAGAGCACCACGCCTGGAGCTCAGTGCTGGTGTGCTGATTGCCCACTCCTCCCTGGTCAAGTCACTTCCCCTCTCTTGTTCCCCGTGAGCTTAGGGGTTTGAGCTGATGGGCTCCAGGCTCCGTTCCTGGTGCGTGGTGGTATAGGTCTGTGAGCTTGGAAAGCAGGCAAGCATTTTGCCTGACTTACTCTTGTGAAACAGTGAACAATCATAATAGTAACCAACAACATATGAAGCTATCCATGTGCTGGCTTAAGGTTAGTGCTTGGGTGCATTAATCCATTTTTTCTTCACAACAACCCCACGAGGAAACCATGTTACTATTCCTAATCAGCAGATAAAGAAATCTAGCACAGACAGGTTAAGAAACTTGCCCAAGATTGCACAGCTAGTAAGCAGTGAAGCAAGAACTCAGAGTCCATTTGGGCTCAGTTGCCTTTCTACAGTTGCTGCAGTGTTCAGACACAGAAAAAAGTATGCACATGTGGTAGTCCAGCTCTGACATCCTACTTCCCAAGAGTGGTTACATGGTTATGCACTAGCATGGTGAAATCCTCATCATCTGACTCCACGATGGTCATTCCCCAAGAGAGGAAAAGAATACAGTCCTCACTCAGTTACTCTAGTCGGAGTGCTCCAGAAAGTTGTAAAATGGGTGTTTACTGTCTGGGACGGGACAGTAGAGTCTTAATCTTCCTCTTTTTACTGTTTCCAGCCTGAAATCTTACAGGACTCCAAACTCATCACACTGTACCTTACCATGCTTGTCACCTTCACAGACACTTCCACATGGAAAATTCTCCGAGGGAAAGGTCGGTGGGACTTGCTTCACAATCCAAATCCTTCCTAACTTGCCTTTGCATAGAGGATGGCGCACCTCCTCTTGTTCTTAAGCAGTATTCCAACCACAAACCTCAAGGAAGGCTCTGAGGCTACAAGGTGCTCTTGGAACTTCCCGGTAGACGACATGGCAGGATCCAGAATGTGGCAGTATTGTGTATTACACTTGCCCCCATTCAAACTTATATTTAAAGGTGCAATTCTTCTGATCCCATTTTTTTATAATTCCCACAGCACCTCAGCCTGTCAATGATAACGTTCATTTGAAAACCTTTAAAGCAGATAATTCTATTTTGCCCATAAAATGTGTATTGTAAAGCTACCTTCCGATTACACGTTTCATATATTCTTTTCTATTCATCCATTCAGTTGATAGCCTGCTGTATGCCAGGCTCTGCCTCCCCACAGGTATGGGGGATATGGTGATGAGAAAAACAGAAAAGGCCATGCCCTCTAGGGATTTTGGGTGCTCTCATCCATGCAGAATTTAGAATCTAGAGATATTAAATAGAAGTTCCTCATATAGAGTTATCCCTCCATTTTTGAGGTTCCTTATCCATGGGTTCAGCCAGCCAATCATGGATCAAAATATTTGAAATTTGAAAAATGTGCCTGTACTGAACATGTAGAGACTTTTCTAATCATTCCTTAACAATATATTTTAATAAATATGTACCACTTATATTGTATTAGTTATTATAAGTAATCTACAAATGATTTAAAGTATGTAGGAGGAAGTATGTAGGTTCTGTACAAATACTACATTTTATATAAGGGACTTGAGCTCCCATGAATTTTGATACAAATTCTGGAACCAACCCAGACAAGTGCTGTATCTTAAGATGCATCCCTGAGATGATAATAAGTATGGAAAGTGCTTGGAAGGAAGAGCTTTAAGGAATTAGCGTATTCACTAGGATTGGAGAAGCTTCCTTGGCCTGGGGCTCAGTCTCCCCTGCAGAAGTGATGTCTGGGCTCAAAGCCAGAGGGAGAGGTAGTGTTCACAGTAAAGCACGTAGAGACTGAAAGAAGGAGAGGCTGTGTATGCAAAGCTCCAGAGCAAAGAGGGTTATTCTAGACACTATCCTAGACTCTAGCAGGGATCTGAAAAATTGTTGAGCCGGGTGTGGTGGTGCGTACCTGAATTCCCAGCATTCCTTAGGCTGAGGCAAGATATCAGGAGTTCGAGGCCAGCTGGGCTACATAGTGAGTTCATGGCCAATCTGAACTACTTAGTGAGACACTGCTAAAAAAAAAATAGTTAATTAAATTAAATTAAAAAATTGTTGAATTGTGAGCCCTGCAGGGAATTCACATCTGAGTGGACAAAGGAGGCATCTAGGGAGAGTAGGAAGTACCATGCCCTGGGAGGGAGTTGAAAGAAATGGCCAGGAGCCAGGAGACCAGCCACATTCCTTCTCACTGGGGGAAAGAAAGAACCCAGCACCCAAGAGGTGACACTTGAGCCATGCTCTCCAGAACAGATAGAACCAGGATAAGCAGAGCCTCCCCGTGTGTTCAGATGTGACGGAGGGGCGCAGGAAGCCAAGCCAGGCCGTGTCACATTTCCTTACAGTCCTGGGCCTGGGGCTAATTTTCTGTCCAAGTTAAACAGGTGACATTATGGCAAGATTTTTTTTTCAAACTCTTTTTTTTCATTTAGGAGAGAACCTTCGACCTGCCATGAACCACATTTGTGCAAATATAATGGGACATCTCAATCAGCACGGATTTTATTCTGTGTTGCAGGTATGTGGCGCCACCCCATGAGACGAGACCTCCCATTCTCCAGTGCCTGGTTAGATTTTTTACACGGGTTTGAACACATCTGGTGCCCTCAGATAGAAACAGTTCCTATAGGAAGCGTTTGATGCCTAGTGTCCTCTCCTCCTTTCCCCGCCTTAGGTCCCCAGTGGCTCAGGGAAGGGGAGACCGTAGCATTGGGATCCCTGTAACAAGAGTGATACAGTTTCAGCTGCAAGTGTGAGCCATGCTTTTGAAATTTAAACTTAGAAAGGAGGTCTCGTATCTTGTTCCTTCAGGTTTCTTCTTCATGGGTGTTTGGAATTACATTTCTGGCTCTCTATCCTCCAGCAGCCTTCTGTCTACTCCACACCTGATTGTGCTGGATTGGACCCCCCCCCCACCCAGCCCCGGGAATTGCTAGATGCCTGGTTGCTGTTTAAAAGCACTGTGGACTTCTTGGGTTTGAGAAGTAGTCTTGATGTCCTTTTTCCTGGCCCTGCAATGGGCTGTTTCCTGATTTGGTTTCTTGTTCTGCACCCAACAACCCTATGAGGTAGTGTGATGGCCAAAAGTGATCTGTCTGCAGTTTATCTCAGTAGAGGAAGCCCCTGCCTCATACTGCAACTATGAACTGCTTCTCAATAACATCGTCTTGAAATTTAAATCAGGTATTCTTGTTATTAGCTGATGATTTTTTTCCTGAGCTACAGTCCCAGATGTTTTTATTTTTGTTTTGAGACAGGGTCTAGGTAAGTTGCCTGAACTTGTGATCCTTCAGTCTGAGCCTCCTGAGTGTGCACTATGGTGCCTGGGTTCTTTTTCTTTCTTTGAGACAAGTTTTCACTATATTGCCCAAACTCTCCTAGAACTTGTGGGCTCAAATAATCCTCCTACCTCAGTCTCCTGGTACCTGGCACCACAGGCACTTGCCTACAAGCCCAGCTCTCAATTGTTAGGTGTTTTTTTTTTTTTTTAACTTTTTATTAATACAATATTTAAGACTGGTCATAGTAACACATTCCTGTAATTCCAGCACTTGGGAGCTGAGGCAGGAGGATCACCATGAATTCAAGGCAAGCCTGGACTCCATAGTGAATTCAGCCTACATAGCAAGGCTCTGTCTCAAAAAACAAACAAAAAAGCAATATACTATTTAAAGTAAGGAGACAGTAGTAGACTAAGACTCGATATCCAATTTTTCCTTCTAGTTCTCACAGTACGTGCTTCTATTTCTTAATGTACAAACTGCTCCAAACTAGGTTTTGTCCTCTGACCAACTGAATGTTCTTTTCAGGTATTGTTGACCCGAGGCCTGGCCAGATCCCGGCCTTGTCTATCCAAAGGCACGTTAACAGCAGCCTTTTCTCTAGCATTGCGGTAAGAAACTCAGTCTTCTGTCTGTACCCCGGAGTACTTTTGCAGCATGATCCTAAGAAAGATACTCAAAATGAATGATACTCATGCTGCCAGTGGCCAGTTGCAATCACTTTTTCCCGTGAGTTCTTCACTGACCAAATAAAGGAAACCTAAGAGCTGGCAGAGGCTCGGCCAAGGGCGAGGGAGAGATTAAGGTCATCATGTTATGATGAAAGGAACAAATACTTTGAAGGAAAGAAAGGGGCACTGCAGTACCCAGTGCTGATTCTGGAGTGTCATGATGTGAAATCCAGCAATATTATTAATCTTTGTTCAGAAGGATTTTAATCTAATAAGTTTTGTTAGTTCTCAACGTAAATGAAGATATGGATGAATGTGTACATGTCTAAGAGTATAGGATTGATAGCCATATGACTTAGTTTTGTTGTATAGTTGAACAGAACTGTTTGCAGTCTCCCTGGTTGAATTCCCATTTATATGTTCCACTTTTGTATCTTGAACAACTGTTTGTGGGGGGACAATATGTACACATTACCTAGTGATTTATTACTGTTTATTTCTTCTATTTGAAAGTATGTGCTATTTCTGCCCGTTTTCTGTTTTGTTTTGTCTTTCTTTAAATAAAAAACATAAAGGGCATCATGTTAGAGTAGGGAAGAGCAACAAGACTGATACTTGCCTTCACTTAAGCAGTTTGTGGAGGGACGGTACCTAAGAAACGAAAGAGTTCCTTACACAGTGCTAATAACTGTCAAATGGCAAAATGTGTTCATCAGTGGGTCCAGAATATTCATAAACTGTCGAGGGGGTGGCTGACTTGGGAGGAGATGAGTAAGAACTGGAGGAAAAGGTGCCATGGTCAAGGCCACATGCGAAGAGCCACCTGTCCTGCCGCGCCTGCAAATCCGCAGCACACCTTACTGTTGGAAGCAGTGAGACCAACTTCCGTGGTTATTACAAGAGCCTTTACACTTGTTTCATGTGATGTTGGCCCAACAGATCCAAACACAGACCACCCCAGCCTCGTTCCTGGAGGTGGAACGTGTCTGTAATATCCTGTGAAGTCATTTTCTGAGGAAGCACTTGGAAAGCAGTGGTTAGAATAGTGGTGGCAAACCTACGACACACATGTTGTGTTTCTTTTCAGACAAAAGATATTAGTGTATGAGTTGTTGGGGTTTGTTTTGTTTTATTTTTTTCTCCTAAACTAAAACTTCAGTGTTCAGGTTTAATGGCAGTGTTAGTACTTTGTGATAAGTGGCTTTTAGGTTGCAGTTTGGGCACTGGTCTCCAAGAGGCTGTCCATCACTGGATTAGAGCACGAGTTAGCAAGTACTTTCTGTGAAGACCCAGGTCGTGGACACTCAGCTAGTGGCCACATGGCCTCTGTGGCAACTACTCTTCTGCCACTGTAGTGAGAAAACAGCCGTAGTGGATACAAACAGTCTCAGACATAGAATTTTTCATGATTCACTGTAGACATGGTCATATCTAATAATTTTACCACATTTCTGCTCCTTTTAAAACTATCACAAAAGGGCCAGGGATTTGGCTCAGGACGTAAGTGCCTGCCTGACAAGTGTGAGGTCGTGAGTTCCATCCCGGTACCAAAAAAAAAAGACTATAACAGCATCCATCATTCTTCTAAGTACTGGATCCCATCAGTCATTAGCTAAGGCCAGGCTCTTCTAAAGCTTTTTTTCTTAAACAAACATAGTTGAACACAACCAAAATCCTTTAAAGGGGCCGAGTTTATGGCTCAGGAGTGCAAAAAAATTCAGGGCTAGGGATATAGCTCAAAAGCATAAGTCCTGCCTGGAAAGCATAAGGTCCTAAATTCAATTCCTGGAAAAAAATAAAATAAATAAATAAAACAAGATGTTCAGTTCAGTGGTATCATTTTACTGGAATATAGTGAAAAACTATAAAATCAAAAATGATCTGTTCAGGTATAAGCACTAAATTCTGAAATGTGATTGGCAATTCAGTCATATTCTAAGACTATAAGCATAAACTGACTTTTTTGAGACAGGATCTCACTCTGAGCTCACCGTGTAGCCCAGGCTGGCCTCGAACTTGCAGCTATCCTCCTGCCTCAACCTCCCAAGTGCCAGGAAATAGGCATGCACCTCCATACCAGGCTGTGAACTGACTCTGAGCCACATTCTTCATGTCTTATTTTATAGATGAGGAAACTAAGCTCGGAGCATGTAAACCGCTTGCTTTTGGTTACACACCCAGGAGTGGCTAGGATAGGAATTAAGCCCGCGCCATCCGACTCGAGCCCATTACATATCAGACACAGTTTTTGTAGCCTATGAACAGTACATATATCTTGAATAAATGACATATAGGAACCTTTCCAAACCCATGCTGTTGCTCAGACCACCAGGCATTTATTATCTGAGCCCCTCCCTGGCCCAGGGACACTGCCACATACTCCTGGCCCTGGCTTCTGTTTTTCCTTGCATACCTTCCTGCTTCCTGGTTGCACTGTGGGCGCTATGCCATACATAACCATTAGCAGTGCACTTATGATACGTTTGATTCATCACCATTTTTCATCAAAGAGGCTAAAGAGCAACAACTACAACTAAGCTAAAGAAAGAGTCTGTTGATCCATTGCCGGGAAAATAGGTAACAGGGGACAGGAGTGTTTGGGGTGTGTGTGACCTGCGACAGGTCTCCTGTGAGGCGCCCCTGCAGTTCACAAGGCATCTCACTCCCCACTCCTCAGTCCTGGTCGCTCTTATCTCAGTCAGGCTACGTTACTTTTGGGCGAGCCCAGCGTGGAATCCTTAGGTTCCTGTGAGAGTCCACAGAGAACGCACCGCCCTTTTAGGCCCCTCTCCTGAAGCAAATGTGAAGTAACCCGTTGATTTCAGTGCCATTCTCTTATGGTATGCTTTCCTCTATCTGGGGATTGCTTAGTCCTGTTTTAAACTTCTTTCTCATGTGCAGAAAACCACTGGATTCTCTTTTAGCTTGGCCAGCTCAGATTAGCTTTGTTGCTCAGCCTTATGAAGGTAGACAAGTGCTTAACACTGAGAGTTTGAGCATTTCATCCTTATAAAGTTTCCTCGTCTCAAATATAGTCTTCTTGTAAGCAAAAGTGTATGGTTGGAATTCCAGTAGTGTGAGTATCATTAATACTGTGCGCACATTAGCTGGAAACCATTTTCCCCCTGTAAGTTCTTGTTATCTTTTTTCCTTGCATGGTCTCTGAGTATTTCTTTAAATAACATCTTTATTAAAATATAACTCACATTATCACATATTTCACACTAAATGTATGGCTCAGTAATACATAGTATATTCACAGAGCTGCGAAATATTTTTATTACTCCAAGAAGAACCTGCATCTCCATCAGTCATCAGATTGCTTTGTCCCTCAATCTCTGACACAACTAATTACTTTCTGTCCCTTTGGACTTGCCTGTTTCTCATCATTTCACATAAACAACCATACATTCATGATTTTTGTTACTGCCTTTTCTCATTTTGCATAACATGTTCAAGCTCAACTGTATTACTAGAAATTCATTGCTTTTTACGGCCAAATAACCCATTGTATAGTTATTCCATGTCTGAGTTGTTTCCATTCTTTGGCTGTTAGGGATTTTGTTGCTATGAACATTTATATACAAGTTTCTGTGTAGACATATGCTTTCATTTCTCCTGGGTGTATCTCTAGGAGTAGAATGGCTGAGTCATGGTTGCTTAACTTTTTGAAGAACTGTCAAACTCTTTTCCAAAGTGGCTGTGCTATTTTGTAATCCCTTCAGGAGTGTATGCAAGTTCCAGTTTTCCACGTCTTCACCAACACCTGTTGTCTTTTTTTTTTTCCTGGTAGGTGTAATCTGGTATCTCACTGTCATTTCATTTCAGATTCCTTGGCGGTTAGAGATGTTGGCCATCTGTAATGTGCAGATTAACCATTTGTGTATCTTTAGAGAAATGTTGATTTAGATCCTATTGCTGTTTTACAGTGGGATTTTATTTTATTACTGAGTTGTATGAGTTCTTTTTACATTGTGGGTATAAGTTCCCTAAGATACATAATGTGAAAATATTTCCTCTCACTCTGCAGGTTGCCTTTGCATTTTTTTTTGGTAGTATCTTCTGAATCACAAAACTTTTTTTATAAAGTATAATTTATCTTTGTTTTCTTCTAAGAATTTTACAGTTTTAGGCTGCACACAGTGGCGTACACCTGTAATCCCAGCACTGCCAGAGGCTGAGGCAAGATCCCAAGTTCAGGTCCTGCCTGAATAACTTAGCGATAGCCTATCTCAAAATAAAAATGAAGATGTAGTTTAGTGGTAGACTTACCTGGGTTTAATCGCCGGTCCTGGGGGGGAAATGAATTTTATAGTTCACAAAAGTGGCATTTAGATCTGTGATTTGTTTTGAGTTAATTTCGGTATATACTGTGAGGTAGAGGTAATTATTTTGATATATTTACCTTTTTCTGATTATGGAAATAATACATGCTTATTGCAGAAAGCCCATGTAAAGGACAGTAGTATAAAGAAGAAAAAAATCTTGATTTTTTTTTTTACAGGCAGAGATACAGTTTTTATCTACCTTTCTAATCTTTTTTGTGTTTACATATTTGTAAATGTTAGTATCAACTAGACTATATTTTGAAATAAATTGCTTAATTCAAGTATATATTATTGATGAATTATCAAGTGGACATTTTGGTAAGCCCCACTCAAATGAAATTCAGCTATAATTAAGGTCCTCCAGAAGTCCTGTTCCTGTTCTTTATGTCTTTGGGTGTGTGTGTGTGTGATGCTTGGGACTGAACCTAGGACCTCTGCTCTGTGTACATCCCTAGCCCTTGTTTATTTATTTTGAGACAGGGTCTTACTAAGTTGCTGGATTGCCCAGTTGTGGCTCCATGTTGTGATCCTGCTGCCTCAGCCTCCCAGAATACTGAGATTACAGGCATATACCAACACATCCAGCCAAAACTGATTTCTCATGGCTCTGTAGTCTCGCATCATATACTTCAGTGTCACAGACTTAACCGTTCCCCTGGTGCATGTCCCCATTTCAACCTGTCATTTTACTAGAAGTCCTGTGTAGCATAATTTCTAGGAACTAGCAGGCTCTGTAGTGAACCTGTCTGAATAAGCGATCTGTCTTTGTCCAGCCCTGTGATTGCTGCACAGTTTTCAGACAATCTGATTCGGCCATTCCTCATCCACATCATGTCTGTGCCTGCCCTCGTGACTCACCTCAGTGCAGTGACCCCCGAGGTAAGTGGACTTTGTGAGTTTCCCCAAAACTCCAAGGCAGTTTTTGTGGTTTTTTCTTCTAAGCTATTAGCCACTGTGGGCACACTTAATGTTAGCAGCCCAAAGAAGCAGGTTCTCATTTGTGTCCTGGGTGCTTGATCCCACATAACTAGGGGGCGATCTGTAAACAGTCAAGTTCATGCGACAGTGGGAAACTGTTCTTGTCAGTTGCCACCTTAACAGTGTCCCATTGTCTCACTGCAGCGTCTCACTGTTTTAGAATCTCATGACATGCTTCGTAAATTCATCATATTTTTAAGAGATGAAGATCGATGTCTTGACATATGTGAAAATTTAGAAGGATGCCACACACTGTGTGTAATGGGTGAGTGTCAGTGTCTGGAATTTGATTCTGGACAGCAGAGGAAGCCCTGATCTTTTGCTTTCCACCTGCTTAGAGATTATGCATTTTTTTTAGTAACAGTTTGAAGTGCTTACCATAAATAACATGTATCAAGACAGTTAAACATGTGAAATCAAAAACTGTATGGAAATGATCCTGGAAAGCTAGGTAAGCGGCTCTAGATCAACGTGCAGTTTCAACTTCTGCCTTCTGGCAGCCAGGGGAAAAATGCAAATGTGAGTTGCCTGGATAATTTATATTTCCAGAGGCGAAGAAAGGGGACCCTTCTGTGGGCTTAGAGCAGAGCAGCACCTGCTTTACCTGTTTCACGATGTTTCATTTTCGATGGAAGGGTTTATGGGTAGAATTATTTAGAAACAGCGAAATGCATAATTCCCGTTGCCTAATGAAAAGAAATTCAGATGGAAAAAGGTTTTGTGGCTAAATTGTAAAGGGAGTATCTGACGAGAGTCTTCACCCAAAGGGTACGAGCAAAGTGTTATGCTAAGTAAATACTACCATACCTTTGTGAGGCTGACATTTTTTGTGTTTTTAATGTATAATACTCATGGAGGGTGGAATCACTATTCCAGTCTTGGAGATAAGGAAACAGAGTTAAGAGGTAGGTTGAGGGCCATGCACCTCATCTCCGCGGTGCCAGGACTTGCAGTTGGGTTGGCCTCCTTCCTACCCCTGCACCGCGCTGTGGTCGTCAGCACGGGCAGGCGCCCTCACTTGGACTCTCCTCCTGCGTACGCACTGTGGCAGCCTAAACCACAGAGGGCAGGGCTCCACCTTCTCTCTTTATAGGCAACATCCTACAGCTGGGCTCCCTCAGCCCCCAGGTGTTAGAGGAGGAGACAGACGGGTTTGTGAGCTTGCTCACCCTGATGCTGTGCTACTGTCAGAAATACGTGTCCCAGAAGAAATCCAACCTGACCCACTGGCACCCTGTCCTCGGCTGGTTCTCCCAATCTGTGGATTATGGGTAAGCACCGCTGCCTGTCTCACTCCCTCCCACCTCCCCTTCTTCCATCCAGCTTTTGTTATTTTGTTTCTTAGAATAAAAATGGTGTATATTCATTGGACAAAACAGAAATAAGACCAAAAGAAAATACAAACCATTCTTCCATCCTTTTGAATGTTGATACTCTTACAAAAATGAGCATAAGATTTTGCACTTTGTGGAGTAGTACTCAGCCATAAAGAAGGATAAACTGAAGACTTTTATAGGTAAAGAGATGCATCTTGAGACCATACTCACTAATAAAGTAAATAAGACACACATGTGTAAACATCAGATTATCCCGTTAGTGTGAGAAGCTGAAAGAAACAACATATGTACATTTGTGTGTAGAGGTATATTAAAAAAATAGTTAAGATAGTTATACTGTTGATTTCTCTGAGTTCACTGAAGGAGAAGATTGTGCCAGTGTTATTCAGACAACTGAATGCAGATTGTCTTGTGCTCTGGATGAGTGCTTTAGGGATGACAGTGTACAGTGCATGTACCATGTACAGGTGCTCCTGTATGATGTTTTGAAATTTTGTTTTAGTTTTTGTTGTTATTGTTTCTTTCTTTTCTTTTTCTCTTGAAATAAATGGAAAAGAGTTCACAATCCAAAAAAAGATTTTACGTTTTATTCTTTTCGTTATCAGGTTACATACCTCATCTAGGGATACTTCTTTCTTCAGTATCCCTTTATTGATTTTGCACTCTATTTTGGAGATGTTGAAACAAGGCAAATAATTCAAAAGGATTCACAGTTACCCCAGATCCTTTTCAAGAAGTAAAATGTAAACTTTAAGCATTTTAATTCAGAACTCGAAAGTCTTAGGGCCCCTAGCCGGACAGCTCTGGGTCAAGTAAGGCAGCACCTGAACGTGAGATGAGTGTGCTGGGCTGAGGTGGAGCTGAGGTCGCTGGCGTCTGGCTCTTCAGTCAGGTGTCTGCTGGGGGGGGGTCCCTAGCAGCTGCTGGAGGTCCAAGAAGGAAATCCCTAGGTTTGTTCCCTTTCCTTGTCCCTACATGGCATCGTTGAGTCCTGTCTATTTTAAAACACTGGCGAGGACAGCCCACCCCGCATGTCCCCACCCATGATGAGTGCTTGGAGTCTGGAGGAGTATTGGGAGACTGGGTGGGGCAACCCAGCCCCTTCATAGAAGGTGGGTCTCGGCTCCCCGCCTGTTCCCTGGATGCCTTTGGACAACTTGCCTTACCCCAGCTTTCTCATCTGAAGTGAGACAGTCGTCAGAGCGCCTCCAGAAGGCTCAGATGAGACCAGGAAAGGCCTGCTGCTAGGCCTCGTGTGTGTTCCATAGATGGGGCCGTTACCATCCTGACAGTGTACCAAGAGCAGTTTAGGGTCTGAGCAATGGAGGGATGTCGGCAGGTTCCCAGAATGATGGTTATACTGTTGGGGTACAGCCTAGAGTGGTGGGAGGACAATACCCCAGAGGCAAAGAAATGCTGAGGAGGATTGAGTCAGCCAGATCTGGGCCCACAGCTGCAGGGCAACCGGAAGGCGGACACCCGCCAGCATAAGAAGGCTTTTGTCCATCTAGCAATAGGGAGCTGTCCACAAGATGTCTGACCCTTGGAGAGAGCCAGTAACACTCCTGGCAGCTCAGGAAGTTTGGGTGCAGTGATGGCCGGATAGAGATTCAATGCCTTCAGTGTCCCCAGCCCTCAGCAACAATTTCTTTTTTCTGTTTCTTATTGTCCTTATTATGTTCTCTGCTGACTGAGTGCAAGTCCTGAGCTGCACCTCCAAGCAGACGGCCCACTGGGAAGTGGAATAAACCGTCCCTGGTCAGGCGGTGGTGGAGCTGACATGCCCATCTCTGCTCTCCTAGCCTCAACGAGTCGATGCACTTGATCACCAAACAGCTGCAGTTCCTGTGGGGAGTGCCTCTCATCCGCATCTTCTTCAGTGACATCCTGAGCAAGAAGCTGCTGGAGCACCAGGAGCCAGCGCCCGCGCAACCAGCATCCCCACAGAATGTGCTTCCGGTGAAAAGTAAGTGGCCGAGCCGGCCTCAAGTGGGCTCAAGGCAGCTCCTGATCTTCCCTGTGGATGTTCCATTGTCGGCCATGTGCTCACTTTTCCAACAGAGACTTCGAGGCTTCTGCAGTCAAGTCTCTGTTTAACCAGACAGTGAGGCCAGGGAGATGCAAAATAGTGATCATGTACACAGACTGCCACAGATGCCTGTTCCTTAAGGGCCATGTGACTGCGTCTGAGCTCAGTTTGACCATGAGCTTGGTAGTAGCCAAAATGAAAAGGTTGTGTGGACATTTTCTCATTACTAGAGAAACAGACCTGTTTCTTAGGGGATACGGTACTTTGATAAGTTTTCATCATAAAATGAACCCCATTTGGGGCTTCTCATAAGTCACAGAGCAATCCAGCACTTCAGCAGCGCCTCTCCTGCAGGGTCAGAAGTGAATATCATGAAAAATTTCCTTGTTGCCCACTCTGAACAAAGTTAAGGAACGTGGCATGATAGCACACATGTAACCCACACATTCTGGGAGGCTGAGGCAGGAGGATCACAAGTTCAGCCCCAGCCTGGGTGACTTAGCAAGACACTGTGTCAAAAATACAAAGTGAGAAAGGGCTGAGAATATAGCTCAGTGTGAAGGCCCTGGATTCAATCCCTAGTACAGAAAGAGAGAGAGGGGGGCAGAAAGGGCAGACAGGGAAAAGCCAGGGATATGTAATCAGTGGAGTACTCCACCTGCGGCAGGTTTTCAGGTGCAGGGTGGGTTTTCTTTTGCAACTCACACATTGCATAACTGTCTTCTAGCTAGCAGTGAGTATGGGCTCACCAGATAAAGCTTCAGCAGGCTGTAAGTGAGAAGGCTTCAGACAAATGTAGTGTGCTCATAAACAAATGTTAGACCTTGAAGGTGTTACATTTCATTCACTTCCCTCCAAAAGCAGAGAAAACTGAGACTGTGCCTTTTACTCTTCCTCTAACGTGGTCCCCTGAATTTTCACTTTTGTGACTTCTGAAATTAGCTGGTATAGTAGAAGAATCACATGTTGAAGATGAGTATACTGGTTTGTTCTGAGAGATTTTCTGATATTCTGAAAAGGGTGTTAGGTTATACCAGAAAACCCCATCATAGTTGGCCTGGAACTCATGGTGACCCTCCTGTCTCGTCCTCTGGAGTGCTGGGATTACAGGCATGTGCCACCATGCCCAGCCCCTAAAGAAATGTCTTGAGCCAAGCAGCAGTCCCACTGGCTGGCCCTGTCTGTGAATGTGGACTTCTGTTGAAATGTTCTTCCCTTGACCTGGTGGGACCTGGCAGATGGTGAACTTCCGCCTGCATTTCTTCTTTCCTCTCTGCCAGGTCTACTCAAGCGTGCATTTCAAAAGTCTGCATCAGTTCGGAATATTCTCAGGCCTGTCGGGGGCAAGCGCGTCGACTCTGCAGAGGTCCAGAAGGTTTGCAACATCTGTGTCCTCTACCAGACCTCGCTGGCGACTCTGAGCCAGATCCGCCTGCAGATACTTACAGGTTTGGCATCCCGAAGCTGCAGTGCCTATGTTTCAAATTTGGCAGACATTTTCTTAGCAAAACTCGACCTTTTATTTTCCTATGACCTACTTGACTTACTTAGAAAGTTGATTTGAAAGGAGGACAGTTTTTAATTCTTCTTTTTAAGAGATTGGTAGACTTCCTTTAAGTAACTCAAGCCAGCCTCATTCAGAGCACTTCTACTTTATTCTTTACCTGACTCCTGTATTAATCATAAGTACAATTTTTTAAAGTTATATTTTTCTGAGTAGAAAACTAGGAAAGATAGGGAGGCAAAAACAAAACAAACCACACACTTCATCCCACAACCCAACCTGTTCCTGAGCACATTACACACATAATATAAATATATTTAGACTAACATACACCATTTTATCCTCCTTTTCCATCGATCACTTTATAATTATTTTATCATGTCAGCAATCCTTCAGAAACCTCATTTTTATTGGCTCCACAGTATCTCATCTCATGGATATGCTAAACATTTTCCTTTTTAGCTGAGCAAGGAAGAAAGTCCCTTCTGTGAGCACAGAATTAAACACTGAGGGCTTTGGAATTGCAGTGCAGGCGTCATTGGTAGGAATTGATATTATGAGTACAAAGGTCCCTGAAAATTGAAAGCCGGTCACTACATAAAAAGTTAAGAACTTCTGCATTGTACATTTTTAAAAATCTTAAAATACTGCTTCCTCCACCTTTCACACTTATTCATTCTTCAAATACTTATAAAGTACCTGTGTTTGCAAAGCAGAGGATTCAGAGGTGAACAAGCTAAGTCAAGGCTCTGCCCCCAAGAGGATTCTGTTCTAGTAGTGGGGAGACACCAATGTGTAAGTAAAAAGTAGGTCACCTAAAACGACGAACACCTTGCGAAACTGAAAATGAGGAGAGACAGTGTTGGCATAGACTCGGGCAGGGTTTCTCAGCTTCAGCAGTAGTGGCCTTTTGGGCCAGTAATTCTTTATTTAGGGGGCTGTCTGTGCAGTGTAGGATATTTACCGGCCCCTGACCCAGTAGTACCTTCCACCGCGTTGTGATAGCCAAACATGTTTTCGAACATGGCCAAATGTCCCCTGAGAGAGATTTGGCAAAATCATCCTGGCTGAGACTCATTGGCCTAGTGCCAGTGACGAAGATGCAAATGGGGAGGTTCCAAATGTGTTTTAGAGGTGCATCTCTGGCCTTACTGGTGGGGTAGATTTGGGAGCATAATGACTAAAGGTTTCAAAAATGATGCTTAGTGTTTGGCCCAGATTCCTGAGTGGATGGTGGTGCCATTTGCTAAGCTGAGGAAGCGCATTTGGGGACATGACTTGCAGGGACTTGACTGGTTAGGCTGTGACAGGTACAGGCAGAGGTATCCAGAAACCTTTGGGTGTAGTGGTGGAGTAGCAGCAGAGAGATGGAGTACCTGGGACAGGTTCCTAAAAGAGACAGGAGGGAAAGGAGGACCCCGTGCCAGGTGCTTCTCAGCACCTGAAGGTTCGGCAGCGTCTTGGCTAAGAGGAGTTCGAGGTTACCACCTGTGTCTGGTTTGTAAGATGAGCTCACATCTAAGTTCATTTTCCCAAGTAAGAGAATCCAAATATAAGGTTTTTGGACAACATAAAAGTACATACTTTCACAAATAAAAGGCTAGTCTAAAATGTGTAAGTGATATTCAGTCTATTAGTTTAGCTAGTGCGCTTATTTAAAAAACAGTATGTCTTTACTCTGACATTTGCTCATTCTCCTTATATTCCCTGGTGGCACTGGAGCTCCTCTGGTCCTCTGGCCTCTTCCTCCAGGGCCCCGCATCCCCACTGTTGTCTCTGTTGAGCCAGTGTTTATGGCTGTGCCTACTTCCATCTACACCATGGGTAGCATGTACTGTGAGAACAGTTGTTTTTCTTCTTGGTGGTCCCCACAACGTAACTACTGTTTCTTTTTTTAACCTGTATTAAATTAGGAGGTTTCTGTAGTCTTTGATGTATGTAGTACAACATAGGTGACCTAAAAACTATGAGCTGAGCGCCTAATACCCACCAACCTGGTAAAGAAACTTACATTTTGAAGGCTTCTTTATAACCACATCTTCTTCCCTTGAAAGTGTGAGGTCAAACTTTTAGAAGTAATAATTCAGTGGATGCTACATTTCTTGGTCTCTTTTACAATTCCTGTAGTTCAACTCTAAGCACCCTTAGGTAGCTTTGAGGTCTCCACGTGCCTTCTCCAGGTTATTGTATCTTCCCCAAACAGTTCTTCTTTCATAGCTAAGTAATTCAGTGTACTCTGTAAAATGAGAAGGCTTAAATAGAGGTAACCACTTGTATTTGAAGCATATATTTACAAATATTTTAAGGGCTCAAATAGAAGTGATCTCTCTTCTGAGAAGCATGCCCTGCCATATGTTCGGTAACAGACTTTCTAAGTCACTATGTGTCTGCATTATTAGACCTAAAATATGCCGGTGACGTACCTTGTGGGTCGGAGGCCTTGTAGCCATCAGAAAGCTCCGTGGAATGTCCGCTGCTTCACCTTTTTGCTTCCCCAGGGTTAATCTTATGTAATTGTCAGACTTGTCTGCTACAATCATTCATTTCTTTGTCACTTTTAATACAAAATAATAGAAGTAGTTGAGAGGAAAATGTTTCTAAGTGAGGGTGAGCCTGCAGGATGTCAGCTCATGAGTCAAAACTAGCTGTCTTCTTGTCTTCATAAATAAACTTTTATTAGAAAACAAACAAATCCATTCATTTACCTGATGTGTAAGCTGCTTTAGTGCTGCAGTGACAGCACTAACAGTTGTGACTGTTAAACTAAACTTGGTTGGAAGATGCCTCCATGCTCCAGTCCTTCCCTGAAGGACCTGAACCAAACCCTGACTTAGCAGTCTATGGCCATAAACGACGGGTCACCTTATCCCACCCAAACCCGAAAAACCCTAAGTATGTAAATTAACTGGAAGCCTGACTTCAGAGAATACTTTTATAACAAATAGCTGAGTCTAAGCCAATCATAGCAGCAGTTTTTGATCAACCACAGGCAGCTAGTTTACCAGAGCATGTTCAAATAAAGAAAATGCTAAGTTACAATAAGTGCTGTCTGCCCACTTTTAAAACAGAACTTTCTGAACCTCCTCTGGCTCTGAGGCTGCACGATGTATCAGCTATCCTTTGTTCAGTTAATCTCTGCTAAATTCAATTTGTCTCAAGTTTTTATTTTGACAACAGTGTCCCATCTGGTCCACAGAGCCTACCCCTCTCCAGAAAAACTTGCTGATCCCTGTTAAAACATAATTACTGTCTCACACTGATCGGGCTGTGTGTCTTGGGCAAATTGTTTAGTTGCTCTGTCCTTCACTTTCCTCCCTTAAAAGATGGAGATGACACTGTGCTGGGCAGTGTTCTGCACACCTGTAACCCCAACTACTCAGGAGGCCGGTACAGGAGGATCAAAAGTTCAAGGCCAGCCTGGCCAACTCAGTGAGCCCCCACTTCAAAATAAAAATTTAAATCTTTCCCTTCAGTTCAGTTCTCAGGGTTGAAGGAAAACAGTGGGATGACATTGGATTTCACAAGCAGAAAGCAGGCAGTGCACGCCAAATGTCTAAGCGGGTATCTGACACACAGCACCTACTGAACGTTAACTGTTATTATCGTTGTGATTCTCAGGGTAATAATGCTTTTCCTAATTGTACCTTCTTCTCACACGCATTAAATGATCAATAATGGATTTAAGTGTTTTATTTTCCCAATGAAAAGGAGAAATAACAGATGAGATGGAGTTCCCATTTGAAGCTTGAGTTTCTCTGTCCTTTTCCAGGTCTCACTTACCTTGATGACCTGCTGCCCAAACTATGGGCATTTATCTGTGAGCTGGGGCCCCATGGGGGGCTAAAGCTCTTCTTGGAATGCCTGAACAATGACACTGAAGAGTCCAAGCAGCTCTTGGCCATGCTGATGCTGTTCTGTGACTGTTCCCGACACCTCATCACGTAGGTTGACTGCTGTGGGGCTAAATAGCTTTCTTAGAATCAGAGAAATCAACCTAGTGTCAGGAAGCAAAGTAATAGCTGACAATTACTATATATGTTAGACCTTTGTGACAGGATCATTAGAAGGACTAGACGAGAGCCAGGCAGGGTGGCACCTACCTATACTCTAGCTGGTTGGGAGAATGAGATGGAATCACTTGTGCTCATGAGTTCCAGACCAGCCTGGGCAAAATGGTGAAACCCTTTTCTCAAGGGTCTCAAAAAAGAAAGAAAGTGGGGCTGGGGATTTAGCTCAGTGGCATAAGCGCCTACCTTGCAAGCAGGCAGTCATGAGTTCGATCCCTGGTACCGATTAAAAAAAAAAGAAAGAAAGAAAGAAAGTGATAGATAGATAACAAAAAAAAAAAAAAACATTTACATGGTGGCATGTACTAGGTGTTCAGGAATTGTCCCCAGTTACTCAGGATAGCTGGGTCAGTACCACTGAGTGTGGTGTTTAGGGTCTTCTGGAAATGGGTCCACATCATAGCTCAAGCATTGATTCACTATGCAGGGTAAATCACTGGAAAATATCAGGGTCAGAGAGTTGGAATCCAAAGCCTGGCTCAGCCATCTGCTGTGATGCCCTGGGCAAGGGGGTAAGGAATTCCACCCTGTTCTGAGACTGTTTCCTCATCTACAAATGGGAGTAACAACAGTACCTGCTTTTACGCATGTGGTAAAGATGAAAAGAGACCATTAACGCCAAGAGCTTAGCACAACCCTGGCACACAGGAAGAGTCTGTTACGTGTTGGCCGTGGTATTATCGGCCAACCCTAGGCAAGTCACTTAACCTCTCTGAGCCTCAGTTTGCTTGCTAGCAGGATGAAGGTAATATTACCGATGTGACAAAGAGTAAGTGAGGAAAGCAATGTCAGCTGCTTAGTAAAGTGTCGGGCAAAAGGTGGGATGTTAACAAATTATTCCTTAAACTTCCATGTTCACTTACATATTTGGTGTTAAGTCCACCTTTTCCCAAAGTATTGGGGAAGAATAATAAGACAGAGTGCACCTCAGGGAAGTACACACAGGCTGTAAGACCTTAGCAGGAAGGGGTTGGGGTCGCGTAAGTGGCAGGTGGGGTGAGCACCGAGAAGGAAGTGGGCAGAGTCCGCAGCCCCTCCAGTACAACCATTAGCTGCCGAGTCCAAGTGAGTCACATTCTAAATTTTCAGTTAGAGCTGTGTCTCGCCTGTTCTTCATGCCTGTCTTCTTCCAGACATCTCTCCACTCACAAATACTTAGCAGGTACTGCAGTGTCTGTCCCTGATGGGGGCTCAGGCGCCACAGCTGTGTTAGTAAACACAGCAGTCAAGAATCCAAGTGTAGAGCAAGAAACTGTCATAGATCCTTATGAGTGAGAAAATCAATTGCAGGAGGTTTTTTCCTTAATTTCTGTAAAATCTTTTTACTGCACACAACTTCAGATAAATAGAAAATAAAATAATGAACCTTCACAAGCTGCCACCAGCTCAGCAGTTTTGCTTCATCAAAGCCCCACTTGCTCTCCTGTCCCACATTTCTCTGAAGCAAATCTTGCATATTTTAATATATATTATAATTAATCAATTATATATTATATATAATTAATATATATTATATATGATATTTTACCTGAAGTGTTTAAAAATAGCACTTACTTCTAATCATTATTTATGTTGTCTGAGAAACAATAAAATGTCGTTATTTTCCATCTCTCAGTAAAAAATTGTAAATAATTTTCTGATTTAGGATCCTTGATGACATTGAAGTTTATGAAGAACAAATTTCATTCAAACTGGAAGAGTTGGTCACCATATCCTCTTTTCTGAATTCTTTCGTGTTTAAGATGATCTGGGATGGAATCGTAGGTAAGGTAAAGGTGTCTACCGTCATTTTATTGATGCTAAACCCAGGGAGCCTAAAGAGTCTGTAACATTAACTGGTTCTTAGCCTGATTGTCTCCCAGTTAATAGAAAATGTGCATTTGTTCTTCTCAGATCTCTTAAGACAGTGTGTTACTACAGAAGTCTCTTGTCTCACTCTCCCAGGCATCCTTCCGGACTTAAATGTAGGTGTCAAAGCTTATTCATGATAGTGGCACAGCAGCTGCCTGCAAGCTCATGAGTATGATCCTGGGTACCAAAAATAAAAACCTTATTCATGATGATTCCCTTTACCCTGACTCTCCTTTTGAATACTGATATTGACCTTCACAGAATAGAATGTGTGCCAATTCAGATGACAGTCCACCTTGTGAAGTGTTTCTAGTTGTTCAGTACTGAGCCCCTTGGAGTAAAATACCTTTGGCTATCATACTACATACAGTAAGCAGCATGAGTGATTGTCTAGGAGGCACCAGGCCTTCAGACCTTTAGTACATTCCCAGGGGGCCTTTTAATCCCTTCGGTTCCACAGAAATCTCAAAGCCAGAGAGTTAAGACTTGCTAAGGGCCTCAAGAGAAAAGGACTGTCCTCCTACCCCTCCACCTCTCACCGTTTTCACAAATGTGACTCCTGTTTGCTTCCTAGAGAACGCCAAGGGTGAGACCTTGGAGCTGTTCCAGTCCGTCCACGGGTGGCTGATGGTGCTGTATGAGCGGGACTGCCGGAGACGCTTCGCCCCTGAGGACCACTGGCTGCGAAAGTGTGTATCAGGCTGGGGAGAGTGGGGACCCTGTCATGGCCCTGGCGCAAGGCCTTCTCCCCCTCCACCCTGTGCATCCATTTGCTGTGACACCTGTAAGAATGCAGCGTCTGGCACCCTTCTGATACACCAGTTTGATCAGAGTTAATGTAGAGCCACAAAGTAGGACTACTCTCAGGGGCTGTTTCTTAGCCATACGGAGAAGAGAAGGTCTTTGAGTTGACCTGAGCCATGGAGTATAATAATTATCTGGCAGTTTTTATCCACAGAATGGCCAGAGTCAAAATTATTCTGAGGGTTTTTGTTTTATTTCGTTTTGTTTTGTTGTCATTGGAGATCCTCTGACAGTGTCTAAGCAAACTTAAAAACGCAGCATGCTAGCCGCAGTGGCACATGCCTATAATCCATCAATGTTTAAGCAACATGACAGCTTCATGAGACCCTGTCTCCAAAAAGTTAAAGGGCTGAGGATTTAGCTGAGTGGCATAAGCACCTGCCTTGCAAGCAGGCGGTCGTGGGTGCGATTCCCCGGTACCAATAAAAAAAAAAAACAACAGGGAAGTAACTCAGGGCAAAGGCCCAGGATTCAATTGTATGTACCTCCCCTTGCCAAAAAAAAAGGGGGGGGGGGGTCAGCATTGCTGTCAGTGATGCGTAAGTGGCCAGTGGGTCTTAGGTGCTGCAGACCAGTCTGTGTCGCAGCTGCTCCCTCTGCTCCTGCTGCAGGGGTGACAGCAGCTATGGACAGTGCATGTGTGAGTAAAGAGGTGTAGTGAACTGGGTTCCCATAGAATTTTGCAAAGACAGGATTTGCCCCTCTAAAGTGATTTTTCTGTTTTAATAGTTAGTAACCCGTATCTTTCTTTTTAAGGGATCTCAAACCTAATGTGCTCTTCCAAGAACTCGAAAAGGACCGAAAACGCGCCCAGTTGATCCTGCAATACATCCCTCATGTCATTCCTCACAAAAACGTGAGTAGTGCTCAGAGCTGGGCTCCTAGCGTGTTCTTCTGTGGTTCTTGTGTGTTCTTCCATGTGGTTCTTGACCTCTCATCCTTGTGCTTGTAGTTAGAAGTGAACATGTGGCATCACTTACTCTGCAAGCACAGTGGTGAGGTATCTTTTGCTTTTGCTGCGAGGTCGCATTGGGTGCTGGGGCCGGAGAGATGGAGGAGGCAGTGTGATTCAGGTGCAGCCGGGCATGTGCTGCGGGAGCCCAGCTGGCAGGGGAAACAGGTCCAGAGAGAGCACCACAAGCCTTCGAAGGTACACAGGCCTTAAAGGCCAGGGCTGAGAGAGAAGGGAGGCGTACCATGTGGCTGGAGAGGATATTAAAAGAGAGTGTAATGGACGGAGGAAGTTTTTAGGAACTAGACAAGAAGTGCCTTAGAAACCAAGACTAGCAGCTTAGATGTTAGCCAAAGCCATTGCCACATGTTAAACATAGGAGGCTCCGGGTCAGAGCTGTACTTTTTTTTCTCCTCAGTACTAAGAGTTGAATCCAGGGCCTCACACATGCTACACAAATGCTGTATCTCAGCCCAGGCTGACCTTGAACTTGGGCTCTTCCTGCCTTAATCTCTCAGGTAGGTATGAACCATCACATCCAACTCAGAGCTCTACTTTAGAAAGATCATCCTAGCCACAGTACAGAAGACTGGCTAGAGACAGAAGCTGCTAAAACCAGCTGGCCTGCGTAGGGTAGGACCATGGAGTAGAACAGTGATTAAGTCAAAAGACATTTAAGGGGCTAGCACTTCAGGCCTCAGAAAGTGACCTTCAGAGAGCAAGGAAGGGAAATGGAGGCAGTTCCTGAGTTAGTTACTGCCTGTAATTGGGAGCGCTGTCCCTGAGGCAGAAACGAAGAGGCTGGTCCCGGGCATGTGGTGAGTTCAGCTTTGAGAGGGCAGGGTGTGAAATGACTGTGGTTCCTGGTGCTCTAGAACCTAAGAGAAAAGCTAGAGAGGGACTGCATGCGGGCAGCTTCCGACACTCCTGTCTGCATTCACCGACATGGGGGAGGGAATCGGCCCTTAGAAGATCGGGCCCCGTGGGATTTATCACTTGAAAGGCTGATGAGAGACAGGAGGAGGAATCCAGGGAAGGAAGGAGACCAAGAAAGTGTTGTGCCAATCTCCAGGGGATGAGAGAGACTCGGGACGAGTCAGCTGCACTGACAAGAGCGTCCAGAAGGTGCAGGAAAGCATTGTTCCCATCCCAGGGGAGCAGTGGACACTCTAGCACTGCCTGCTGGCCGCCAAGATCGTATTGTGCCTCCTGAGCGCCTAGGGTACCTTTTCTCACGTGTCCTCTTTCTTCCCCCCACCAAAAAAAAAAAAAAAATAGATGTAGTTTTTGAAAAGAGCATAAATCCCATTTTTATAAATTAAATCACACTTTTCATAGGTACCTAATCCTCACTACTTCCTGACTTTTGACTTTGATTTTGGTATTTAAAGTTGCTAATCATTCCCCACAAACAGTCATATACAAATGATGCAGCTCTAAGTTTTATTGCACTGGACACATTCCAGAACGAGGAGTCCTACAGGTAACTGCTTAGTGAAACATGCCTCCTCAGGGGAGCCCCACACACATAACGCCCTTGACTCAGCCTCTGGTTAAGAAACACAGCTTTGCAAAGCAGGCCGTCTACTGCTGTACCCTTCCAAAGACAGAATGTGCTTCCTCATCCTGAGCTGCTCATTCCCTGTAACTTCCACCCCTGGTCCCTGAACAGCCAGCCCTTCACTGTCTCTTGAGGTTCACAAACAACTCCCATTTCCCTTCTGAGTCTGCTGTTTTCCAAGTGTAGCAGTTTTCGTTTGTCAGATATTGCTCGTTTGTAGTAGTCTCCAGCTGCTCATCTCCCAGGCTGCTTCTGGTTTGATGGTGTCTGATTTAAAACCTGATTCCCACCTGTATGCATGTGCAGTTCACAGACAGTGATTTTGGGAGTTGCCAGCAGATATATACATCTTTGACAGAAATAGTATGCACTACCAGTTCAAGTTAGTTTGTGGTTTTAATATTTATTTGCACTGTCTATGAGTCCAGGTCATATACTGTTCTTCCTTCCTTCCTTCCTTCCTTCCTTCCTTCCTTCCTTCCTTCCTTCCTTCCTTTTGGGAATTTTGCTTAAGATTACCATCAAGGCCATTTGCCATTGGCTTTTCAAATCCCCTCACTTGAGGAGACAAGGTCCTTCCTCATCTCCTGGCCCTGTCCTGCTACCAGTGATTGCACAGCAGTCCACGGGAGCTTCTGCTGTCCCTCTTCCCTCCAGGTTGGGAGAGTGCAGCTGACCTGAGAGATCCTACAGAGTCTCCTCACATAGTGTTAAGAGGTAACCCCTGACCCACGGCCTCCACAGGATTAACCTGGCTTGCTGGAGGGCACAGGATGGTACCAAGACCTCGCTCTCATCCGTTACCATCGTACCATCTGCCCTAAGTGCTGAGCCCTTCCCCTGTCCTTGACGTTACTCCAGTGGGTGGCTTATAATGCTTTTCCTATTCTCAACATTTTTTAAAGCCTCAGCTCTAAATCGCTCATACGCACAGCATTTTGTTCTCTGAGCTCACTACCTGTTTGTGTCCCAATTGTGACTTCAGGTCTTTGTCTCTTATTTCAGCCCAGAAGACCTATCTGGTATGGGGTGGGCAGGCTGTGTGGTGTGGTGGCCTGTCCGTGGACATGGATCTGGTCCCCCTCTCACTGGCTGTGTGGCTTTGGATGAGTCGGGTGTTCTCATCTGAAGAGTGAGGATAATGATCCTTAGCCTGATGTCTCTGGGTTGCTGAGGTTTCCTGGCCATTCAAGGCTGAATGAACTTCCTTTGAAGCTTCCTCCACATCCTGTGGAAATCTAGAGCCTGACTCAGGCTTTCTGTGATTCCTGAGAAGCTGTTCTGCCATGCCTTCCACCGCAGGCTCCACAGAATAGCTCCTGTCATTTTAGTGATCATGCTGAAGATCTGGGGTCACAGGAAGTAGTTGGGACACATACCACATACTTAAGTACCTGTGCAGCTCCCCTGTGAGAGAGGTGGGAGCATTCTTCAGCTGCATCATCAGTCCCCCTCATTGGCTCCTCAGTCCCTCTTCCTTCTGGGTGGCCCCGGCACCCTCAGAGCTTGTGATACTATTCAGGGCTCTTCAGTCCTTGTTTCTAACTTCATGGTGCCTCACTGAACAATAGTCCCTCCCCCAAATACCTTTGCCCTCCCTTCTTAGAGGCTATTGACAATTACTTCTGCTTCAATTGTATTTCTTTATAGAGTTAATATAAGGACCAAGTAAGCACACACAACTCTTCCTCCTCCAAGGTGAATGCTATTACTATTGTTTTTATTGCCATTTTACCATTCCTGTGTTTACTAAGGCTCTTGACTTTCAGGGAAGATTCCCATTTAAAAAGAAAAAAAAAAAAAGACAAGCATCCGTGGCTAGCATATACATTCACTCAGCTGACTTTGTCTCAAGCCTGGGGTGATACAAAGGGCCGTATTTTCCTGAAGGGGTGCCTTGTTGGGCACCATGGAGTAGGCCTGTAGTTTTACAGCTCAAGAGGCTGGGCAGGAGGATTGCTGTAGCCCTGGAGTTGGAGGCCAGCTGGGTCAACACAGCAAGACCCCATTTCTTAAAAAAGCAGAAAGTAAAGGCCTTATCAGAATCATAAGGCTGAAGGCAGACTATACTATCCAAGTCTTAATTGAGAATCATTGCTAGTGGAATAGCAATGATTGGGGCACAGAGGAGGCAGGCAGGAAGGCCAGGAACTTTTGTACTTGGATGATCTTTTCATTTCTGAAAGCAGGAAAAATTATCCGTGGTTTCCGTGTTTTAAATTCATAGTACTGATGTCCTCCAAAGAGGTGCAGCTTGCCCTGCCGCCTCGTTTCTGTGGTGGGCAACTTACTGCATGAGGAGGAGGATTTTTTCCTGGAGCCCTAGTTGGGTGCTGGCTGTATCTTGACCACTTTTTCTGAAGCACTTCTCCCTTGGCATGAGTTCAACTGTATTTCTAATTTCCAAAAGTGCTCTTAAGAATGTTTAACATTCTCACAGGGCTCTGTGACCAACAGCACACATTAAGGCATCCCATTCTGGTTGCATCTCATGGCAGCATAAATTTCGGTAATTCCACAGAGTGGTTTTTGTGGCAGTATCATTTGTTGACTGTGTTTCTGTCTCCCCCCACCCTTGCTCCTTTCAGAGAGTTCTCCTATTCCGAAACATGGTTACCAAGGAAAAGGAAAAGCTGGGGCTTGTGGAAACCAGCTCCGCCTCCCCTCATGTCACTCACATTACTATTCGTCGGTCCCGGATGTTGGAGGTGAGTTTCGAAGAAGCCAGCAGAAGCTGATTGCAAAGAACTGTTCTCCGTCATGTCTGTTCTGTAGCGAGTGATCTATAGCCTCTGAACTTTTCATCACACATGGAGCAGCCACAGGCCACTTGTTCTGTAGACTGCTCTGAATAGTCTGCTTGGTTAACGTGCCCTTAGTGCTGGGGAACCACCCTGTCTTCCTTTGCTCCTGATAATCTCTGGACTAGAGCATCAGACTCCTCTCACCCTGTGAAATGAGACAGGAAGTCAGCTGCAGTGGCAGCACTGCTGTTTCAGGTCTGTACAAACTCCTTGTCCCAGCAGGCACTTTATCCAGACTCCTGCCTGAGAAGGTGGTACAGGTGGACTGGGGTGTTTTGCTGACTGAGCCACACAGAGATACATTTATCACAGCTAGAGGGTCTGTGTACATGTAAACCTAAGAGATACCATTAAAGTTGCCCATTGAAGTCAAACCCCGTGTCTCGAGTCACGAGTATGTGGCAATTTCATGTAAAGTAGAAATACATTGGTACCTTGGTTCACAGATGCTTTTGCAAACAATTTAGCTTGCAAACAGAAGCATTTAGCAAAATGTTTTTGTTTGGGAACTTTGCCTCAGGTGACAAATGACCACAGCCATCTTTTTTGCACAAACATGAGTATGGCTGTTTTCCCCAGAATCATGGTACAAATTAAGTTGTGAAACGAGGTGCCATTGTAATTGCCCTGTCTTCAGATGCCCACTTCTGTGGGCAGAAAGCTGTTGTGCTGTTTTTTAGAGGTGAGTGGCGAGGCCTGTGGGAGCCTATCACAAAATGTGCTCTGCCAAGGTAAGATTTTTTATACCCTGACAGCAATCTGCTGGAACAGCCATGGTAAAATGGATGTCCCTTACAACAGCTGTCCCAGGCCTTCCTTGGGTTGGACAGTGCCACCCTACCCATTTGTGCTGATCCTGCCAGCAATGCCGCTGATGTTTGAGCTGCAAGTCTGCAATCCCAGGAGATGCTTGGCTTGATTTATTTGCCATGTTTGCTCTTAGACCCGATATCCCACTCTGACCACAGTTCCTCATTTGCATATTCTGTCAATATAAGATAAACAAGGGGCCCCGTGGCAGTACAGGGCCACATAGCCAGCCAGCCGCATATGGCAGCCTTCATCTCCCACAGTGCAGCCACACCATGCTTGCGTTACTTCTTACCTGAGAGCTTGTTTTAGTTCCCCTGATCCTGGTGATTGACACCAGGAGCTGTTAGAAAAGACTGTATGATTTAAACAGTTGGCATCTTTGACATTCTTAAAGGTAGAGATAAGTCAGGCGTGGTGGCACAGGCCTGTAGTTCCAGCACTTGGAAGGCTGAGGCAGCACATCATGAGGCTAGCCTGAGCTACATACTTAATTTGAGGCCAGCCTGGATTATGTAACAAGACAAAAATTAGTTAATTAATTAAAGTAGGGATAAGGGCACTCAAATACTGAGAATTAACTAATTTTGTAAGACACCTAGAAGGTCAGATCACTCCCACTGAATTCAACCTGCGAGCCACTGGTTTGTAGCCTCTGCTTTTATTCAGAGGAAGAAGCAGCTTCATTATGTTGTAAAACTCCTTTTTCCACCAATTCCTCAAACCCGGATACAGCTCCCCTGTGTCCCACACCCTCAGATGTAGACAGTACCCACTGCAGAAGAGTATAGTGTCACCTGTAATGTCTGATGGGAACAGTGGATCGCTTAGCTCCCTCCTCAAGTGCCCTTGCTAATAGGAAATCACTCGGCATCCCAGTTCTGCTGGGCTGACTCCTCAGAGATGTAAGGGAAGGTAGTCTCTCTTGGGTGTTAGGCAAAGTCCTTTCCCTTTTGCCTTACTGTGAGAGCATGGCACACATTTTGTCGTGAGATTGAATCAAGAAGGGAAGAGCGGCACTTATTTAGTGATTTATTTAGTTTGGCTATTAGAACCACAGCCCAGTGGCCTTTGTTTGATCTGAACACAAGGGGGCATCAAAAACTTAATATCCGTTGTCCTGGGCTTTTTGGTTTTTTGTTTTTGTTTTGTTTTGTTTTGTTTTGTTTCCCTTCAGTATTGAGAAATGAAGCCAGGGCCTTCTCACTGAGCTACACCCTCAGGCTTTTTCATTTTTTGAGACAAGCTCTCGCAGGCCGAGTTCAAATTTATGATCCTCTTTCCTCAGCCTCCCAATGGCTGGGACTGTAATGCATGAGCCCACATCCGCAGCCTGTCCTGAGCTTTTATTCTGCCATCTGGTTCATGGCAGCATAAGAACTGTGCTTCTGGAGGCTCACAGGTGTTGGGCTAAGTCTGGCAGGAAAGCTTTCTCTTGAACAGTGAACAGAGGCTGGAACTGTGGCCCTTCAGAACTGGAAGGAACCTGCACTCTCTTATCCGTTGCTCCTTACTCTGTCAAAGGCAGAGCTGAGGACAGAGAAATTTAAGAGTCTCAGTTAGGGTCCCTCAGGTACCATTGACAGAGCCAGGCCTCCCTTTCCTGACGCAGTGTCCTCTGTGATGCATATCAAGATACAGTAGAGAGAGAAACGCTGGGCTCACGCCTGCTGTCCAAGAGGCACGTGTATAATCCTCACATAGCTGCTCCTGCTCCCGAAGGCAGGAGATATATCAGGAGACAGAGGCAAATTCCTCTACAACTTTCTGAAGAGGCTGGTATGAGTCTGATCAAGCAAGACTAGAGATCTCGATTCCACAAACATTCCTTGCTGGCCTCACGCTAAGTGCTTCCCACACGGCAGCCCTTTCCTCTCCCTAGCCCCACACATCTCTGCTGAGGAGATCATGGCTGGGAGGTGTGACATCACGACAGAATATTGAAATCTGTGCACACTCAGGACACCTCCCTTCAGCACGATGCCAGCGAAATGATCTTCAGTTAGCCTACAGCTGCTTGATAGCATCCTGTTTCTCCATTTTTCCATCTTAATGGTTCTCAGACTTGTGTGTAAAAAGTACTTCCCATGTCCTCATGCGCAAAACCATGTTCCTCTTCCTCCTGACGATGTAAGGACTTTAGAGGTTATTTCTCTTTAGCTCACCAACTTGGGAGCTTAATCCCTGATAAGATTAAAAGATCACTTTGAATCATGGAGCAAGCATGGCAGGAAAAGAGCAAAGGTCCCTCAAAATATAGCCCAGACTTGTAGATTGTTCATTTGCCTTGTAACAAGGTGACCAGACTGGCAGATGGGTGGACGCCAGAAGACAGTTTATGTAAAGTTAGCAAAACATATGACCGTGCTGCAGTTGTGACTAAAAGGAAAAAATGTGATCTCAGTAGCACATTAAGGTTGACTTGTAACTCTTTATGTGTGATATTATTTAAAGATAACAGTTTCACCCTGGTGACAGGGCTTCTCATGTTGTCAAAGGGCTCCTCCCTGGACTCTGTCTGTCCTCTTCTCTGATTTTTGTAATCACTGCTCGGAAATAAAAACCTCCAACACCCCACATACTAGTAATACATTGGGTGACAGAGTCAGAAGCTAAGAAGCCCTCAACAGATTAGAATCAAGAGACACACTCTAAAGTTTAGTAGGAGAACTTTAAGCTTGTATCCTGGGGACTATGTGTGCTGAGTTTTACAGAGGGAAGCTACACTGATCAAAACCAGAGCCTTGTGCCTGCTACGCATGCCCCCAGCATGCTAAATCTGAGCAAGTGGCCGTAAGCTGGAGGTGTGCTGAGGCTTCTCCCTCTGCTCTTGCTCTCGCCTGCCCGGTGTGGCCCCTTACCTTGGGCTCTGCACTTTACCCCTTGTCCTCTGCTATCTGTCCATTTCTACCTCCAGTAGAGCCATGTCGCTCCCTGCCTGAATTCTTACAAACCTTCTGCCACTTGTCCTTGGATTATAACTTTGATTCCTCAGCACAACTCTCCGTATCCTGTAGCTCTCAAGAAGCTAAGGGGTGGGGAATACTTGCATTTTTCATTTCATAGTGTTTCATAAGTTTAACTTTTTCCCCATGAGCTAAAACACATTCTTAGCATTAAAAAAGGAGATGTGTCTTGTCTTGGGTTTTTTTTTTTTTTCCCATCTTTTGTGTGATGGCTGAGAGCTTGTCATAGCTCATTTTGTCTGATTCCCTGTCTGACAACTCTGTATCCTCTTGAGGCCAGTCTCCTCCAGCCAGAGAGCAAGGCCATCACATCCCTGAGATGAAGCTTTCCTTTTAATGGACTCTCATTTAAAAGCAAGTGAGAACCGCTTTTTCTTCTGTATGCCCACATGTCCTGGCTTGCACATTTGGTCATTGCACTGGGAAAGCTTCCCACGGGGATAGAAGGAATCCTTGGTGAGGGAGCCTGGAATTACACACGAGGCCATGATTCCTAATAGGCTGTAATTCTGCCCTCGGCAGGACGGCTACGAGCAGCTGCGGCAGCTCTCCCAGCACGCCATGAAGGGCGTGATCCGGGTGAAGTTCGTCAATGACCTCGGGGTAGACGAGGCTGGCATCGATCAGGACGGCGTGTTCAAGGAGTTCCTGGAAGAGATCATCAAGAGGGTGTTCGACCCAGCACTCAATTTGTTCAAGGTGGCCACGGGGGTGTGAGTGGGCTTGGCCGCAGCAGACGGAAGGTGTCAGAGAAGTGAGGACAAGACGTAACCTCCGTCTCTCCCTGTCCTTCCACCTGGCAGACAACCAGCGGGGACGAGAGGCTGTACCCGTCTCCCACGTCCTACATTCACGAGAATTACCTGCAGCTCTTTGAGTTTGTGGGGAAGATGCTGGGAAAGGCTGTGTACGAGGTAGGCACACTAGGGACCAGGGAACGAAAACGTGAGATGAAATGTGAGCAGCCACTTTGGGTATGCTCCTGTGTAAGTAGCCTGACATTACGGTAAGTCGAGGCATGGGGCAGGAACCAACATTCGTTGATGTGATTGCTAGTGCTTGGCTTACGTCGTCTCCCTTAATCTTCTGGACAGTTCTGTGATGGGTGACTGTTCTTTAGGAGTGGGGGGATTAAAGCTGTGAGAACTCCCTGTTCCAGGGCCGCCTTCTAGTCAAGTGACAGAAGCAGAATTCCAGCCCCGTGCAGCCTGGCCCTCTCAGCCCTCACCGAGGAGGGAGGACGACGCAGCAGAGCCACAGCACAATGGGGAAGCTCGCTCCTCACTTTAGAAGGGCAGTTGTGTAGGCTTTAGTAGTAGGGGTTTTGGTTTGGTTTGGTTTGGTTTGGTTGGTTGATTTTTGCAGTTCTGGGGATGGAATCCAGCGCCTCACATATGCTAAGTATGAGTCTATCACTGTTTTTAAATCTTTCATTATTTAAATGAGTACCTCAGAGACAGCTGGTGCTCCTGGGAGTTGCCTGTAATTGGAACAAAAAGGTGGGGGATACCTCACAGCGCTGGTCCAGCACAGCGTATCCCGTACCCAGCTGGCCATGTGACCACGTACATTCAAGCGGCTTCACCTCAGTAAAGTGAGGAGACTGGCATCAGGGGCAAATGCAGTGATAGGTGTAAACGCCTCCCTCAGTGCCTGGTACATGGTCATCCCAGGTCAGAAGACACTATCCTCCCTGTCACTGACAGGGGCTCAGTTTATGCTCATGGAGTAAACAGTGTATAGTGACGCCACACAGCTCCGGATCCCTGTCATTGGCAGCCAGGTCAGGACAGGCAGAACTTTCCAGATGGCAGATGAACCTACCTTAAGAATCCTACCCCAAGGTGCAGGTGATTTTCACTTAGCCCAGGTGCTGAGCTGGGGGCCTTCTGGGGCCCAGTCTTTGCAGAAGTCCTGGTACAGTATGGTAGAAGTAAACTGCCTAAACTCCTAAACTGCTTCTCTTGTGACCCTACAAGCCCCAGTGTAGCGGGGTGCCTTCCAAAGGGAAGGAGCCAGCAGCTGAGGGAAGGTGTCCAGCCTTGGGCTCAGCTGCTTTGGATAGGTCATTGTCCTCTTCTTGGAAGCCTCTGCATAGCCTCAGGCCCCGCCGCGATGAAATCAAGTGCCCGATCTTGATTTTGCAAATATCATTCAGTCCTTTTGCCCTATGTTACTTGGGCAGCCTCAGTTTATTCTTTTCCTCTGATTCCCATTTTTAGAAAAAGAAAAACCAGGGCTGGGGATGTAGATCAGTGGTAGAGCACTTGCCTAGCATGTATGAGGCCCTGGGTTTGACTTTAGTACCAAAAATCAGCAACCTCCCTTTAAGCATGTAGCTATGATAGGCCAGCTGAGAAATGTGGCCTCATACTTTGCTGCGTGTCCTCCCGTCTTCCAGGCCTTGCCTCTGTCTGCCTTCCTTCCTTCCCTTGACCAGTCATGAGAACAGTGAGGACACACTGGCTCTGTGTTCAGGCTTTAACCTCATGGCCGTCTTTGGCACCATGACCACGGAGTTTGAATAGCCTTCTCTTTTAAATCTGCAGAGATACCTTTCCTTACCCTTTCAGCTGCCGCCACAGTTCAGTCTCTGCATTTCTTGCAGCCATGGCACTCAGCTGTCTGCCTTGTCCCTGCCTCTGTCTCCCCCACTGCACTCGCCACATAGAATGCAAAGCTGACACTTCCCTACCTAGAGCCCTTAGGATGGAACGCACACTGCAGCCAGCTTGTGGGGCCCTTTTGGAGCCAGCTTATGGGCTCTTATCTCAAGACTCACCCACCCTTCCCCCCACACATAGCAGGGACCAGATGTGGTCCTCACTAAAGGCCTTGTGCTCTTCATTCCTGGACTCTGTGGCTCCAAAGCCTGTGCTCTGCAGGTAGAGATCAGCTGGGTTTGTTAAACAATGAGCAGTAGGTTCTCCAGACCAGAAAGTACCTCCAGAGGTACCTAGAGGTGCCAGTGCATATTCAGGGCCACCCCTGCAGCTTAAGCGACCCAGAGTGGATCACTGAGCCAAAATCCTGCACCATGGAATTGAAAACTTCTTGTCTTTTCCCTCAGGGAATTGTGGTGGATGTGCCCTTTGCCTCCTTCTTCCTGAGCCAGCTGCTTGGGCACCACCACAGCATCTTCTACAGCTCCGTGGATGAGCTTCCTTCTCTGGACTCAGAGTTCTATAAAAACCTTACCTCCATCAAGGTTAGTGTGGAATAGTGGCTGACTAAGCCAGGGCTTAGTTGGACTCAGCTTTACCCTATCTTCATGTCCTAGAACAAGATCCACTATAATTGAGGCAGAGCCCATGTCCCTTCTGAGCACTTCCTCTGGGGGAGAGACCATAGCCTCCTGCCTCAGGGTGATGAGCAGCCTTCTCAGCTTCAACTGTGGGAGGCATGGCTGTGAACACTGCCACAGCAGCACCTCAGAGAAGGAAGAGTTAACTCTTCAAGGTTGTCGCATTCCTTGACTCCAACATTGCTCCCTCTCTGTTACCTTAGCGCTATGACGGGGACATTGCTGACCTGGGCCTGACACTGTCCTACGATGAGGATGTCATGGGTCAGGTAGGTTGGCCTTCCTGGCTGAGCTCTTCTCCTGGGCTTCCAAGACCTGCCTCAAGAGACCACAAGCTGAGGATCTGCCTGTCAGTCTGTCTCACGCTCCCCGCACCCCACCTCTTCCTGTCAGCCTGGCCTTTGTGTGCCTTCCCCTTGGAGAGCCCCCTTAAGGCTGGCTTAGTCATACTGCAACTTGGAATCTTCTGGTGGAAGCTGATCCCCTGTTTGTAACACTTTGCATTTTCATAGTAAGCATTAGCCATTACAGATAGAGAATCATGACTGAGTGGGGACTGCCCATCTGGAAAGAATGCCTCAGACAAAGGCTGGAGTGTTCGATGAGATGAGCCAGTATCTGAAGGCACCGATGGGAACCCTGTGTGTCCCATCCTCCTGAAAGTCACCCAGCCCTGAGAACCTGAGGGCCTGAGAAGCCTGTGAGAGGGACTGTAGCGCAAGTGTGGTAGCTTCAAGCTTCCCCAACTTGACTGCCCACAAACTCTTTCAAAGAAAGAAAGAGTGCTCTTTCTCCGGTCAGCAGCATTCAGGTGTTCTGTGGAGACATCTGTGGGAAGCACCAGCCCGGATGAAATATCTGACAGCACAGTTCAGCATAAACAAAAAAATGAAAATGAAAACCCCATAATGCCAGCACCCAGAGGGAGCCTGTTGTCTGTTGTCTCTGTCCTTCAGGCTCTTTCCCAGGAATGTGTGTGTAATCTTATTTTGCAGAACTACTGCCAGACCGTACATGCTACTATATAGTTGTCTTTTTTTCACCTGTTCAATAAGTGTACACTGTCCTCGTGTTTTTTACTAGCTGCACAATATTCTCATGTGTGGATGTACCAATATTTATTCAGCCTCCTGCTCTGGTCCTAAATGCCAACACAGTTCCTTCTGTGACATTCTGGAGGTTTGGCACAAATGTTTGAACAAGGATCATATAAGAAGAAGCCTTTGATATTGATCACACAGGATCTGCTCATTGACAGTTTTAACCCTGAGATTTTATGAAGAGTGATCATTCCTAAGAACATCCATCTTAACTGCATCATTATCATGGCTGTTTGCATTAGGCCCTATTCTTCAGGAAGCTTTATTTCCCCATTAGAATTCTCTCTAGTAATTACTTCCCATCTTCTCCCCCAGCTTGTTTGCCATGAACTGATTCCTGGAGGGAAGACCATTCCTGTTACAAATGAAAATAAGTGAGTACAGCGATTAGATTTTTAAGGTCACCACTTGAAAAGACTTCATTCTGGCTCTCCAGGCTTATGTTGAGAATTTATTAAGATAGATTGAAGTAGAAAGAGGCCATAAATATCATAATGAAATTTACTGGGTATAGTTCATAGGCCAGAATTGTATTAAATTCGATTTGCAAAATAAGAATTGGTGATTTATTTTTTTGCAGTAGCACTTGTAAGGTCAGAGGCACACAGGCTGCAGTGTTCTTAGGAATGAAATGACAGCTGTGTATGCAGACAGATGGATTCTGAGATGATCGGGCACCATCCTAAATCCAGAGGACACCAAAGCAAAGACACGTTTGAGGAGCAGCTCACTTTAAAATGATAGCATGCGGCAATTGTAGAAAACACTGTTCTCAAGAGACTCGGTGATGAATTCAGTTCAGTAGACACAGACTTAGACATAGGAAATCAGAGGAGATGCTGAAACCTGGCAGCTATTGTCACTGATAATGTGCTTCTAGGAATCTGTCATAAAAGTCAACCCTTTGGGTCTGAAGAAACAAAACCCCTCAATGCTCTGTCTCCAGACAGCCCTGGTCTTGCCTGACTAAAACAGTAGAATCTGGCATGAGGAGTAGACCTTGGCCCCCTTGTCAATCTGTCACTGTACTGGCGCCAGGTATAGCTGGGCATTTGAACTGGTAATCTGAGCATCAGTCTCTTCAGTGACAGGTGAGGGCTCATCCCACCTGGCGAGCCGTCTGGATCAGATGCATGTTACAGTCCAGTGGAACATCCTGCTCCTCTTGGATCAGGTGGTTTGATCAGTCTGTATGCTTTAGGAGTTCTATTTCCACTGTCCGAACAGTCGTTTTCATCATGATTGAAATATTCCTGCTTTGCCTCTTGGCCATGGGGCATTAGTTTGACCTACAACAAAGAGTACAGGTTACAGGGTCGCTAGGGCAGGTAGACGATCCAGGCTTGGGCATGGAGAGATAGGATTATATTCTGGCCCTGCCCACCCTTGACCCATAGATCTGTTTCTTCACAGATCTGTGTGCAAGAGAAGCTGTAAAACAGCTTCCAGGATGAGGTGGCTGAAAAGGGGCTTAGAAATGAGTCGTCAATACGGGATGTGTCCTGTAGATCCTGCTACCCCCAGGGAAGCCACCTTTCCCTAGAGCTATAGCACAGAGGTGATGGTAAGAACTTTATGCCTGTGAGGTGTGTAAATAGCAGCCGGAGAAGCTGAGTCAGTGCTGTGTTGAAGTGAAATCCCTGTCCTGCCTTGAAACCAGACATGAAAACTCATCTCACAGACTCCTATGTTCTAAGCACAGAGCCACAGGCGAGGGTAGTCTGCACCACACACTGAAAGGCTTGGCAGTACAGTGCCTGTTCCTCTTCCTCTGGGTGATAGCTGCTCTCCATTGCTAGGGTATTAACGCTTTCCACTCTCCCTCGTTCTGTCTCTTTCGGTAAAGTGAAGGTGAATAACTGCTGCACAGAGTACTTGGGAAAACCAGCAGTCATAGAAAAACTCGTAGTTATGCGTTTGAAGATACAGGTTTGCCACTGGGATAAAAGAGGAATATTTTCAAGTTACATAAGACTTGAGCATTTTGCGGAGAAATTTACTTAGACTATGCTTATTTGGAATTTATGAGAGTTATACTTGGCCTGAGCTCCCTGAGCAAATGGCTTGCTGAGAAATCAGCAGTGTAACTAGCATATTTAAGTATGTTTAACCTGTTCAGAGGGATTGCATCCTATCCGGCATTTGTAGACAAGATCAGTGTGTTCATACAGACAGACCCAGAGCCCGTTGTGCTTGAAAGCAGGGTTCATTCCTCTGACTTCCTCAGTGGGCCTGGACATAAGTCAGCTGCCTCTTTGCACCTTTAGACTTCTGGTCTACTTTAGCAAGATTTGGACTCAAGTTTCAATATGAAATTATTTTCCTCTACTTTAAAGCTTATTGGTATACTAAAGGATATCAGTTGTGTCCAAAACTTTGAGATTAAAAAGAATTTTGAAAACAGCCTTTGTCCTAAGGGCCCTCAGAGTCACCTCTGAGATGACTCACTTCAGTTCCCAACATAATGGGGAATCATTCTCGGTCTAATGTGTAGCATTTGGGGAATAAGTAAACAGGACACATTGTTACCCATGAGTACTTGAGTCTTTCCTAGTGGCAGGCAATGACAAGAGCACTGTCATCATAGCCATTATCGTCATTGTTCTAGTGACATGCTCTGGTACTGTGTATGTTTTATAAAATGGTTCAGAAATGAATAGACTCATCTTTCAGCCCAATGGTAACAACAGCCTGACTCATCCTCTTAATTTCCAGTATTTTCTCTCCCTTGTTAACAGAATTAGCTACATCCATCTGATGGCGCATTTTCGAATGCACACTCAAATAAAAAATCAGACAGCTGCCCTCATTAGTGGATTCCGTTCCATCATCAAACCCGAGTGGATCCGAATGTTCTCAGCCCCTGAGCTGCAGCGTCTCATCTCTGGTGACAACGCCGAGATTGATCTGGACGATTTAAAGTGAGAGGTGGTGAGGAGGGAAGGGTGAAATTCTTAGGCATCCTAAAAAGCGAGCTGCTCCTTTGTTGGGTTCCTTTTGCAGAGTTATTCCCAGAGCCTCTCACCAAATCTCCTCCTCCTTCGTGATCTGGCTGGGGTGCTGCGGGGTAAACACTCAGCCCTTGTCCGCCAGACAGCTGACAAGTTTAAGCCACCTTTGAGCAGTGGAGTTTCACTAAAGCTCTAGCAAAGGGTGGCATGGTGGTTCAGGTTGCATCTGCTTGGGAACAGCAGGACTAGCTTTCAAACCCAGCCCATTTAGCTTCCAGGAAGGTGAGGATATCAAGACATGAACCTGATGATTAACCAGTGCTGTCTTAGGTGCCTCTGCCCTTGTCTAAGTCACCCCGCCTGCCTGTGTTCACAAGTGCCCTTCAGCATGCTGTCTGGGTTGTTTTCAGGAAGCACACGGTGTACTATGGTGGCTTTCACGGGAGTCACAGAGTCATCATCTGGCTCTGGGATATTCTGGCCTCCGACTTTACGCCTGATGAGAGAGCCATGTTTCTGAAGGTATTTTGTGACCTTTATGTGTTTTTTGGGGTGCATGGTAGTCTAATACACCTAGAAGACCTATTGATAAATGGGAAAAACAGAATTGTCAAGAAAACTCATCATCGGTGTGTTCTCTCCTAAAAGCCAAAGAGTAAGCAGGGCAGGCTCAGGGAATGCAACTGAGCCTGCTCTCTACCGCTTGCTGCAAGACAGCCCCTGTCCCGCTAGGCATGTGTCCCTGCTCGACTTGGCATGCTGTCATCTCCTGGCCTGTGCTGGCCTTGCTGATATTTTTTTTTCTTACTTTTATTATAGAAATAAACCATATTTCTCACCTTAGCTTAAGGAGGTATAGCTGGGCATGGGGGCACATACCTGGGCTACATGGCAAGTTTGAGGCCAGCCTGCCACATAACAAGACACTGTGTCCAAAAAAACAAAAAACAGATACAAACTAAACAATCCTGTGATCCTAAATACTTCTATAAATGTAGAATTTTAAACTTAGTATATCCACGTACCCTCTTTACTCAGTAGTGGGAAATACGTATAACACACATGTGGAATCCCAGTAAAGCACATAGTTGCTAAGGCTGATGTTACTGTATATTTTTGCAAGCAGTTGTTGACATGAACCAGTTCCTTATTCTGGTTTGTATCAAGTTCTGAATATCCCAGATATTCTTCCCGGTGCTTACTGCACTCTTTCCTTAACAGTTGATGTGGGTAAAATGTTAGTATTGTGTAGGACACTGGGTGACACACCTACACATCTGTGTGTGTGTGTGTGTGTGTGTGTGTGTGTGTTTATAAAAATGGACTGTCATTTAGATCACTTTGACAATAGAACATTTTGCTGTGTTCTGGGAGTAAATTTAGTTCCTTGACCTATTGTTAGGCCTGCGGGTTTCTTGAACAGAACTATGTGACCTCCAGTGTCAAGGCAATGTGGCAGTGTCTCACCAAGTAAAGTAGCCACTAGTCTTTTCCGCAGTTGATCCCCGGGTAGAAAGTGCATTCCCACTGAGGAGGCCTTCACAGCAGTCCAGCAGACCCGAGCTCCCATCTTAGGTCACCAGGGCCTCAGCACAAGAGGCGCTGTGATCTGAAAAGCTGGTTCTGGGGGTTGCTGCCCAGGCTTCCCATCAGTGAGTCTAGTCCGCAGCACAGTCACTCTGCTTGTCCTGGGAAGAGGACAGACAGTGGTGCAGTCACAGCCCACAGTCAGGCGTGTCTGTGCCTGCAGTTGACCTGTCACCAAACCCACAGTGTCTCATGTGTCTGTCTTCTGCGTGGCTACAGACTGGCCCCAAAGCCAGGGGAGTTAACGTGTGGCTCTTGCCTGGGAGTGGACGCACCGGTGCTACTGTGCAGTATAGTCTCTGGAGACTTCCCTGCCCTCCACTCCTCCTCCTGTCCCCAGAGGGTGGAAGCACCTCCCTCCTCTGGCTGCCCCAGGCCGCAGCACGAAGCAGTTAGTTCTGAGCCAGCCTGAGCTGAGTGTCCAGATGGTTTGTCTGTCTCCTTAAAACAGAACAAACTCAGCCTAGATACACAGCATCTGTGCAGTGTCTGAGAGTCTTGTGTTCATAGAAGGCTCTACTGTTGTTACTATGGTTTTTATTTAAAAACCATTTTAGAAGAGGAATATATTCAGTACTGTTTTGTTTTATTGAACCCAGGGCCTTCACACTGAGCTACATCCACAGTCTGTCTCTGTCTCTGTCTGTCTTCCTTTTTTTTTTTTTGAGACAGAGCCTCACTATATAGTTTAGAACTGCCTTTGACTCACTGTGTAGCCAGGCTGGCCTCAAACTCTTAGGTGCTCCTCCTGTCTCAGCCTCCCAAGTACTGAGGTTACAGGTGTGCATCACCACATCTGGCCCTTTTATTTTTTTATACTGAGACAGAACCTCCTTGAGTTGCCCAAGAGGACCGAACTTCCAGTCTTCCTGCCTCAGCCTCCCAGAGTGCTGAAATTATAGGTGTGTGCCTCTGCCTGCTGCTATTTAGTACATTTTTATAAAAAATTTTTTTCAAAACATGACACAAATTAAATTGGCCACTGAATTCTAGAGCCAGGCTTGGTATCATAAGTAGCAGGGCCCAGGGTCCCCTAGAGAAAGAGCATTTCAGGTTACTGTGGAATTACAGAAAGGGAAGGCTTCCTAGAACATTCCTATCAGATTGACCCTTAGATTTCTGGGTTGGCCCCGCATGTGCCTAGACATGAGCTAGCATAGTTGAGCAACACAGGCGCTGCCATTCGAAGAAGGCAGTGATTCTGGCCTGCAGCAGGGAAATGGGGCTCAGGGCCCACCTCTGGTACCCAGTTCTTTGGTCCACTCTCAGCCTCTCTGGCTGCAGAGACCTGGTTTTCCTCCACATGCTGAAAGCAGGAGCCCACTCACAGAGACCGCTCTGCCAGCCAGCAGGCCAGGGCACTGCCGTGAGCTTGCTGAAGCAGTCCCTGCCAGGCTGCAGGGAGTCCTCTGCCACAGCTCACCGGGGCACCACCTGTGTGGGCTCAGGCTTGCCAGTGCTGCCATTGTGTATCTCTAAAGAAGGCTGGCTGTCAGTGTTCAGCCCTGCTGCCATGACTGTGACACTGCCACAGGAGACTGCCTCCTGAGAGGGTCACCCTGGTGCCCTAGATGAGCTCTGCCTTTTTCCTAAATTCCTCAGTCAGTGGTCTCCCACAAGCCACCAATCTTCTCTGATGGGCAAGGGTTCTATGTGTGTCAGCACCAGAGAGCTGCACCCTGGAAGGACATGTGTTGTCCACATGTCTGAGCCAGCTTCACTGCCCTGTCACCCGCCACTGCTGGTTTAGCACAGTGAACAGTCCAGTGGCTAAGGAAGGGAAAGTGCCCAGTATAACTGCAGGAGCCCCTCCTGTCCCCTCTGACCCTGCATTGTGTTGCAGTTTGTGACCAGCTGCTCCAGGCCTCCACTCCTGGGATTCGCCTACCTCAAGCCGCCGTTCTCCATCCGCTGTGTGGAAGTATCTGACGATCAGGTACACAGGGCCACGGGCAGCAGTGGGGTGGTTCTTGTTCCTGCTTGGGTGTCTTCTGCTGTGCTCACTGTGTTGGGCCCTCACCCGGTCTGTGTCTCAGCAAGACTGGCAGCTTGGCCCCTTGGAGCCACAGTTCCTGCAGCATGAGAGCAGCTGGCCCTGCACTGACTGCTCTTCCCTTCTGTGTGCTCCCTTGAGGATGGGGACATTAGTGGGGTGGTGCATGCTATTTCAGTGGCAGCTGGTCCAGCCAGGTTCCAAAGTCTGGGAGGCAACATGGGAGAATCTCGGGATTTGTCTGTACAAGCCTGCACCACGCTCTTCCACCTGCTGCCCATGCCATCCAGACTCTGCCTCGCCCTAGTCTGTTAAAGGCAATATCTTTGGATTAACGTGCCCCGTGCACCGTGCACCTGGCCATTGCACATGCTCGGATGTGTCCCACCCATGGCTTCTGGGTGTGCCTCCTTCATGTAAGACTCCAGACAATCCTCAGCCTCTGTGCTTAAAGGAAAGTCAACCATGAACCAGCAAGGCAGGGAGGAAGTGTTAACTTAGATTTACAAAAGTTGTGGTAGCCAAAATAGTTTCTCACTGTTCAGTTCTTTGCCAGTTGGATAACCGATAATGGCTCTGACCCAGAAGGCCCATTTGTGACAGCTGGCAGCACAGGAGTCCCCCTTGTGGCCTCATGGAATAGGGCCTGCTTCTCTCTACTCAGCCTCTCGGTCACCATCAAATTTGGGGTTGACCTCAGGCATTGCACATACCCTGAAGGCAGCACCCCCTTTCCGCCAGGTGCCCAGGGGCTGCTCAGCTCCCCTCCGCTTTGGCACCTAGCAGGCCTCCATGCTAGGCACCTCCTGATGCACGGCTGTGATGTTGCTTGCAGGACACTGGGGATACCCTGGGCAGTGTCCTCCGGGGCTTCTTTACCATTCGCAAGCGAGAGCCAGGCGGCCGTCTGCCCACCTCCTCCACCTGCTTCAATCTGCTCAAGCTGCCCAACTACAGCAAGAAAAGCATTCTCCGGGAGAAACTGCGCTATGCCATCAGCATGAACACAGGCTTTGAGTTGTCTTAGCTCTGGCCTGACCCGTCTACGTGCCCTCCAGGCTCCTCGAGACAGCTAGGAGCATGGCCAACGTGCCGGAAACATCAGCCCCCAGACCTCTCTATAGCCATGAAACTCCCCTGTGGCCTCGAGGGCCGTAGATGCGCATGACAGCGCCACACAACCTTCCCCAGGTGATAGCAGTTGGAAGGAGGTGTTGATAATAAACCTCCGGGTTCCACCCACATTCGTCCTTTTTTCCCACTTTCCAGTGGCCTAAAGCCTAGGCCTGGCAAATGTAAAGAGGCCACTTTTGGATAGTTGGGGCTTTGTGAGTGTCTTCCTTTGACCAGAGTGAGCTGGTCCCTGGAACCACAGGAGCCTGGAGTGGTTCCATGGTGTGGCTCTGAGCGCACAAAGCCCGCTCCACATGGATCCTCTCCTTCCTTTCTGAAAACTTCACTCAGGTAAGGCCTCGCCAAGCCTCTCTGCACCCGACAGTCTCTGCCTCCGTCCCATCGACAGTGGCCTCTTCCCAGGCAGCCAGGCCCAACTGATAGCCAGGGAGGCCGCGGAGCACCAGAAGCTCAGGACGCTGTTCTCACTGCGAAGCCGCGGGTTCCACGCTGGCAGCCTCCTTTCTGAGTCCTCAGCAGGCCGAGCTGCAGGGACCCTATCCCATGCATCCACGTTGCACCCTGGTGTGGGAGAAGAGCTCACTTGCTGGCCCCAAGGAGCAGCTCCAGCTCCAGCTGCACTCTGACCGCTACCCGGAGCAGCGACTCCTTTTCTTGGCTTGTTTGCCCCACTCATCTATCAGAACTGGTCAGTGGCTTTATTCCATGAATCTTGGGGCTCCCCGCCCTCAGCACAAAGCACCTGGGAGCCCTTGCACTGACAAGCTCAGGCGGCCAAGGAGACCCACGTGTACCCTCGCTGCCTCGGCACTGGCTGGTTCTCATTTCAGTTTTTACCCCGTTTCCCCTTCCAGACTCTTGTGCTTTTCTCTGCCATGTATTTTCCCCTTTCCTGAAAACCTCGTCCAGATCCAGGGAATTGAGGCAGGGCGCGTTGGTGTCTTTGATGACTGCCACCCTCCCCTCCTCGTGCACCTCAGTTATCTCTGCCTACCTGAAGCCAGAGAAAAAGCCAGGAGTGTCTGCTCCTTCCTCTACTCTGTGCCACAGGCTCTGGACTTACAGCGCTCTCGGAAGCCCCGCCTTAGAGCCTTCCTGTCGGCAGGAAGCAGAGCACGCAAGGACGGCCTGCCACCCACATCGGAGGCCTCAGCTGAGTCCCAGTGAGGGCCGAGGCCCGGGCCCTGAAGACAGGATAATGTTAAGATACACTAGTAGCGCCTGCTTCTGTGGCCTTGCCACATACTTTAAACACTCGACTCCTTTAAAGATGCGTGCTGACCATGGTGTGCACAGTCTGCACATCGCTTCTGAGCCCTGTTAGCTCAGGGCCTGCACAAAGATGAGTCCCATCTTGATTTTTCTTACCTGAGAAGGGCAGCCAGTGGGGATCTGGGGGAGGAGTGGTTTATAAGCACCAATATCAACTTTACCGATTCCTTTTCTTGCCCAGGAGAGGTAGTTTATCACAGCAGCTGTGATATTGCACTATCTAAAACACTGAGTATACTTTTATAGCTGGTGTTCACTGACACCATGATGGCTCTTGATGGCTCTAAAAAGTTGTGGGGTTTTTTGTCTTTGTAGATAACTTATGAATAAAGACATGTCAGAGGCTTTATTAAATTTGTACTGAAGCACAGGATGGCTGTGTTGTGCTTTTTGTGCAGCCATGTGTCTGGACGGCTCAGAGCCAGCCATCCCACAATGGGGTGAAGACGTGGGAGGTGCCTGACCCACACCTCGGCCATCCAGCCAGTGTGGAGTCTTCCCCCGAGTCACAACTTGCTTGCAGAAATAGTCCATTTCAGAAATAGTCCATCCCCCAGCCCATCCGTGCCCCCTCCCTAGAGGTCACCATGCCTGTAGGTCAGATGTGTGTCTTTGCGCCTCCTGATTTACACAGTAATTTACCAAGTATGAATGTTTGGTGGGAAAAACTCAGATGATTCAGACACATACATGAAGTAAAATTTTACATGTACCCCAGCTGTGGCCAGCTGTTCTGCCTGCCGACCATCAAGCATCATGCCTTCCCTGCCTTTGCTAGAACACCCCACTCCCTCTCCTGTGGATGGGGAGCCTGTTTTCCCAGCCCACCGTGGGTGGCTTTTTTCTCGCCTGGGCAGCTCTACCAACCTAGTGCGTTCTCACCGCCTCACCGGCCTGGTGCACCTGAGGACTGGAGCACACCCAAGCCGTGAGAGTCAGGCACCATCCCGGCTCCTGCAGCCCTGGAGCTTTCTGATCGCTAATGAACAAATCCTGTGAAGCCCCAGAACACTGGGGAGCCTCCAGAGTAGCACACCCACCCAAAACACTGAGGCCTCACTCTGTGACGCTTGGGCTTTTCCTTACAAATTATCACTGCAAAGAGAAAGTTTATAATGGAAAAACGGTTTGGGTTTTGATCTGCTGACAGGATTGTCATTCCTAGATATAATTCCTTTGGAATTCAGTTGGGCTGGAAGAGAAAGGCACAATCCCTCTGCCAGAGACAGGGAGCCATCCAAGTGGAACAGCCACATAAGGGCACTCTGGCCAGAAGAGTCTGGACCAATGTCTTTCCAGGCTGATATGGCCCTGGGCCACTCCGCTGTGCCCACACCACACCCACAATGCTAGATGGATGTTGAAGAGGCTGCAGTGAGCTCAGGCCGGACTCACGATTGTCCCCAGTCTTTGGGACCTGTGGTGGGAATGAAACCATTTCCTCATTGCAGTCATCAAACGGCCAGCATGTGAGAGCTTGTGCTTGGCAGGTTGAGTCTGATGCAAAGCCCAAGCCAAGGACGTAGAGATCTTAGGGGGACACTAGTGAGAGTAAGAACTTGGGCCATCCTGCCACTGTCTCATGGCCCACCTCTGCCGCCCACTAGCAAGGCCCCTGCTTCTTAGACCTGCAAGCTTCTCTTCCATGGGACAGGTTGAGCAGGCCCCACGAGGCAGTGTTTCTGTGGACGGCACAGAAATGGCCTGACAGGCCCCAGTGTGTGCCATCTGGGGGCAGCTGATGATCAGCTGTCAAAACTCATTATTTTACCCCAGGGACCAAATGAACAAATTCTCTGGAGTTGCGTTTTTAAAACTCCACTGACATCAGCAGGACATCCTCAGGAGCTTCTTAGGCCTATGGCCCGCCCCCCATGCTGCACCCCGAGCTTCCACACGTGCCAGGGCAGCATCTCCCTTACCCAGGGATGAGCAGCTGCTTTTTATTTATCGGGTACAGGAGACTGAACCCATGCAACTACATCCCCAGCCCTTTTTCTGTTTTATATTTTGAGATAGCGTCTTGCTGAATCGCTGACTTTTCCAGCCTGGGCTTGAACTTGTGATCCTTCTGCATCTACAAGCTACATTTCCTCTGTGCTTTTCCGTGCAGGTGGTCTCAGGGGTGTTGGCAGGGCAGAATGGGATGGGGTCTGGGTCAGTTTCTAGACCTACCAGCACAGCCAGACTTAAGAGAGTATGCCAAAGAAACTATCAGAAGTTGTGCCACATGCCTCTGACCCCCGAGAAGACTGCAGAGGAAGCAGAAGGCAGAACCCCATGCCAAGGCTGCTCCTTGGCTGGGCCAGGTTTCAGGTCTGCAGATGTCCCTGCCCTGGATCCATGTGCAGCATCACCAACAGGCTACCTTCTCTGGGGGCCTCTTAGCAAGGCTAGCTCTTACAGCCATGGAGTGGCCACTGAGGAAAGGAAGCCATGGTAGATGATTTATAAATCTCCACAGACCGGAAATGGTGTCCTTGGCCATTGAGACACAGATGTGTGAAAGACAAGCTGTTACAAGACGTCATAAAAGCCCTACCGGGACTGTCCCTGAACCAGCCTGCACTATGCTGGGGGGACTGGTTGTGTCCCAAGGAGGTTGCATAGCCTGAGCTGGTGTGGCTGCAGGGAGCCAGCAAGCAGTGAGAAGATGCCTAGGTGGTTTTGGGGCCCATGTGGGAGGGGCAGGGGCAGGGGCATGGAGGGCCCATGGCCACCATCTTTGCAGTTCTCTTCCATGGGACAGGTTGAGCAGGCCCCACTAGGCAGTGTTTCTGTGGACAGCACAGAAATGGCCTGAAAGGCCTGAAAGAACACAGCGCTGTATTTGCAGGACCCCCAGCGCCGGGGAGCAGGCCAGAGTAGCCACCTCACTCACTCAACTTCCTGGTCACCAGAGGCTCTGGCAGAAGAATTTGTTGGGCTGGGGCTGCCTTGTCTTCTCGAGGCCTGTCCCACTGGGGATTGTCGTGCTGAAGGATGTGTCACTCTGGGATGAGAACCTGTCTTGTAGAGGGCCCATGACAGTTCTCCCATTCTCAACAGGGCCAAGCCCCTCCATGCCCAGATACCGTGTGCACTTGAGTCACAGGGAGGTCCCAACCCGGGCCTCTGCTCCTGACAGTCAAGTGCTGCACATGGCGAACCATACTTGAGAAGCAGGAGTGATACCCAGCCTTCAGCTGGGTAAAACCTTACCTTGGTATCAAAAGCTTGCTTGGCCCCGGGCCTGAGACCTCTCTGCACTTAATGCTGCAGTGTAACACCTGCCCCGTTACCATGCAGACTGCAGGATGCCAGTGGGGTCAGACATGGGAGCCACGCCCAGCCCTGCCACACACTGCTTTCAGGGACCCTGACCACCTTTCTGAGCTCACTTTCTGAAGGAAAGTGTAACAATCCATTCCTTAAAATGTGTCTCTATAGTCAGGACGAGTAATACAGGAATTTCAAAGAAGCAGCTCACATCCATGGAGAGAAGGTGAGAAAAGATGTGTTCTTTCCTGCTGGCCTGGAAGAGACTTCCTTTCTGAAGATGGCAGGAGAGACCCAGGGTGGGAAGATGGTGAACAGCGGGAACTGGAGCACATCATCCCCCAAAACACAGTGTGTCACCTTCCAAATGCTGATGGTCAAGGCTGCCAGCCCCACCCCAACTGTGCCTGTCCCAGACCAGGCTCTGTGCTCTGCCCTCCACATGTTTGCATTTAATCCAGCCAGGGGTCCTGGGGCTGGGAGCAGAGCTGACCTCATTCTACAGAAGATGACACAGGTTCCGGGCAGGCAGTGAGCTTTCTGGCATGGGATCACAGAGCAGGAGGCCACCACGGCTGAGATTCAACTCTTGGCCTACATGACTTCGCTGCCCTGGGGAAGGATCTGCACTGAAGGTGGGGAGCCAGGAGCTGGGAGGGCCAGTTCCCAAGCTAGGCTTTAAAGTCAGTGAGAAGTCCCTAGGCAGGGGAGGCTGAAGCAGCCCGGGCAACTTAATGAGACATGCTGTCCCCAAATAAATGAATAGGGTTGGGGATGTAAATCAAGCCCAGTACTAAAGAAGTAATAGGGGAGAGGTCATCAGTGGGCACGAACAGGCAGAACTGGGCTCAGGAGAAAGGTCCCTTGAGGGAGGCAGGGGAGTCAAAGGTTGGGGTAAAGATAAACTGGGGAGACACAGTGACACTATTCCCACTGGGCTGTCTCACAGCTTGGGTGCCCCCGCCAGGCTGCAGGCTCCACGATCATTTCCCTCGGGACTGCCCAATGGCCCTCCCTGACCTGTACCGGTGCCACACAGGACACTGGGAAGGGAGCATCACTCCGTGTGGGGCAGTCAGAGGCTTGGTGTGCAGACTGCTATGTGGCTTTGTCATCAGCGCAGATGGTGCCAGATGGGCTGGGCAGCTGGCAGGTGTCCCAGCCAGGAGCTGGCCCACGAAGCAGCACTGCAGGGAGTATGTGCTTGCATTCATTCACCCAGCAAACAGTCGCACAGGGCCTCTTCTGTTTCAGGGTGGCCTGGGGTTGGGGCTAGGCCATAAACAGTGTGACACCATTCCTGTCTCCCAGAACTCACTCCCTGGTGGAGAGGGAGCCATAATTAACCCAAGGGGGAAAACATATGATCACATATCCTGATCGCTACACCCAGTGTCTAATGCCAGCCCATCATGATGCCCCCTTTGCAGTGAAAAAACCAAAGTTCAGAGATAGTCATCCATTGCCCAGAACCCAGGGTCAGTAAGGCGCAGAGCTGGAATTGTGAGCCTAACTGGCCACACTCCAGGGCCCTGCCTTGGACTGAGTGTGCACTGAGAGATGGGAGCACCTTGGAGACAAAAGACCCCAGTGGAGCAACATCCCGGAGCTGCTCTAGCAGGAGCCTGTTGCACCTGCAGTTCATTTCAGACCTATGCAATTCCACTTGTTGCTAATTGTTCCCGTGGGATTTTAGAAGCCTTTCTGAGAACCAGAACTGTGGTCTCTAAACTTCAGGAGTGGTAGGCAGGCCACAGAACAGCAGCAGGTCCCTAGCCACTAAGCTAAAAGACAGCTGGATTTGGGGATGTGCCTGAGCAAAGTGCTGGTCTGATCTTGTAGCGCCCCTCCCACCTACCCTTTCAGAGATCACCCAGTTGAGGGAGGAAGGAGGAATGGGTCTCTCCCTGAGCTCATCACAGTCTCACGGTTGCAGCCGCTCTCCTCACCAGGTAAGGCGGAGACCAGGTGAGACAAGATCAGTGTCGTCCGCAGGCCTGGTTCTTTTGCTGCATCTGGGAACGTATTTCATGATATCTCTCCCTCTCTCCCTCCCCCTCACTCCGTCTCTCTCTCTCTCTCTCTCTCTCTCTCTCTCTCTCTCTCTCTCTC